AGTTACAATCACAGGAGAATACGACACCAGGGCAGGAAGTGAAGTTAACTAAGGGAAAATACAAAATAAAAGCAGCAAATAAACCTGCACCGAGATGTCATAAGGATGATTTTGCCATTGCTATCTTGGTTTACGGTCACTGATCACTAATATCGTTAAGCCAGTGAACAGAGGGGAACATATTTGGAGTGCAAAGGACCGGCGTACCGATCTGACAATAGTGTAATCAATTACAAAATGAGCACCATGCTGTTGTGAAGGAGACTTGAGTCTAGAGACTGAGACCAAGGACTCATGTTTACTGAAGGATAAATCAACTAATCAAACATCTTTTTTGAAAACATAGTAGTCGCCCCCTGCTGGTCAGTAAAGAGAAGGCAGGTTTATAAGCATGTCCAGATTGGCTTTAGTGGTCAGAACCGGAGGTTGACCCCCTGGTTTGCATTGGACATAGATCCTGAATCATAGTTCTTAGGGTAGGAGGATCTTGTCTTGTGGTCAGAGTTTGGGTATGTAGTGTATAAAATAGGCCTACAACATAATCAGTGAAATGAGAGGTTTCGCTGAAGATATGACAAACGGAGGGAGGGAAGAGAACACGGGAACTGCGGCAAATCAAAGCGGAGGAAAAACCAATGAGAAAACAGGAAGCAAAGGTTGGAGAGAATGAGGAGGAGATGAAGAGAGGGATGGAAGTAAAGTGATGAAAAGGAAGGAGGGATATGCGAAAGAGGAAAAGATAATCAAGACAAAGGAGGCTAGAGGTAATGAAGAGCAGCTGGATGGGAGGGATGAAAATCAGTGAAGTACAAAAGAAAGGAGAAAAGGGGGAGGTGGGTATGATAGGAAGGGGAGGAAGATAAGGACTGAATACAAGGGAGGAAGGAGGGATTAATAGAGGAGGTGATTGGCACACAGGAGGGGAGAAATGACAGAGGAAGAGACTGAGGGCGAATAACAAGGTAAGGAAGGGAGAGGCGCAATGAACACAGAGAAAGGGAGGGACGGAATGGGAGCAAGATGGTTGAAAGAGCGAGCGGATGAAGAGAAGAAGGCCATGACGGGGAGCCATTAATAATTTGTGATAGCCTCAGCTTTTCAAAGCAGCCCAGCGGTCCCGCTCGCTGCCTTCCCCTGACGTTTAATTTGTCTGAAAATCAGCAAGCGTGGAGTCTGATTATCGTCTCCGTCTGCCAACGCCTCGGCTTCAATCTCCCAGACACCGAGGTGAGATCACAAGCTGTTGCGGCGCGCACGTCAGCCATGAATCCGTCAGGTCAGAGCGGCCCTCGCCTGCGAGCTCCACACAGACATAAAGTGGGCCTGTGTGAAGAATCTCTGAACGTCTCAGAGCAGGCCCAGATGAAATGCCCAAATAAAGAGCGGAGGTTGTCTGTGACGTTTCACTTGTAAGCCCATTATAATCGACTGGGTGAAGTGCAGGGCCCTTGTCCGAGCTCACTCAGTATGGTTTTAGTGGCTATCTGACGAAACGACTCGGTGTATACCCGTGTATTCTAAATAGAGCTGTAAATTAACATTTGGTATAGACACAATGAGCCGGATCATACTGTAAAGGCATTAAACAGTAAAGGGTAATACACACAACTGCCTACACATCGTACTGGACTCTTGACTTTTGAATCACCTCACTAACCACGTGTTTATTATGGTGCTTTCTTTTCTGCAACTGTCCAAGGCTGTTTGATGAGAGATGAGGCGTGTAACTCATAGCACGGGCCTGTGACATAGTGGGGTTGTTGGATCATCCTTAATTGATCCTGTTTAGAGCTTTTAGAGACATTAAATGCATTTTCTGTTTGTCTTTGACACGGTGCGGCAAAAAGGTAACAGAGATACACGGGGACCAGAAGGAAGAATAACTGTGATTTGAATAAAGAGCAGGGAAGTCCAGTGAAGGTGATTGGGAAAACGACTCTGTGGGCGGAGCGGACATTTACGAAGGTGCGAAAATGTACGAGGGCCGCAAGTGAAGCGACACAAGGGACACAAGAGGAAGAGAAAGTCAAAATGAAACAGCAAACAAAACTTAAATAAAACCAAGATCGTGACTGCTGAAGACTGTTTGACTGTACAGTATTGTACAATTTGTTCAATATATAATCTGTATGTCCACGCAGTCAGTCTATTTATAAAAACACATCGGAGGAGTAACAAAGAGGTGACGTCACATCTACGATATAAATGATCGAATATGTGACGTCACCTGTTATTACGAAAGTTACGTATGTAACTACAGTTCTATGAATCCTGGATGACCGCCAGAGGCAGTGCTTCACACTGGATTATTGTCTCGCGGTTGGGCAGGTCGAGTATTTATTCCAACAAAAGTCACCTGAGGCCTCCAACCTCCAATAATGCTGATGACAGCACGGTGGATGTGTGTATATATATATATACACACACACACTCATATATATTTTAATAAGCAGGCTTCAACATTATAGACATATTTCTCAAATGTATCGGGATCTCCGATCCCCTCAGGTTGGTTGATGAGAAGGATCGCGACATGTTAATCAATTAAAGTCAAAGAGTTAACATTCATTTAGAAGAGAAAAAAATGTTTCTATATTATTTTAAGTGTCCGTGCTATACATATGTCCAAAAATCATGATACATGTAGATCAAACAGGGCGCTCGGCCTACTTGGTTGAAAACTGCCAGAGGGCCATATGGAGACAATGTACCACTTTTGAGCCAAAACTCCACATTAGCTCTGTGACGTCATCACCTGAGACACTAACAGTTTTCAAGAGTTTTTGAGTTGCTAAAGCACCGAAATATCTGCTTGAACTTTCATGCGAAGACAGTGTTGTCATGGCAGCAAAGTATTTCAAAAACTTTCAATAATCATGGTGAATTATCATCAAAGTCTCAAGGCTTTAATGCACACATTTAAAGGTCGATCATATTAAACGGCTAGGAGTAGCATCAAAGTCTATAACTTTTCATTTCCCTTTGCCAATAGGTGGTGTTATAATTTTTTGAAAATCCCTGCATGGGAATACTTCAAGGCCTACACTAGCATTATGAATAACACATTTTGGCCAGAAATAAACATTTTACATTTTCAACAAAATCGACCAAAATCAATTTGCCCGGACCTGAAATTAATCGCGTTTAAACTCTCTGAGTTTGCTCATTTATGAATCAAAAATACGATGTAAATTGGAAAAAACAAGCAAAAACTCAGCGAATGACTGCAGCGCTCCCTAATGTTCAAATATTCTGAAAAATATAGTGAATGCTCAAGGACTCAATGTGATAAGATTTGGTAAGGACAAGCCAATTTCTTTAGTTATTAAGTTATATTTAACTATTAGGCCACACCCCTTACAAAGTTCATTGGTCCATACCTTTGAGAAATAGTGAGATATCGACAAGTTTTTATCTTAAAGTATAAGTAGATGGCATTGAGCCAATAATCCCTCCCTAAAAATGTTGTCAGAATCGAAGCCAGCGTCTGGGAGGAGTTTGCAAAAATGTGTGTTTCACAAAATTCAAAATGGCAGAAAATCTAGATAGGCGCATTTGCATACCATGATTGACTTTTTTGTAGAGCATATCCAAGAGTACCTGTTTGCAAAATGTGTCAATTGGTGAAACTAGGTAAAAATCCCCCAGAGGGAGCAGGGAGCGCTAGAGAGCCATTTTTTCATAGCGAGAATATCAAAAAAAATGTTGCACTTCTGATGCACACGCCAAAATTCGTAAAGTTTGAGTTTTTGAATATGAATACGGCCTCAAACGTGTGATTTAACGCAAAAAATAATGACGATTCTTCGAAACACAATAGGGCCTTCGTCCGACTTTTAGTCACTTTAACCCCATTCAGATGACCTCCTGTGAGTTCCACATGTCTCACCAGCACATGAAGACACACCTACCTCATTAATTCTGCTGCAGAAGCACAAATCTGAGATTCAGATGAAAAGCCGACGGGTCAGAACTCAACACCATATAACATCAGTCACACAACCAGTGAAACTACGGAGAGCCGAGAGGGTCACTGTCTGCAGAGAGACTGGTGTCTCCACATCCTGGTGTCCTCGCCTCACTGGCTGATCTTATAATGACTTTAATGAGGATTGTTTTCTTTATTATTAAGAGTTCTCTGAAATCTAATTTTGTTTCCATGTCTTTAAAACTTTTATTCCCAAATATTTGATTGAATGTTCTCATTTTAATTTCATATTACTTAATTATTTTCTACATCCTTTTCATTCATATGTTTTTTCAACTTATTTTCTACATTAAAAGTGTCTTAATGTAATGGAATTTGTCACGGGTGGAGCTCTTGTTGAGGACTCGGACACAGAGTTGAGCTTCAGCTGACGCTTTTATTTTCCAACAAAAAAAACAGGGAAGTCCCTGGGAACAAAAACGTCTCCAAAGAGAAATGAACGAGGAAATGCTCTGGCAAAACTAAGACAGCTGAATAGTCAACAAAAGAAAAAACAAAATCTCTCTCACAGAGGAAATAACAAAACAAGCAATCACACAAAGGCTCTAAACTAAATTGAGGAGCTGTGGATCAGACTGGTGACACATGAGGAAGGGCAAGGAACCTGAAACAAAAGGAGAGTTCATTTCCAAAATAAAACAAACATGGAGACAGGACAAAAACCGCTAAGACAAATTCCTTGTATGTTTGACATATTTTGGCAATAAATGTTTCCTGCTTCCTCGGGTGTGATAGGAATTGAGTTTTTGTCAAACTATTATTTGAACATGAGGTGAGCATGAGAACATTAAGTTGAACATGAATACATGTGACCTACATATCAATGACGTGGAGAATATTTAGTGTCATGCAAACACAGCGAGGCTTTCTTAGGTCAACATGAATCAAACATGCTTCCATTAACCTGCAAAATAAAGTCTGCAGAAGACAGGCAAACATCCTCAACAAGTGTGAGTGTTAGAAGTTACTCAAAGTCTGCTGTTGTGTCATAAAATCTCACGTTTGTCTCAATACTTTGTGACTCACTGTCTTTGGCTCAGAGCCCCACGACGAACACCTTATTGATTCTCCTCATTCACACGCTACATTTGCAGGATGTGTTTACAGCATTAGGTAGAAATCGGTTCGGTTGGATTCCAATCAGCAGTCTTTCAGTGACAATGAGGTTAATTGGTGACTCTGGTGTTGAATGGTTTTATCTTTGTGTGTCCCTCCACGCGGCCCTGAAGGTGACTGACTGACAGCAGTCGGTCGGTGACGGACGTTTGAACAGACGGCGTTGCGCATCTCTTCGGTGTCAACCCGTTGGCTTCAGCCGTGTACTGGAAGGAACGCGGCCTTTCTTCTTGAGGTGAGCGTGCGTTCACGCGTTAATACACGTTCAAAGCGGAGTAAAGGAGTTCTTGAACAGTCCGCGCTGACATTTCAGGTCGTCAAAAGCAGCTTATGGGAATGTTACGTCACAGTGAGCGGTTGCCTTTGCGTCCTGTTAGCTAACGTTACTTGTGAATTTGAGTTAACCTTTCATCGATATGAAGTATTTGTGAGATATGGGGGGCTTAAGGCTCTTGTTGCCGGTGATGCTGCGCTTTAAATGCGCTGCTGTGATCGCAGTGCTGAAGGAGCATCTCTTGTCCTGTGGGGCGATGCAAAAATATTTTCATGGTGAAATCTCCATAAGTCACAAGTATAGGGACAGATAATAATTTAATTTAATACAGCAACCTTTCAGACATGGCATTCAAACGTAAGTGGTTGGAGACTTAGATGGGAACAACTTTTTGGGTAACCATTTATTTATTAATTTCCATTTAAATGGCAAAAGCAAGCAGTTTCTTTTACTTTTAAAGATTATTTTTTTGTCACTTAATGAACTGCAGAAGTAGAGAAACATGAAATACTGCAAAAATAATATGGGGTTTCACATCTTTGTGACTGGACATTTCCTGTTTGTCACAAAGAAGAAAACCAGGGGTCCGAGACACAAGCTGTGTCTCAATGACATTGAGACACAAGCTTGAGACACAGCGTGTGTCTCAATGTCATTGAGACACAAGCTTGAGACACAGCGTGTGTCTCAATGATATTGAGACAACAGTTGTAGTGGAAGATTTTTCTCGTGCAATTGGGAATCAGTTATAAAGTCTCTTGTGAATCAAAGTTGCATTTTCCGTTTATTTCTCGCAAGGAACAAGCCATCATTATATTTTACCATTACACAGTCAGACTTCTTCCCCCTCAAGTTCATATTCTCCAACGTGATCTCCAAAACCTGTTCGTAAAAATGTATACAAAATATTTGACATACAAATTCGTAACAATACATACTAACTGGCGGTGGTTAAGCACGCCCCTTGAGTGAACGTCTCTCCGCCATGTTGGATTTTTTGACGGGATTAGTATTCTATTCTTACAATTTAACATTGATTTCTCGTTAAAAATGCAATCATAACACGTTTACTTTACATCGTTAGACTTCACGAGGTGTGTTTACGGGGTGCAGGTCCCCATTCACTTTGAATAGGGTGACGTCATCAGTTGCCAGTCCGTATTTATTTAGTATGTATCACTACGAATTTGTATCTTCAAGATTTTCGTATACATTTTTACGAAAACAGGTTTTGGAGATCAGGCTGTATTCTCATATACTCTGAATAGAAATATCAAAACTATTCTCTTTTCCTCATCATCATTGCATCTAATTCCAAAACAAACTTCTGTATTCACAGGAAATCCTAAGTTAGGTTAAGATAAAATAACTATTGAACTACACAAGTAAGCGGACACGCGTTGATAGGCATGTGGATCACTGAGCGGTATTGTTAATTTTCCCCAAAATACACAATAACTGAGAGCTAACCAAAGATACATGAAAAAACTTCATTTGTGCTGTTAACACGTTACAATTCATGCTGGTTGCATTAATACGGTCTTTTCAAAATAACTTAGTTGGGTTTATGCAACACAATGTCTGTGTTGACTACAACAACTTAATCACTTCCTGGCTTCAACTGGCTGCCACGACAATTTCCAGTCAGAATTTCGACCTCTTCATAGCACCGAGACGGCCCTTATTAAAGTTGTAAATGGCATCCGTCTTAACACAGACTCTGGCAAAACTTCAATATTAATGCTATTAGACCTCAGTGCTGCATTTGATACTGTCGACCACTCAATACTTTTGGACAGGTTGGAAAACTGGATGGGGCTCTCAGGCACAGTCTTAAGCTGGTTCAGGTCATATCTACAAGACAGGAACTATTTTGTTTCCATTGGTGACTTTGTATCAGAAACAACCGACGTAACGTGTGGAGTCCCCCAAGGTTCGATCTTAGGTCCGAATTTATTCAACATCTACATGCTCCCACTAGGACAAATCATGCAAAAAAATAAAATTGACCACCATTGCTACGGTGATGACACCCAAATTTATGTAGCGCTATCACCAAACGACTATCGCCCCATAGATCTTCTGTGCCAGTGCATTGAGCAAATCAAAGACTGGATGTGTCAAAATTTCCTACAACTAAATGAAGACAAAACTGAGATCATTGTATTTGGTGCTAAAAAAGAAAGGTTTAAAGTAACCCAACACCTTCACTCTCTGTCCCTGAAAACATCAAATAAAGCCAGAAATCTGGGGGTTATTATGGATTCAGATTTACACTTGGAGAAAAAATGAGCAGCTCAACCCAGTTTATGAGAGATTTGTCAGGGTTGAGGGTGGAAGGCAGGACTCAAACGCAGACTTGCGGGAAACAAAAGACTTTAATAGTCACAAGGGTCAAAAAAACACCGGAACCGGGGGCAAACGCACACAGGCAAGAGACTACGGCGATCCAAGACGAAAGACAATGACGCGACCAGTGACACAGGAGACACACTGCTTAAATACACAAGGGAGGTGCAGGTGATTGGACACAGGTGGAAACTATTAGACGAACACAGGGGATGACGAGACAAGGCAGGAAGTGAAGTTACCCGGGGACACGAGTGGCAGAAAACTACAAAATAAGACAGGAAGTGAACCACACCGTGACAAGATTGCGCAATTAGAGTGTTGGAACAGGAAAATACCCAAATTCAGAGATGTTAACTATAAAAATCATTGGATTGATTGGAATCTAATCATTTTTGGAATGATGACATGCCCCTCTCTGTTCATGCCCCCGCCCCCTAAGCCATATCGGGGCCAAAAGTCTGAAATTGAAAAAATACAAAATGAGTATAAAAACATTTAAAGTATAAAAAATATTTGACACTTCAAAATATAAGATTTAAATATGAAAATATAAATAGAACTTATAATATAAATATAAGAATGTTCAAGAACTGAATCAAAATGACATAATTGACCCCAAAACTCAGTTTATTCAGTTATTTTCATTTTGAAAACATTGTTGTATTCTATATGTTCAAGACCAAAACCCAAACTTTCAGGTTCAATTTTCTTTTTCAGAAGATCAAAGTTCTGTCCTGGATTTCTTATTAACTTCCTGCATAGCGATCAGTTGATTATGAATTGATTTTGTTTGAAGAATGCAAATGACACAGCAACAATTACTGTTGTTGCAGGTGAAGCTGTGAATCGCCTTCACATTTCCCCAATATTCACAGATTCATCCAACTTGTGTTCACCAAGAGGACGCTGACTTCATCAGAGGTGCTCAGAAAGAGGGAGAAGAATTCTATTTTATTGTGTATCAAAACCAATGAACCGATGTAACTCCATCTTTACAACATACTTTTTTAAGAGCAGAGCAGTGATTGTTCTCTATTGTTGATATTTATTTGGGTGTCTTTAAAAAGGACAGATGGAGAAAGTCAAGGAGGACATCATCAAAATGTTAAAGGAGCTCAAGGAGGACGAGTTTAAAGACTTCAAGTGGTACCTGGAGAACAATTCAAGCCCAGAAGACCTTCGAAAAATCCCAGCCTGTGACCTGGAGAACGCAGACAGGAGGCAAACAGTGGACCTGATGGTGTGGTGCTACGACACAGACTCTGTTCAGGTAGCCAGAGAGGTTTTGAAAAAGATCCCAAGGATGGATCTGCTCGACAAATTACCTCAAATTCCCCCTACAAGTAAGTTGTTAAAAAGAGGAACAAAGACATCGGATACGTATAATAAAGATACAATGGAAGTAAAGATGAGATATATGCTTCATAAAACCTCCTTATCCCAGGAGGGTGGGGCTCTTCTGAAGCTCCTGCCCCATCCGGTCACATGCATGAGCTCTAAATGACTGACATTATTGACATTTTTGACGTCAATATCATTCTTAATAAATGTTATTAATAGCAGGGCACCACCCTGGGTGGAGGGATCAAAAACCGAACTAGAAATTGAGTCTCATAATTGGTGTTCAATAACGCAATAAGTGGTACTATTCCAAATTAGGAGTGTACGTTTTAATTTGACTGTATATACCAGCTACTGTCACTCTACAAATTATTAAAGTAATCACAGAAAACATCTTGTTTCAGGCAAACCAAAACCTGTTGGAGGAGATAGAGGTCAAGGTGAAGATACATTTTGTACAACAGTCTAAGAATTGCACACTTCAATTATTTCCATGGTCGTAGTTCTCAATTGTCAGTATTCCAGGTAGCTTCAGATAGGCATGCAGCGAAATACAACCAATAGCTTAATCCAGGGGAAATATTACACCTAAAATATATTATATAATTTAATTAAAGCACAATCTGGTTTGTGTCATCTCTTTTTTTTTGTTCATTCAGAGATTATCGCCAACTGTCAACGTGAACTCAAATCCAACCTGATGGAGAAGTTCCAGTGTGTGTTTGAGGGGATCGCTAAAGCAGGAAATACAACCCTTCTGAATGACATCTACACAGAGCTCTACATCACAGAGGGAGGGACTGCAGAGGTCAATAAAGAACATGAGGTCAGACAGATTGAAACAGCATCCTGGAAACCAGACATACCAGAAACAACCATCAGACAAAAAGACCTCTTCAAAGCCTCAGCTGGAAGAAAGAAACCAATCAGAACACTGATGACTAAGGGAGTGGCTGGCATTGGGAAAACAGTCTTAACACAGAAGTTCACTCTGGACTGGGCTGAAGACATAGACCACCAGGACATACAGTTCATATTTCCATTCACATTCACAGAGCTGAATGTGCAGAGAGAGAAGTACAGCTTGGTGGGATTTGTTCATCACTTCTTCAGTGAAACCAGAGAAGCAGCAATCTGTAGGTTTGAAAAGTTTCAGGTTTTGTTCATCTTTGACGGTCTGGATGAGTGTCGACTTCCTCTGGACTTCCACAACAATGAGATCCTGACTGATGTCACAGAGTCTGCCTCAGTGGATGTGCTCCTCACAAACCTCATCAGGGGGAAGCTGCTTCCCTCTGCTCGCCTCTGGATAACCACACGACCTGCAGCAGCCAATCAGATACCTCCCAACTGTATTGGCATGGTGACAGAGGTCAGAGGGTTCACTGACCCCCAGAAGGAGGAGTACTTCATGAAGAGGTTCAGAGATAAGGAGCAGGCCAGCAGGATCATCTCTCACATCAAGACTTCACGAAGCCTCCACATCATGTGCCACATCCCAGTCTTCTGCTGGATCACTGCTACAGTTCTGGAGGAGGGGTTGCAGACCAGAGAGGCAGGAGAGCTGCCCAAGACCCTAACTGAGATGTACATCCACTTTCTGGTGGTTCAGTCCATGGTAAAGAAGGACAAGTACGATGGAGGAGCTGAGAGGGGTCCACACTGGAGTCCAGAGAGCAGGAAGATGGTCAAGTCTCTGGGAAAACTGGCCTTTGATCAGCTGCAGAAAGGCAACCTGATCTTCTATGAATCCGACCTGACAGAGTGTGGCATCGATATCAGAGCAGCCTCAAAGTACTCAGGAGTGTTCACTGAGATCTTTAGAAAGAACAAAGGACTGTACCAGGGCACAGTGTTCTGCTTCGTCCATCTGAGTGTTCAGGAGTTTCTGGCTGCTGTTCATGTCCATCTGACCTTCATCAACTCTGGTGTCAATCTGCTGTCAACCTCCCTATTGCCTAAAGTCTTTAGAACCAAACCTAAACTAAAACTCTACCAGAGTGCTGTGGACAAGGCCTTAGAGAGTTCTAATGGACACCTGGACTTGTTCCTCCGCTTCCTCCTGGGTCTTTCCCTGGAAACCAATAGGACTGCCCTACAAGGTCTGTTGAAACACACAGGAAGTTGCTTACAGACCAATCAGGAGACAGTCCAGTACATCAAGGAGAAGATCAATGAGAATGTGTCTCCAGAGAAAAGCATCAATCTGTTCCACTGTCTGAATGAACTGAATGATGATTCTCTAGTGAAGGAGATCCAACAGTCCCTTAGTTCAGGACGTCTCTCCAGAGATAAACTGTCTCGTGCTCAGTGGTCAGCTCTGGTCTTCATCTTACTGTCATCGGAAAAAGATCTGGAGGTGTTTGACCTGAAGAAATACTCTGCTTCAAAGAAGGCTCTTCTGAGGCTGCTGCCAGTGGTCAAAGCCTCCAACAAAGCTCTGTAAGTAAAGACAGTTTGATTCATACATCATGAGTTAAAACATGCGGTCATCTTTTCTACTTATTGTTCATTCATTCTTTTTATTGTTGTCTCTTCAGACTGGGTGGCTGTAAACTCTCAAAAAGAAGCTGTGAAGCTCTGTCCTCAATTCTCAGCTCCCAGTCCTCTAGTCTGAGAGAGCTGGATCTGAGTAACAACAACCTGCAGGATTCAGGAGTGAAGCTGCTTTGTGCCGGACTGGAGAGTCCACACTGTGACCTGGAGACTCTCAGGTCAGATTAAGTTAGTTTGTCTACAATGATTTAAATGTGTCTCTAAACTATCAGCTCCATGCAGTGTAAAAGGATCTCTCTTTCTTAATCTATGAATTTGTTTATTAAATATTTCAGATTTCATAAACATATTTTTCATCAGAAAATAAACCAGAACTATTGAACCAGAGAAACAAATCTCAGAGACTAGACTGCTGGCTAAAAGCCCTTTTTGTGAATTCATGTGTGTTTCCATGAAATAACCTTGTAGACAACACAAATGTTTTTCTACTTGTTGATTGTTGTCTCTTCAGACTGAGTGGCTGTAACATTTCAGGTGAAAGCTGTGAAGCTCTGTCCTCAGTTCTCAGCTCCCAGTCCTCTAGTCTGAGAGAGCTGGATCTGAGTAACAACGACCTGTGGAATTCAGGAGCGAAGCTGCTGTGTGCTGGACTGGAGAGTCCACACTGTGACCTGGAGACTCTCAGGTCAGATTAAGTTAGTTTGTCTTCAATTATTTAAATGTGTCTCTAAATATCAGCTCCACGCGGTGTAAGAAGCATCTCTTTTTCTCAATCAATGAATTTGTTCATCAAGATTTCAGATTTCATAAACATATCTTTAACCAACTCTCCTCCTATCTCCACCGTAACAACCTCCTAGACCCCCACCAGTCTGGCTTCAAGGCAGGCCATTCCACAGAGACTGCTCTCCTTGCTGTCTCAGAGCAACTCCTCACTGCTAATGCCGCCTCTCTCTGTCCTCATCCTTCTGGACCTTTCTGCTCCATTTGACACAGTAAACACCAGATCCTTATCTCCTCCCTTCAGGAACTTGGTGTCTCAGGCTCTGCTCTCTCCCTTCTCTCATCCTACCTTGATGACCACACCTACCGAGTAACCTGGAGAGAATCTGTGTCGGAACCTTGTCCTCTTACTACTGGAGTTCCTCAGGGTTCCATTCTGGGTCCTCTCCTCTTCTCTCTCTACACCAACTCTCTCGGCTCTGTCATTCGCTCGCTTGGCTTCTCCTACCACAGCTATGCCGATGACAACCAACTAATTCTCTCCTTCCTCTCTCCTCCACACTCACGGATCTCTGCCTGTCTGACTGACATCTCTTAGTGGATGTCCGCTCCCCATCTGAAAATCAACCCCGACAAGACTGAGCTACTTCTCTTTCTGGGAAATGATTCTCCTACACAGGACTTGACTGTTAACTTTGGCAACTTTGTGTTAAACCCCACTCTGACTGCTAGGAACATCGGCCTGACATTTGACAGCCAACTCTCCCTGTTTCCCAACATCACTGCGACAACACGATCCTTTAGATACACGCTCTACAACATCAGTAGAATTCGTCCCCTTCTCGGTCAGAAGGCGGCGCAGGTACTGATTCAGGCTCTTGTCATCTCCCGCCTCGACTATTGTAACTCTTCTGGCAGGTCTCCCTGCTACCGCCATTCAACTTCTGCAGCTCATCCAGAATGCAGCAGCTCGACTGGTCTTTAACCTTCCGAAATTCTCCCGCACTACTCCACTCCTCCGCTCTCTTCACTGGCTACCGGTGGCTGCCCGCATCCACTTCAAAATAGTGGTACTCACATGCCATGCTGTGAATGGATCGGGTCCAGTCTACATCCAGGACATGGTCAAACACTACATCCCAACCCGCACACTCCTCTTTGCATCTGCAAAACTGCTTGTTCCCCCCTCACTGAGAGCAAAACACTCAACAAGATCACAACTCTTTGCTGTCCTGGCTCCTTAATGGTGGAACGAGCTCTCTGATGACATCAGGACCGCAGAGGGCCTTCACATCTTCCGCCGCAAACTAAAAACACACCTCTTCAGACTCTACCTTTAGGATTTGTGATGTCATGCTTGATATGGTTAATGAATGAAAAGGAGAAAAGCTGATGTGGGAAAGAGAGTGAAGACTTTAATGTGTGTCTCTACAGTGACGATCTGCAATAAATATCTCTGCCTCATTGTGATACTGATACTGATACTACAGTACTTCCTGTAAACAGTAGAGCACAATTGACTAATTTGTTCTTCTTTCTTTAAAGAAGAACAAAATGAATCATGAATACTTTCCCTAATCTTCCTTTGTTCTTACTGATGGTATTTTATCAGGATTTCATTTGAACACAAATGTTATTTTTCTTCTTGTTGATTGCTGTCTCTTCAGACTGAGTGGCTGTCACCTCTCAGAGAACAGCTGTGAAGCTCTGTCCTCCCATCTCAGCTGCCAGTCCTCTAGTCTGAGAGAGTTGGATCTGAGTAACAACAGCCTGCATTCAGGAGTGAAGCTGCTGTGTGCAGGACTGGAGAGTCCACACTGTAAACTGGAGACTCTCAGGTCAGATTACTGGAGTCGGGCTGATGCGTTTCTTTTGTAGCGCCAAGTTTGGGCCTGTTTGGGCCCCGGTTATTGTCGATTATGGCCCAGTGGCAGCAGACATGTATACCGGAATCGGGACGGTGTATTCGGCCCGATTCTCAGACGAGTCGGCAACCGGACGGAATAATAAGATGAAATAACATAATATATTAAATATTGTAACAATATATGATATCATATGTCATATAATAACATTTATATTATTATATCATATATTGCATATTATTGCATTCATCTATGCAATTAATGTGTTATTTTAGACAGCCGTACAAATAAATACAAAATACTTAACTACAGTACTTCACAGATCTTTCATTGTTCTTACTGATTGTATTTTATCAGAATTTCATTTTAACACAAATACTATTTTTTCTTCTTGTTGATTTGTTGTCTCTTCAGACTGAGTCGCTGTAAACTCTCATGGAAAAGGTGTGAAGCTCCGTAAGTAAAGACAGTTAGATTTATACATCATGACTTAAAACATGCTGTCATCTCTTCTACTTATTATTCATATTTTCTTCATTGTTGTCTGTTCAGATTGTATGGCTGTAACCGCTCAAAGACAAGTTGTGAAGCTCTCTCCTCAGTTCTCAGCTCCAAGTCCTCTAGTCTGAGAGAGCTGGATCTGAGTAACAATGAACTGGAGGATTCAGGAGTGAAGCTGCTCTGTGCTGGACTGGAGAGTCCACACTGTGACCTGGAGACTCTCAGGTCAGATTAAGTTAGTTTGTCTTCAATGATATAAATGTGTTTCTAAACTATCAGCTCCATGCAGTGTAAAAATGATCTCTCTTTCTTAATCTATGAATTTATTTATCAATATATCTGATATTAACATATTTTTCATCAGAAATTTCACCAGAACTATGGAGCCAGAGGAACTAATGTAGGGGACAAAACTTGGGACTAAAAGCCTAGAAACCTTTTTGTGAATTTGTGTTTCCATGGCATCACAAGAACCTTGTAGACACAACAAACTTATTACACAACAGTTCAAATAGACAGTGTCTGAAAAATAAATAAATATCCCAGCCTCATTGTGATATTAATACTACAGTACTTCCTGTAAACAGTAGAGCACAATTAACTAATTTTTTTCTCTTTTTTAAACAAAATAAATTGTAAATACTTTCACTGAGCAAATTTTTCTTTCTTTCGTTTTTACAGACAAATGTTATTTTTCTTCTTGTTGATTGTTGTCTCTTCAGACTGAGTGACAATGACCTCTCAGAGAAAAGCTGTGAAGCTCTGTCCTCAGTTCTCAGCTCCCAGTCCTCTAGTCTGAGAGAGCTGGATCTGAGTTACAACCACCTGCAGGATTCAGGAGTGGAGCTGCTGTCTGCTACACTGCAGAGTCCACACTGTGAACTGGAGACTCTCAGGTCAGCTCAGGTCAAATTCTTTCTCAATCTATGAATTTGTTGATCAAGATTTCAGATTTCATAAACATATTTTTCATCATAAAACAAACCAGAACTATGGAACCAGAGGAACTAATCTCAGAGACTAAATTGTGGACTAAAAGCCCTTTTTGTGAATTCATGTTTGTGTTTCCATGTCATCACAAGAACCTTGTAGATACAACAAACTTATTACACAATAGTTAAAAAAAGTAGACAGTGTCTGAAACACAATGCTATTTCACAATTAAACCTCACAGGTCCATTCTGTTGTTCCTCTTATTTAGACTTTTTTATGTTATGTTTGATATAATTAATGAATGAAAAGGAGAAAAGCAGAAGTGGGGAAGAGACTGAACACAATTAGCGTGCCTCTACAGTGACGATCTGCTGAGAGTTTGATGGTTGTTTATTTCTAATTTAGAACGTTACAAACATGAAAGATGTTTGAAAGATGTCAGAAGCTAACGATGAATTACCCATTTACAATCCCTTTGTGCTGACTATATCTTTCTTCTCTCATATCTGTCTCCCATATGGGGTACCACAAAACCGGGTCAGAACAGAACCAGAACCGACATTGAGTTTACTCATCATGAAAACATACTATATGAATGCTTCTCCTGGTTCAAAGCATTAGAGTCCTGGCTACATTAAGCCAAAATCCACATAAAATACTCCAAACTTTAGCCAGTGGAGTACAAAAATATTCCATGCAAATTAGTCCAATAAGTTTGCACTGGGTCGGACAAAAGTTCCACATTTTTTTCGATGCACGAGCAGATCTCACTGAATGCGGGGATATCTGTGTAATATCTCTCAGACAAACCAGGCCGAACTTTAGTAAAACGATCGATCTGCCACCATGAGGTGCACCAGGCAAGATAGTAAACCCTGAAAGGCAGCCGGTAAGAGCGGTGACTTGTGGGACAAAGGGACTTTGTAGCATCAGGTAGCGCTAGTATTTTTATATATATATATATATATATATATATATATATATATAAATAATATATATGTTAATTATTCTGATTCACGCTCTTTCACTTGTTGTGCTTGAGAAACCATATACTATCTCTTGGGTATTCTTTGGAATATGCATTGAGTATGGGGTGGCACGGGTGCATCATTGCACGGTGCTTTGCCTGTGTTCATTTGGTTTAAATATTGAGTATGAGTTCTATGTTTTGTGCAGTTAAGGTTTTTCAGCTGTGACAACACAGCAGAAAGCAAGAACTAAAATAGCGCTAAATGTGAAGGAAAATAAATCTACTTAAATAAAAGGAGGATAAAAGGAAAATGTGTTTGTATTTGAGTGGAATCCAGTTTACACAACTTTAAAGAATCTTATTGTAGAACAGGAAAGATCGTGACAGTGAAAGACCAGAAGGTCTGGAACCCAGGGAGCTGTAATCCTGGGAAGCGGATATCATTGAGTGAATGAAGCATCAAAGTGGTACTTACCTTCTCGCCTGTAATCAAGCCTCAGTTCAAACGTGAAATATGACCGATCAAATCAGCCAAACAAGTCAAGTTGGACCAAACCACAGAAAAAAGGGAATTTAGACGTCTGGTCAACAGCATTACTGTAAGTACACGTCTGAAGAAGAGCTCAGCGATAGTTCTGATCAACTCCGAATAGAAGCTGAGTTCATTCATACATTTTTGAAGGTGAATCTCAAAATTCAAAAAATGGTGTTGTATGTAATATTGATATGTTTATTCACCAGTAACATATAAACTGATTTTTACACATCATTGTACTCACAGGGGTTCTCCTTTATCCCAACAAAAATGTCCAAATAGAAAACGTATTTAGAGTTATTAGGCTTTTTATCATGGGTATGCCATTTTCGGAGCAGAGGCCTAAAACAGCCGAGTTACCTCAGGGGACTGGTGGATTTTTTGGGGGGTAGGGCCAGCCAATCAGTGTCTGTAAACACCCCAGTATGATTCAATGCAAAAAGCGTATCAAACACGCATTATTACTTTGCAGTTAAATATTTAACATTTATTTCACCAGTTGAACATAATAAGGACTTTGTTTGAAAAAGGATCTTATTCAAACAATTTAGTATATCAATGAATATATATATATATATATAAAACAATATTCAGAATATGATAACTAGCATATATTAACTATCTATATAAAATGTATTAGAACATGTATATATATATTGAGATGCACCTATGAACCTAGTTTGTTGCGGAAACACCCGATTAGTGTGTTGAGGAAAGACCAACTCAAAAGCCCCACAAAACTTCACACAATGAATTTTTGAATAAAATGTGCCGGTTTTCATCTATGGCCTGGTTGTGTAGGGGCGACTGTGGGTGAGTGGGGAGCACGGTCGTCCTCCAATCAGAGGGTTGTCGGTTCGACCCCAGGCCCCGCTAACCCGCATGTCGTTGTGTCCTTGGGCAAGACACATAACCCAACATGCTCCTGTAGCTGCGACTACAGTGTATGAATGTTAGTTACTGATGGCAGGTGTCACTGTGTGGGGTTCTCCTGTCATCAGTGTGTGAATGGGTGAATGATGTCATGTAGTGTTAAAGCGCTTTGAGTGGTCAGAAGACTAGAAAAGCGCTATACAAGTACAGGCCATTTACCAGTTACCATTGTGTGTCTTCGCCGCAGTCCTGTGTGCGCCGCAGCTGGGTAGCAATGTTAACTTTAACACGGCAACATCATTACGGCATAAGCATGTAGCTAACTAGCTAGCTAAACATCCTGGTGTGGAAGTCTACAGAAGCGTCATTTGTGTTTCTCTTTCACGCCGGTCCGTTTTGTGATCGTGAGGTCAGGCTGATCTGGGTCCAGCTGTTTTAACGCTAGTTTCTCCGGCAAAGTCCTTCTCTCGTACCGAGGTTGGGTCCTTCTTGGAAGGACATGGCTCGTCCTCGCTCTTGTTATGTTGTTAAAAGGCGGTCGAGAGACTTGCCTTGACAAGAGCGCAGCGTAGGGCGGCGAAATCTCAATGTATTTTAGGACGCTGATAACATAATGTCACTCATTAACTTTATCAGTGATTGGCTAACTGCTTCTAAGACCTGCTGCCTTTGGGACCTGGCCCAAGCCCAGCTGAGACATGCAGACAAGTGGAGAGGACGTGCAGGAAAAGCATATCTTTTATACAGATATCTTAATTTACAAATATTACCGGGTAAATAATCAACGTTTTAAAAACACAAATATTGACTATTTGTAAAATGTCAAAAAAAAAAAATGTCGAACATGGTGGGACCTCCATGGACCAGCCGCCACTGGTCTTCACATACCAAACATGAAATCAGAAGATAAAAATGAATAACTCATTTACACTCACTTTTGTTTTCTTTTTCTTATCTCACTTTAAAACAAGTCAGAGGATAGAGAAGCTTAACTTTGAAACACTTTCACTGAACACATTTTTCTTCCTACTGATTGCTTTTTAGCTCAAACTCATCATCAAAGAGGATTTCATTTTATATAAATGTTATTTTCTTCTTCTTGGTTGTTGTCTCATCAGACTGCGTGACTGTCACCTCTCAGAGAGAAGCTGTGAAGCTGTGTCCTCAGTTCTCAGCTCCCAGTCCTCTAGTCTGAGAGAGCTGGATCTGAGTTACAACGGCCTGCAGGATTCAGGAGTGAAGCTGCTGTCTGCTGGACTAGAGAGTCCACACTGTGACCTGGAGACTCTCAGGTCAGGATTCAATTAATGTCTTTATTTACCTCAAGCCCTTTCTGACCTTCATAAGATTCTTCTTGCTTGCCTGATTTAAATCAAATATGTATTTTCAAATGTTTCCATAAATATGTTGTAGAGTTTATTTTCAATATAATTGTTACAGGTACCAGGATTGGTACCAAGTGGCAGGTTATATGATTCTGTAAATAGGACACACAAATAACCCACAGCTCTTGCACGTCTGGTCATTGCAACTCGCTCCGTAGAATGAGGAAACGTCACTCGCGACGTTGTGGTTGCAAATCATTTCACTGCCGTAAAGCTAAAGCTGTCTAAAACAAAATACAGCGCCACCCTGCCCCCTGCTGGCTACAGGGTGGAATTTACATTTTATACAAACTTTCTAATACAAGTTATCACATTCCTATAACATACACTGTTCACTTTAAAGTATATTGTTTGTCAATGGAAACAAAACACATTAACACACATGTGTAAACACATTGGTAGGCGTCACACAGTGTTACAATTAGAAATATTGGAGATCAATCATAGTTATCAGTAATGCTAGCGACAGAGGTGTCAAGTAACGAAGTACAAATACTTCGTTACAGTAAATTTTGGGTATCTATACTTTACTGTAGTATTTTTACTTCTACTCCTTACATTTTAAAAACAGTCTCGTTACTTCCGACTTGTCATAGTTCAAAAACACAAACACAAAAAGAACCCATCTAGATAAATGGCGCTAGCCGGACAGAGTGCATTTGATTGTGTTTGGATGAGAAGTATAAACATTTAGCATCCAGACACCCGATTGGTTTTCTCCGCGATGCGCCTGCAGATCGGAGTGACACCGGGTGGGAAAAGTGGTCGGTGGAAAGTTGGTATTTAGCGACATGGACCCTCCTCCTCTTCCTCCTCCTCTTCCTCACGCAGATTCCATGTAACGTTAAACGAGTATCTTCATGACCATGGGTTTGTCGTAAATGTTTTATTGAGAGTCTGACACATCACAGCGACTTGCAAGTAGTGCAGCGTTTTAAATAAAGTGATGTGTGTCTTAATGCGGCTTTGGAAATGAACACAAAGGGATTCTGTATTTGCTCATGAAGCCTGAAAAAACTGGTTATTTGGCCGATGTTTTGATAACCGACCGCTGCCAGTTCAGTGTTTCCCATCATTATAAACAGGGGTGCGCCCCCCACCCTGTAAAAAGTCAGACCCCCCCTCTCCCCCACATGACGTAGTAAACCTGGGGGAGACACTGCAGTCTACCTGTGTGACTTGTGTCACTGTAAAATGGGTTGTGGTTTTATCTGTTTAAGTTAGATACATCTGTTGTTTTGTTGTGTCTCTGAATGTCGCCATGTTTCCACCATCCCAACGGCAGGTCACGTGATCTGCAGGCACCTTCTGATCACATTGTAACGGACTGACATGTTGTGTGAGCGAGGTTACGCATTAAGAGTTTGTCCTTAATGGAATTTCTTACATTACTTTTATACTTTAAGTAGTTTTGAAACCAGTACTTTTATACTTTTACTTAAGTAAAAAGCCTGAGTTCAACTTCTACAGGAGTCTTTTTAACCCCTAGTATCTGTACTTCTACTTGAGTAATGAATGTGAATACTTTTGACACTTCTGAAGTTGACAGACATTAGTGCGTGTCTGGTTGTGACTGGAACCCAGTCAGTAACAATGTTGATGTGACCACTCTGTACTCAACAGTAGGGCTGTCAACAAATATTCTATATTCGAATGAATTCCTATAGCTATATAGCTAATAGCCATATAGCTATAGGTATAACTATGCAAATGTGAAAATGAATATTCAAATGTAAAAAACAAACAAAAAAACACACACAACTGTGTCTCTGCTTTGCGGGGGGGGGGGGGGGGGCGCCCGTTCTGACTACATTGCATGAATAAAGTAGGCTACAACAGCTTCATGCACTGGTTTGATTATTTGCCGTTTCACGCCAAGGAAAAGTTGTGTGTGTACAGCACAGCTCGCTCGGAGCGTTCAATGTCGGTACTGTAAAACTTTCAGTCTCAATATTAGTCTTATATTTGGGACAAGAATCGCGACGTTAAATTGCTTGCACAAAACTCTTGATCAGCACTCAGCTTTTCATTATTGTTGTCGTTCATTAAAAATCGCTTTGTGCAGAGAACGAGACCAGAGATCGGCGGTCTTGGCCATTAGTTAATTTACTTATTTTTGTGTAGGTGATATGTTGTTAAATATGTTAATTAACTTAACTTAATTAAATTACCTATACAAGTAGTTGTGTCTCGTTGTATTAATTTGTCCTGTTATTGACGTGCCTAATGCGCAACCAGATATTCAAATATATTCGAATATATGTGTTTTTTTAAAACAAATATTCAACCGTCATTTTTAACCAATTTTGACAGCCCTACTCAACAGTCCTGCAGTGACCTTCCAGCCCTCACAGCTCCATCAGATCATGTGACATGTATGTTTGCAGACTGTCAGGCTGTCTGATCACAGAGGAAGGCTGTGCTACTCTGGCCTCAGCTCTGAGCTCCAACCCCTCCCATCTGAGAGAGCTGGACCTGAGCTATAATCATCCAGGAGACTCAGGAGTAAAGCTGCTTTCTGCTGGACTGGAGGATCCACACTGGAGACTGGAAACTCTCAGGTATGAAGAGGCCTGCTGCAGCCACAGACCATCAGTCTGGTAGGAGTTAGAGCTGGAAGCCTTTTCTTTTTCCCACTGTCAGCCTGGTTAATATGACCCAGACATACCAAGCTGACCTGAAACTACCAGAAGCTCATCAAACTGTTTGTGTTCCACATGAGACCATCAATGCAGACTGAAGCAGTTAGGAACAGTAGACAGGAAGGAAGATGCTGAAAGGCTTGTTTCACTGGAGCCATGTCTTGTTTCCATGTTATAAGAGAGGACAGTGGTGTATCCTGACACGTTGACGGGCATCATGGTGGGTTGATATGTGTCAACGTCGTCACGCTGCGGGTTTGTGCAAAACACAACGGCAAATAGGAACGCACAACGGCAAATAGGAAAACACAAAATTTACTTTTTACGGAAAGGTTAGGGTCTTATAGCAGGAAGCAGAGGACGGACCCTTCTGATTGGACAGGGTTGTCTTTTAACCCTCTTAATCTGAAGCCTTTCGCCGGTGACGGAAAGTGACATGGAGGATTCAAATTACCGTGACTCCTCAACTATTTGCATCGGATTCTGAAAGCTGAAAAATGCCGCTTCCTAGATATTCTGTCAATCAATAAATCAGTGGCGGGACTGAGAGCCTGTGATGAGGGGGGGAAGTGAGCGCAGCAGGAGAACCGCAGCGGAAAGTCACGGAGAGATGGCGACGTTTTACGAGCGTCTTATAAGTGTCCTAGTAGTGTTTCACCATTGTTTACCGCTGTTTTGTTGTTCAATTATTTTTAGGTGTTGTAAATAAAAGTAAATAAAAGGGGGGCGGGGGGGTTACCGCGGACGCTACGGCCAACACGGCTCGGAGACCGATTCCTTGGCGTGAGGAATTGGATGTGTGGCGGTAGTGCGTGACAAGAGACCGAAATGCGTGACTGTCTCGCTCAATGCGTGACACTTGAGAGCCCTCTTTCATTTCCTGTTAAAAGACAAACAGTCCGTCTGTCCAATCAGAAGGGTCTGTCCTCTGCTATAAGGCCCTACCCTTTCCGTAAGAAGTTAATTTTGTTATGTTCAACCTTTTTGCCGTTGTGTTTTGCACAGGAGACGTTGCAAAGACTGTCTCAGTATGTGCCAAAAGCTACTCGCTCAACCGTGGATCTGCTGCCATAAGTCCTGCGGAGCGTAACATCCCGCCGCTATGCTATCATCACACTCTGTGGATTGCAGGACAATGATAACTGGATTGGAGCTTGACCGGAGCGTGTCAATACGTTAATATATGCATGGCCTATCAGTAGAATCAACAGTATCAGTAGAAGACGAGGGACTGCAGATGCCGGTAAATGCTGCGCTGCTTCGCTCTGCGTGGATGTTGAGGGGTGACTCGTCATACCGGGTGTTAGCCCAAAGTCCTGGGGCTGCGATGTTGCTTCACGTGGACGGAACAGGCTCTGACTTTCCCAGATGTTGGAGGCGAGCCTCGCTGGTGATCCCAGTGCCTGTAGGGTGGAGATGATGGTGATCAAACCATCCCAACCTTGCGTAAGGAGTTGAAACATAAAAGGACCCCTGGCGAGAGGGACGCGTGGTGCTGGGGCCACGCCGTGCCCTTAAGTTTACCCAGAATGCTTCTTGCTCGTCAGCTGAGTGCTCCCAAGCCAGCCACTCTGTGGCTGCTAGCCGGCTCTGGTCTTGGTTTAACTTTCTCCCAAATCGGTCGATATCTGAATTGGACCTCGTCAGACGAGCCAAACATTCCGCATCCGATTTCGAGCTGAAATGACACCTGACAGCAGCAATGTGACTGGTTTAGAGACACAGGGTCGCGTCTGGTTGGTTGGTTGGTTGGTTGTTTAAACGTGGACACGCCAACATCAGCTGATAGCGTGATGCTGGGAGACCGACTGAAGTAGACATAGATTACTCGTGGTGTAAAGGGAACTACCGCTTAAGCTCCATGTAAGACAGAACTACTTTAGAAGACGATCACATGTCACATGTTCTGTTTACAGCTTGTTGTCACTGAACCACAAGTGGACAAAGAAACACATGATGCAGGTTTAAACATTTGATTCACTGATGGACTGCTGAAGGAAACTGAGTCTGAAATGGAAGATGATGGTCAGTATAATACTGAAAATTATAGATGACGAATAAGTGAACATAATTAGCTCTGGTCATCGGCCAAGCAGAAGAAGCTCCAGTGCAGTAGAAGTAGAAGAGGTGGTCCATGTGAACATGAAGAACAAAGCTGTGTGTATGAGAGTGATATAATGTCCATGTCTCAATGCTGCTCTGACCCCCCTCCTCATTTCAGGGTGGAGCCTGCTGGACTCCAATGGTTGAGACCAGGTCTGAAGAAGTGTAAGCGTGCTTTGAATTTGATTCAGATCTCCAACCATCTTCACACTGTGACATCACTCACGCTTGTGATGTCACCATCAAAGTGTCAAAATTGTGTCTTGTTCTCTCATCAGATTCCTGTGAACTCACAATCGACGCAAACACAGTAAACGGAGAACTCAAACTGTCTGACAACAAGAGGAAGGTGGAACGTGTGTGGAAGGAAGAGTGTCCGTCATATTCTGATCATCCAGACAGATTTGACGTTTTTCAGCTGCTGTGTAAAACTGGTCTGACCGGTCGCTGTTACTGGGAGGTCGAGTGGAGAGGAAACGTTGAAGTATCAGTGAGTTACAGAGGAATCAGGAGGAAAGGAGCCAGTAAAGACTGTTTGTTTGGATGGAATGATCTGTCCTGGAGTCTGATATGCTCTAATAGAGGTTACTTTGTCTGTCACAATAACATAGTAACACGCATCACCTCCTCCTCTTCCGCCACCTCCACCATAACCTCTGGTAGAGTAGCAGTATATGTGGACTGTCCTGCTGGCTCTCTGTCCTTCTACAGAGTCTCCTCTGACACACTGATCCACCTCCACACCTTCAACACCACATTCACTGAACCTCTTTACCCCGGGTTCTGGTTGAGTATGTGTGCCTCAGTGTCTCTGTGTTCTCTGCAGGAGGGAGAGTCTCCTCCTGGTGGAGAACCTTCCTCTCTGCTCACCACATAGTTCAGTCTGTACACAACGTCACACAGCTGATGTTGGTTCATGTGGGTGTAGATGCAGGTGGAGCAGGTGAGGGGTACCTGAGCTGGTCCGGACTCTGGGGGGTCCACAGCTCTCTGGTGTTGCAGAGGGAAGTCTGAAAGAGCTCAGCGGGGTGTGTTTTAATGTCGCTGTGCTCGTTGCCTCTGTGGATGAATCAAAAGATTATCATTTAGTAATTGGGTCCTAATTGGGGTTTAATCTTTATGTGTCACAATGTTCAAGAAGACATTTAATAAAAAGGTCTGTCATCTGGCCCCCCTAATACAAGATACATGGGTGTGTATGATCAACTGTCCTTATTTGTGTGTGTGTTGTTCATTAGCATTCATGCTAATAAAAGCATGTTCTTTTAAGGATCGTTTGCAGTGAGCGATGGACGGGTCCTCGCTACGCCGCATGTTGGGGCGCTGGCCGGACGGTCAAAACCGCAGCCAAGAAGTCCAGCGGAGTCAGTCATCGTTAACCATAAAGAGCGACATCAGGAATGCCGCTTTGCAAACTTAACTTAACTTTAACTGGTTTATTTGAGAAAATTGCACTTTCTTATTTCTTGTTCTTCTGAGTTTGTACCCTATGGTTGAATGCACTTATTGTAAGTCGCTTTGGATAAAAGCGTCAGCTAAATGACATGTAATGTAATATAATGTAACATTATTAAGGTCTTTTCTGACAACATTCGAGAGGGATCTGATTAATTTCCGAGGAGCAGAGTACAAAAGAAAAAATATTAACTTCCTGTTGCCATGTGGTGGGACTATGACTAGAATTCAAAATGTCTACAGGATAAGGATATGGATGAGAAATATGGGCAACGGTCATAAGTTTTCACTAGTCCTGATATGCACATCACACAAAAATAGAAGCGGCCTACTTCCTTATGATTTAGAGTATGGGTTACATATGTTACATGTTCCTACTGAGTTTCAAACTTGTAGGTCAAACGTAGCGCTGGGGCTGCTTGAATCAATATTTGTGGAGGGCTCTATTGAGCCGAATTACCATTTTGAATGATTAAAATTATATTAAGTAACTACATCTTTGACTCGCATGTACCACAAGGCTCTGTTTGCTTTGGACAACAGAGGGGGTCGCTGGAGAGTTTCAACTCAGTGCATGCTGGGATTTCTCCAATAATGTTTCATCTCTCTTCAGATTTCAAATCAGATCTATTTCTGTGTCTAAGTGCAAATGTAGGTCTCACAGGAACACACCACATACTCATAGGAGCCAGGCAGGGACAAACAACCACAGAAACAGAAACATTGAAGTATACAAACTATTTTTGGGGCCTACAACAGTTTGATAAAACCTTTAAATGGAAACAGGTACACAAATGGAAACGCCAATGCTGCCATCTAGTGGTGCAAATGAGCTGAAGCAATGCATCACTGAAAAGGGCAAAACCACACATTTATCGTTTCAGTATATCAGTATGAGGAACATTAGAATAGAAACGTGGTCTCTCTATTCAGAAAACAAATACTGAAGACACTGTGTGCATTATGAATACAAAAACAACAACACTCACATGTAACTGAAATAATCAAATCAATCCAACTTTATCTCAGATTCAGGGTCCAGAGGAGACAAGACAATATATTTGGTTCCAGAGAGTAAAACAAGCATGCTTGGTGCTTTTTGGGAGGAAGGACTCATGCGGCCGTGACGTAGACTTTGTGGAAGCTCCTGGAAACGACTCCGGCGCTGCTGCTGTGCGAGAAAGTGGCCATGAGCAGTTTAGTGCCGGCCGATGAGGCTGCGATGGTCACCGTCTTCACCAGCTTCTCGCCTGGCTGCAGGAGAAGCCGTCTGTGAGAAAGAGAGAAAAAGACAGAAGGAAATTAGGTGAGAAAGAGAGAGAAGGGGGAATCAATCTGCAGATACTTTTGTTTTATTTGAGTTGATAATAATATTGGGTCAATAATTAAAAGGAGCAATCGGCGATAAAATTGATGCGCCACAGCACAAACGGTCATAATAAAAGTGTGTGTGTGTGTGCGCATGTGGGCAGTGTTTGTTTATATATGCTATCAATTATTAAATAGTGCAGAGATCTTACTTGCACCCACAAATAATGTTCTGCTCTGCCCTCCGAGAAGCAAATGCCAAAGCGGCGGGAGGTGATTCTTGTGTGATACAGAGCTGTTTTAACATTGGAATGAGTTTCAATGCCATTCGAAGGTAAACGCATAAACTACTGAGCCTGACAGTGTCGACAAACCAGGAAAACCAGAGGAAACAGAAGGTCTGAGCTCGTAGCATGTAGCATAGTTTGAGCTTCGGATATGTGTGAAGAGTGACTAAGATGTTGCAGCATCACAACTTGTTTATAGTAGTTTTCTCTTTTTTTTGTTATAAAGGAGTGAGCCGTTTGGTGCAAACGGCTTTGCCAATAAAGAAAGTGTAACGTGACGTAAATTGATGTGCATACAGAATAGATAAGGCGATCAGTGCATGATCCATTTGTGTGCAAAAGGTTACCTTCCTGCTGACACATACCTGACAGCATTCCCAGACGGCATTCCAGCACGCTGTCTTTTCATGCCATGCAGGCAACAGTATCACTTGAGAATCATGATTCAGTGTTTTTGCTTCTCTTCCAACTCTAAACAGACCTACCTCTCTTGGTGTCTGCCTTGTAACAAGCCAGATCCCTTCACAGTGAGCACAGCTCCACTCAGGACTTTGGTAAAAGGGTTGATGAAGGACACCCGGGCGGTGTACTCCTTCTTCATCTGGATGCTGTCCCCTCCCTCAATCTGTGGGAAAGCCACACACAGACAATTAAATCCTGGTTACTTGGAAAACAAAATGAGTGGAGGTCATTCATTTGAAGATAACAAAGGATCGTTTTAAATCCATTTTCATGTTTCTCATGTTCTTATTTATTTTTGGAGAAAGCATTTATGCTGGTTGCCAATGAGGATCCAAGTTAAGAATTTGTTGTTTGGTGAGCACATGGCCTTTGTCCTTCACGCCCAGGTAGTACGGCGCGGTTTATTATATTATATAGGTTTTATTCTGCTTATGAATATAACGTTGTTTATACAACTTCATCAGGAGATACCGATTAGGAAGGCGGAGGAAGGTATTTGTGAGCTGGGGGGCCGGATGCTGCCGTACCTCTACGCTGATCTGTGGTGAGCTGATGTTGAACTCCTGCGCAGCCAGGACTCTCTCCTTCGTCTTCTCGTCCTTGATCACCACCGCCACGTTCACAATGTCATCGCCTGCCAGGAACGCCTCGTACTCGGCCGGAGGGATGCTGTGGTGAAGCGTCAGAACTGCAGAGAACACACAAACAAAAGTTCATAACAATCCCTCGTGTATGCGCGTAATAAAGGAAATGGTATCAAATCCAACAGTGGTGCTAAGGGATGTTCTCCTCACCTTCACCCGGCCGTACGCGCACTTCTTTGTGGGTTTTCCAGAAGCTCCTCTCCGGGTGGCTGTTGAAGGCCTTCAGCTGAGCGTTGAGGTGCTCCGTCAGGAGCCTCGGTCTGCTCGACTGGTTGGTGACAGTCACACACAATGAGATGTTCTCACCCGCTGACGGCAGCCCATCGACGCTCAGGGACACCGCCAACTCCGATGACTGCTGTGATTCTGCAGACAAGATCAGCACAAACTGAACATTAACTCAGCATATTATGACTTATCGGCAGGTGCGTTTTTAGTACAACAGGGCGACACAATCCGCTAAATCCATCATTTCTCCATCGAGGCAAAACAGAATAACAACTTCTGCACGATTGAGGAAGTTTTGCTGGATTTATCCATTTCCATGCATCTTCTACTGCGACACACTAGTGTTGAACATATGTGAACACAAAGCCCTGCTTATGTTGGTGGCAAACTGCTGCAGTACCTGTGGCGTGTTGCATTTGTAACAGTGGGAGTAGAGGTGAATGCTTACGGTCTGTTTGCAGGGATCGGGCGGAACACCTCACTGTATGGGGGGAGGAGAGGGAATTAGTGATGACGGCATCAAAGCTTTAGGGTGGAAACAAATGCCCTCCACAGGGTGGAGGGGGACACTTTATCACAACCACTGACCTCCGGCACTGTAGCGCGTCATACTGACTCCTGGTTGCTTCCCTGCAATAGGAAAGAAAATGTGGAGGAAAGCTGTCTTAAATATGTAGAGAACGCAAACTGTAAACGCACGACTTCTACGAGCATCACACTCACACATACACACACACACTCACACACACATACACACACACACACACACAACGCAGGATCACCCCGCACGACGTCCGCGTCGACGGAGGCGTAGATGAACGGCGCGTCGTAGCGCGCGTCATAGCGGCGCTCCCGAACGGCGGCCCACTGGGCAAGGGCCACAGCAGAAGACCCCTGAGAGAGAGGGAGAGAGCGTTTGCCAATCACAAAGGAATCCCGTCAGCCTGTGAGTCAGTCCCGGGGGTGGATGTGACACGTCGTCTGAAGGTACAGCGACCCACCTGCACTCCTCTCTTGGGGGGTCGGGTCCACCACCTGCCAGCCGTCGAACTCCGCGCCGAGGTCCCCTCTCGTCATCCAGCACTCCACCCACACGTGGAAGTTCCTGCGAGGAGCACACACACGTTGACATGAACACAACATGGACATCATTTGTGGAAATACTATTTGTTTCAATGGAAACTGTCCTCCTGACCGACTGGTATGTTTCTGGTTTGGGGGTAACAGACACCCACCAAATGCTGTCCTTTGACAGGTTGAGCTTTTCCCCTGTGGTCGAGTAAAATTCTTCTATTGTGAGGTTGGCGTCGCCGTCGTGGGCTGCGTTGAACACTGTGACCACCCTGCAGGGAATCCCCAACACTCGCATCACTGTGAACAAAAAGAGAGTCAGTCTTTACCTGCAGACGGACCAGGATTCTGAAATCAGCTCTATTGGCAGAATAGTGTTGATGAAACTACTTGATGATAATATTTCAAAGGTCAGTTCCGCTCTAATTGTATCTAGTCGTTTAAGTTTTAGTTGGCTTTTCATGCATTTTACCGTAGAATTGAGAGTTCATTCGTTCATAAAAGAATATTCAGCTTAATAAGAATCACACACACAGAAAAAATTGAGCTGAAGGGATCACTGACAAAATCAGGCAAATATTACTCAACAAGCGAGATTGGATTTGGACAGGATTAATATTAGTTAATGTGAATGAAATAGTCTCTTATGTCCTTGGTAGATTCACTCAGGATGTGGTCCGAAATAGATACAGAATTTAACGTGTGTTTCCATCTGTTTTCGTAGAGGACGTTATGGACGAGTGTTTTTACAGTGTCCATCTATCGGCTGACAGCTGCTCACAGAACAACAGCAGACGGGGGTTAAATCCCTCCACCTCTAAAGCCCAAACATTGCCCTTTGGAACTAATTAACAGAAATGATTGAAAGAATGAGAAAATAATGAATGGGATGAAACCGATCAATAAACAAACCAATGCACAATCACTATTATCCCATCGGGGATACTGTAAAAACCTCTCATAGCATTGTGACCCGATTCAACGTCGATGAGCCGTCGGAGACAGCTCAGTCACACTTAAACGTCCCCCGTGGACTTTCCCTAATGATCCAACGTACCTGTGCAGAGGACGCCTGCAAAGACCCAGCACTGTCCGTAGCGCACGGCTTGGCAGTTGGACGAGACCCATTGGTGCAGGATGTCGGCGCTGCCGCTCCACTCCGTGGGATTGACCCCACCGCTGTAGCCGCCCTGCCACTTCCCGTCCAAAATACCCATGTCATCATTTCGGTTCACCTTGGAGAGGGGAGGAGACACATCACGCGAGCTTTCTCTCTGTCCTCACTGTGAAAGGGGGAGGTGCTCTTAAACGTTTTCCCAGCCGTGTCGTTGAGAATAGTTGGCACGAGAGGCAACAAAGCAAGTGATGTCTCTCACCATGGCGCATATCACTCTGCTGAGGTAGACGGGGTCCGCTCGGCGCATGTAGTCCTCGTCTTTGTCCATGAAGTGCTGCGGACTGACCTCCAGGAGCTTCAGACACGCCTCAAGTACCCCAGGCTCATACTGCACACGTGGAAACAGAGTCACGTGTCAGTTTACCTGCAAGACAACACTGCGACTATAGATACCGCACTCCGAGCCTTGCGTACCTGACCAAACGACCAGGGCCGCCGACCAATGTTTCCACAGGTGCCCATGTACAGCAGCCCGTAATCGCTCCTGATGTACTCTTGTATTTGGACATCCATTGGCATGTACACTGGATCATCTGAAAGGCAATATCAGCGGTGGGAATGAACAGGGCAACCGCAATAAAGAGACCTGGGAGGAGTATTGATCAGGCGGCATCTCTCCGGTTTGACCCACCTTTCAGCCAAGGGTTGCAGAGCAGCACAAAATCTCCAACTGAGTAGCTCCTTCTAGTCTGTCGGGTCTCCAGGTGCAACAGGAGGCGATGCAGAGCCACGGAGGACAGAACAGGGGAGCAGACGTGGACCTCAACCGACTCAGGGTGCAAGCCGCCTGGGTATATTTTGGCTGACCAGCTGTCGGGGTTGTATTTCTCCTTAGAGAACTGGACCGGGATCCTCGCAGACAGATTACCTGTGTGGGGACAACAAAAGAGTTGGTGTGATCACGGATCTATGAAGAGAACCGGACACTGTGTGAAAGGTTGCACCGTGTTCATTCCTAGAAAGATGACTCTGCTAGCTTCTGGCAATCTTCCTCATTCATCAGAGAGCAGGTTTTAGCGTTCCTTTAACCCCTGCCTTTCTCCTTTAACAGCTCGTGGGCTGTTTTCTATGGAAAAACCAAGGGAGACGGCATTTATTTAAACTCCCATTTACAGTTCGCTACTGCGGCAAAATACCATCTCGAGAAGGTAAACTCTGTTTATTTGTCTCGGGTCCGCTTCCGTAATTGTTTGTTTATTGAATCCAAAGTGGCAGAAACGAGAGAAAGCCTCCTATTCATCCTCCTCCTCCTCCTCCTCCTCCTCCACCTCCTCCTCCTCCTCCTCCTGGCCGCTGGGAGATTGCTCGGATACAGACCTTTGGTTAGTTAGCTGTGGTAACTCACGTTCAGTCAGACCCTGCAGGTCAGATGCAGGACCACTTACACATGGGAGACCAAACGGTTGGCGCCGGCCCCGAGCCCGCTGAGTACATATATTTAAGCCGTGTGGAATTGAGAGAGGCTGCTTTCAGGGTTTCGCTTTAAATGAGAACACAATCACATCTTTAATCTTCAATCATGTACCGAGGCAAACCTCCAGGACCAGGTTCTCGTTGCGAGGATTCCACATCTGGCTGCGAAACAGCAGAGTCAGTTTGAAAGGTTTCCCTCTGCGCACCACTAGGTGCTTGTAGCTGAGGCCCTCTGTCTCATGGGAAATATGGTTCTCATGAGTCTCGAAGTTGACAAACCCCAGTTGGCAGTTGCTCTTAAAGCCTGTGAAAAGACGAGATGACCGGTTACAAATACCAAATTAATCTTAAGAATAAAGACCCTCGTTCACTCCTAGGATGGGTTAGAAATGGAGAAGTGGAGGGGGCGCTGAAGAAATAATTTCAATTCATTTAATTTTTTATAGCTCAAAATCGCTCAAAAATGTGCCTCGCTTCAGTGTGTACACATGCACTATCTTCTGTTCTATTGATTTTTTTAACAAGGAGACAGTGCAGAGAAGCCATTATATGATCCCTTTTCTTAGTTCTTTTGGAACTAGCAGTTCCAGGCAGGCAGTTTTGGAAATGAAGTCATAAAAGTAGCCAGCAGGCATCTCTTTTCTTTTACATTGTTGTTCAAACTATTTGGACCAGACGCATACCTTTGTGAGACTGTCCACATAGTCTGTCTTCACGTACTCTGCATTGCAGCCCGTCTTTCAACATCTAGTTGCACCTCAGTGACTAAAATATGTGTGATGTCAGCCACTTGTTTTGACAAAGTAGTGAAAACAAACATACAGATGACTGTACAATAGATTGTCAGAAAGATAAAGGACTTCTGTTGAAATAATACTTGATTGGGATTGATCAGAGTCTTGCAAAGTTAAGATATATACAAGTAGCATTTTATATTCCTAAGAAATGGCAGCAAAACAACCAAACAAGCACGTTAAAGAAACTCCAAAGTGTTTCTTCCTTGCGGTAAGCATCCTTTGCAGAGTGAACTCACCCCAAGCGTGTGTAGTCTGTTGAATGCAATCCATGGTCTGACAGCGAGGAGTGGCAAGCAGCCGAAGTTAGAACCAGCAGGCTCCACCTTTCCACTAAAACACACCGCCCAGTCCCTTCTTCTACGTGGCCACCCACCATTGTCCGACAGTAGGGGGTAGAAGTAGTAGTAGAAGTATAGATACAAGGGTTTAAAAAGAAAGTGCTTTAAACCAATTATCAACACTCGTGATTGGTGTCATGTGTTTACTTCTGCTAATCCGAAGTGAACAGAAAACAACCATGAATAAACAACCGTCAGTCCAGACCGGTAATACTTACTGACTGAAGCGCTACATAATGTTTATAATGTGCACCACCTTATATTTTGCGTGCTAGCGTAGTGGATTGTGTCTCTTTAGTTGTTTCGATTCATTGTCCAATCGTGCTCACTTAAAACATTATGTGCACATCTGTAAAAAACAACCTAAATAGCTGTTGTCGTGCCGCACCTGTTCTGAGCAAAGAGGCCAAACACACCTTTCTCTAGAAGAATGTGTGACGCAGTGCAATTACTGGCCGGTCGCATTGGAAAATTCTTAATTATATTTAAAAAACTTCCCATATTATAAAAGTGAAAACTACACAGATTATCTTATGCTGTGTTTTGGGGGTTGGATTCAGTTTTGTGCAATACAGGGACAAAAGGGGCTCAAATGGAACAAATCCAAATAGTTCATTTTTAATTTTTATTCCAAAAAATTGTTATACAAAAAGGGCATATCAGGGACAATTAATTAAGTAAAAACATTTTTTTACCCAATATGTAGTCATATAAAATCTCCAAAATAAACCACAAAATAACTTTGATTTTTAAATTGCAGGAGAACCTAATTTCCCTTAAAAGCACTTGGAACAGCGACTGAAACACTCAAGAATTGATTGCACTTACTTTTTTGCATCCAGCAGTGACACATAAAGAAGGTCAGTTATGGACGCATGTAACCCCTTCAACCATCAACCAGGAAGTACGCAAAGACTGCAGAGGGAGACACCTGTTTGTGTCGCGAGTGAAACCAGAAGCCAACGGTGATTTATTTGTTACTTTTAGATCATTTGTTGTCTAAAGACATTTCTCTAGTTTGAAAAGACTGCATCTGAAACAAAAGGGGCCCACTGAAGCAGTTAAGTGGGAAAACACACAAAGATCAAATGGCGTATATATTTAATGAGGAACTCTAAGCAGCCCGATTCCCAGTTTTTAGGGGTTTTTCTGAAATTTTATTTCCACAGCGTCCGTACGCACACATGCACGCACACACACACACACACACACACAAACAAAACAGTGCATTCTTTCACCACTTCTGCGCACAAACAAAATCCCGATTTGAGTTTTCATTAATAATTTAAGTTTCACGGCGACGCATAAGTGCTGCAGAGAAATAGAACAGAACTGCTTCCGTTCAACCTCGATTAAGTTAAACGCAGAGAGAGAGAGCACAAATATGATACGATCCGAGGGTCACAAACTGACAGTTTAGAGGCTCATATCACCTGCCGGGTGAACATTTCTTCTCTTATTATGCACTGGATCTGACCAGCGAATGGGAAAGGGAGCAAGAGAAATGGAGCAATAAGTTGTTCCCACATTCTCACGACAGTTTGACGCACAAAAAGATGACACGACAACACACGTACAACCTCAGATCAGCGACACGGGGAGATGTCTGTCATTAAACCGACCAGAGACAGTCTGAAATTATCATGTTTCACGTAGGTCGGACCGGTCAAAACGACTAAATATATTCCTGATTATTTGTATGAATCATTGGCCAATGAAAAGGTTGCACGTGCAACGAAGTAGGAGTACGTTCTCTAAGGAAAGAAAACAAACAAACATGGCAAAACATTAAAAAAAAGGTGCTACTGGTATTTACAGGACAGTTATTTTCGCCACTGAAGGACACATTTATCAATTCATGATTTGTTTGGATTCCCCACAGAAACGCATCGGTGCGAGTCACTCCCTCCCACAAAATGAATGCAAAATTCTGTACAATTCTTTTCTATGAACCACAAACGCTTTTAAAAAAATATAAATAGGAAATTCAACAAACAACGCACACACATCAAGCCCTGACGCTCCAACAATGAAAACCCAAACACACATGTTAACGTACATAATTTAGAACACGCCGGAGGGGGGTAGTAAGATTACAGGCATATGGTGAACTTCTCCTGCTTTGACCCCTAAAAGTACAACAAAAAACTCCTAAAAGCACGCTGTGTCTTCAACACACTCATCTAAACCTGCACAAAAACTATCATCAACCTACGCAACCAAACGCATCGAACACAGCTACACTCTGATTTAAGACTCGCCTCCTCTCTGAACACCTGAGCTAACTAATAAAGAAGGACGCGTTCCTGTTAGCTGTTAGTCACTAACAACCATCGCCACCTGCTCTCCTCCACGCCAACGAAACCTCATCTGGACCCTTTGCTTCAAACCCTTCTTTCAAACACGCTTCTTTTAAAAATAAATCACACACGCGTTGAAAAAGTCACAGTAGCCCTTTGGGTTACCGCTTATTTGAAGAGTAATGCAAATCAGATAAATATAAGTATACAACCCCGTAAAAGCAGTTATCAGTGAGTTTGGAAAATGATAGATGAACATTAAGCCGTTTCATCACTACCTCGTTAATTTGTTCCTGGAGACCAGTCCTTAGGACGAGGCGGGACACCTCGAGTCCCCGCCTCCGTCCGTAATTATCAGAGGTGTCAAAAGTCTTCACATTCATTACTCAAGTAGAAGTATAGATACAAGGGTTTAAAAAGACTTCTGTAGAAGTATCAACTCAAGCGTATGACTTAAGTATAAAAGTACTGGTTTCAAAAACCAGTACAAGCTGCGCTGCTTCGCTGTGTTGTCTCAAATTCTCAATAAAGTTAGAAAAAAACATTTACGGCAAACCCCTGGTCATGAAGACACTCATTTAACATTACATGGAATCTGCATGAGGAGAAGGAGGCGGGTCCATGTCACTAAATACCCAACTAAGATGAAAAAGGATCCTACCACCGACCACCGGGGGAACCCGGAACCCGCCGTTCTGACTACCACCGACCACTTTTCACACCTGCCGTCACTCTGATCTGCAGGTGCATACGGAGAACACCAATAGGGTGTCTGAATGGTAAATGTTTATACTTCTCATCCAACCACAATCACAATATTTCTATCCGGATGGCGCAATTTATCTGGACAGGGGTTTTTTTGTGTGTTTTTGAGCGACGACGAAAGCCGGAATGAAAGCAAGCCAAAATGAAACGGAAGTAATGACGCTATTTTTAAAATGTAAGGAGTAGAAAGTACTGATATTTGCGTAAAAAATGTAACGAGAAGAAGTAAAAGTCGTCTGAAAAATAAATACTCCAGTAAAGTATAGATACCCCAATTTTCTACTTAAGTAAGGCAACGAAGCATTTGTACTTCGTTACTTGACACCTCTGGTATTTATCCACGGAGAAACGTCTGTGCTTTCAAGGCCGCCGCTCTGAAGCGTCCCGCGGGATCCAAACCTCTTCGCCTTCGGACAGAGACGCGTCGACCGGATGTCGCATGTAAACTATTGTGTGGGAAGAAAACCAGCCTACGAGTCCTACCTGGATTCAACATTAGCAATAAACACACAAACAAATGATCAAAATAACATTCACATAAATAATTTAAATAGCAGTACTGAAGCTAAATTATTTGTCTAGTCAGATGGCCAAAGATAAGTTAGAATATAGAGATTTTGGAATCAGGGTCGTATTTGGGGGAGAACAGGAATTTACCCACAAATCATTTTTCCCCCCACGCCGCACAACTAAAACATCAGGTTTGGAGTTTTGACAGATATTTTGCCAAAGAAATGTGGACGTCGAGCCCCCTTCTAGACGCCCCAGGTAACAGGACGAGTGTTAGATTGAGAGGCCCCCCTCCATCTAAGCGTCGCCCAGTACTTGCGACAGGTCGTCAAAGTCGCAGTTGAACAGTTCACTGATGCCTTCGTGGTCCTCTAGTCCAAAGTGGTAGTCGTGACTGTGGGGGGGGGACAGGTTGATGAAACCGTCCAGTGGGAGAGGAATTCCGTCGGCGTTCAGGAAGTCCGAGGAGGAGATGGGCGAGAGGTTGAAATCGGGCATTTCGCCGAGGCCGGAGAAGGGGTCGCCTCCCAGCAGCGATTCTGTGGCAAGAGAGTAAAAAAAAAAAAAAAAAAAGTAGTAACATTCTTTTGATCAATACCTAAATCCAAATCAGCTGTGTAGAAAAACACACATTTTCTTGAACCCAACTTCTCGCTCCGTGTCCCTCGCACTTATTTCGGTATTTTTTCTTAAATTTAACTATTCTGACAAATGAAACGCTCTTTGTTCTTTGAAAGAGCATACCTGTATTGCTATGCTATTATATTGTCATTATGTAATCAGTGGCATAAAAAAAAGAAGTAACATTTTTAAAAATTGAAAATAATATTGTTTATCGCAAATATTGTTGATGCAATAATCGCACAACCCAAATTTGTGTAGAGACGCTCACCTGCGTCGCCGCCTAACACCAGTGACGAGGGGTCGTGCTGCGAGGCCGCCGTCGCCGTGGACGACGTGGACGCCGGTGACGCCGGTGACAACAAAGTCTCGTCTTGCGCTGCTGTAGAGTTTCTGGCTTGCGATTGGTCCGTGGGTCGCGCAGGAGGCGGGACCAGCAATGGGTCGGGTTTGGAGGGACTACCGCCGGTCACTGGGCTGCAGACGCCGGAGCTTTCCTCTGGGCAGAGGAAGACGTCGATGGGACCCCGGGTGCTCTTCAGCGACACCTGGTAACTCTGGGAGACGAAGGAACATTGTGAAACATTTACTGCACGTTAATGAACTTTAGCATAACACGACATTGTACAATTTTGTTTTTTATTCAAAAAGGTTTTAAACAAAGTGCAGTTACTGCCAAAGTGCTTTTTGGATGACCAATAGGCGAAATGTTGGCCCGTTACCTTGCTGGGCTCTGAAACCTGCATCTGGGTCTCCGGTGGCGCCCTGATCACCATGACCAGCTGGTCCGGGGAATCAAAGGACTTCTTTAAGTCCTGGCAGCGCACGTATCCCAATGTGATGAACGCACCGGTGAAGGAACACAACACAGCAGCATGCGGGATTATTCCAAGACCGCAACAGGGTCTAAAAATAAATTAAAATCACCACTTAAAGTGTGTGAAAAGGATATTTCTTGTTCTGCGTGTCCTCTGTGAGCAGTCGGAGCTGCAGGTTGCATTTGGAAATGAGCTGGTCCAGCTGCTCTTCGGCGTCCTTGAGGTCACACACCTCTCCGTGCAAGTCCTTTTGGCGGGAAACCAACGCTGCATCAACTCGATTCCCCCTGCAGGGGAAGACAGCGTGTAAAAATGAAGACGTGCACAATGTAGCGGCCATGTTGTTACAATGGAAGTGATTTGGTGTTACTGGTTCATGCAGCAAACTGAGGTAGCACACTCACAGCCACTGGATGTTGTTCTTGGACTTCTTGGAGATGAGCTGAATTCCCTCCAGGACGTTGGTTATGTCGTAGATGCGTCTCTTCTGGACATCCAAGACCTGCGAGGCCCAGTTGAGATCCACCACGCCGTCGGCCGACTGGGAAAGCAGGTTGAGAAAGCGCTTGGTGGTCAGGTTCAAGGAGGTGTCGTAGCGGGACTTTTCCGTCGCAGTTCGGGGAACTGGAAAGAAAGGGGTTTCAAAAAAAACAAAAACATTTTCTTTGCGCTCATTTTTATCTAGATAAAGAATCAACATTATAAGCCTTTAATGAGTTATCTTTTAACAAATCTAGTAATTATCCAATTGAAAAACGCGCACACACAAGACATGAATTTATAGATTCTAGTGAAAACACAACAGTGTTTAAACCACTGGACCCGGTCCAGCTTTTAACATGTAGTGAAGCTATAAATCTGTACTCGAACTCGAACGGCCCAACAGATATAATAGTGAGAGAGAGAGTGTGTGTGTGTGTGTGTGTGTGTGTGTGTGTGTGTGTGTGTGTGTGTGTGTGTGTGTGTGTGTGTGTACCTCTGGGAGGAGCAGGGGTGGAGGGTGGTGCTTGGCCTATGGACGGTCGAGTTGTGCTGACGTACTGATGGTCGCTGTCCAGGTCCAACTTCCTCTTTACCTGAATGACAAATGGTTGTAATGACGCACTTATTAAGCACTACGAACAGCTGAAGAAGAAAAGGCAACAGGTGGACGCGCTTAAAGCGCTTTGTCACGTGGATATTAGTGTGCTCGTGGAAACAATTCAACATAATATACCCACGGCCATCTGACCCCCCCCCCCTCCTCCTCACCGGAGGTCTCCCCAGAGCCGGCCGTCTCTTGTCCTGGACCCCCACGTCGACGGAGCCCTGCGGCGTGGCAAACAGCAGGATCTCCCCCGTGCTGGTGGGGACGGAGGCCGGGTGGAGCCCCTCACTGCCGGGGCTGGTGATGATCACTATCTGGTGGTTCTGGCTCAGGTCGATGCTGCCGGAGTTCAGCAAAGTCTCAAAGTCGACCAACAGATCCTCCGATGTCTGGCCCGTTATCAGAGTCTCTGACATGGTGCAGGGTCACCGGGGGTCACCGCTCCACTGGGCTTCAGGGGCGAGCGAGGAGGCTGCAGTTTTGTCTTTCAACACCCACTTGGATTGGCTGTGGTCCGGGGATTTAACGAGCAGCGATGGAACCTTTTGAAAGTTTGTTCCAAGGCGATTACAGGCAGGCCGAACATTTCTTTCTATTAAAGTTCTCCTTGCCTTATTTTGCGTCTTATTCCTTTTTGTTTCAAGCTACTTATTACTACGTTTAGTTAAACATAAGTAATAACCTCGGGTAAGCTAACTGCTGAAAAACCAATATGGGGCTGGTGGGGAAAAGGCCACACGGGAGGTTCTGCCAGACGGCAAATTTGGCAAATAAACGATTGTTGTTGAACATCTAAACATTCCGGCTACGACCTCCGGGGACCAGCAGCTGACATGTTAGCAGAGAAAGAGCCGTGGCTGCTATAAACGCCCCGGGGGGGAGGAGTGGGGGGAGAGTGTGGGGGGGGCGGGGGGCAGTTAGCGAGCTAGCAGGCTAATCTTTTGTTTTCATCTGTCCTGTCAGTGACGATACAGTAGATCCGCGAGGCCTGGCCGCGCCGAGCCTGCTAGCGCGGCTAGCTCGTGTCCCGCGACCGACACAAGTTAACAAACAAACACGCGCGGCCGACAAACTAGCTGTTCATTAAGAACAAAGTCATTAAAGCATTGTTATTTATCACCACACGTCAGGCGGGGGTCTGGTAAATGGCTATTACAACTTTTTAGCAGCATTCCAGGAGCTACCGGACTCAAACGTCCACGATGCAAAATACATCATCAATAAGTCCAAACGCGTTTCTTAAGAGTCCACGTGATGATGCGACAGTGAGCTCGGCGGAATATTACCCGATATCATAGCATATGGACATAAAAGGCGGATTAGCATGCTAGCTGAATTATTAGCTGCAGTTCTTCAACCCCCTTGTTTAGTTGCGGCACGCAGGAAGCAGTCTTGACAAAACTGGAAATGTAACAAATAAACCGGCGAAATATAAACTCATCCTCTAAAGAAGCAGCGGCCGGTCCGTCGGTTCCTCGCGACGGGCGCGGTCCATTTATAAAAGCGCAGTTGCGACCCCGTTAACGGCTGTTATTGTTGTTATTGTCCCCAGCTGATCTACATCTAAACAAGACTGGGACAGTTTTCGCGCGAAATCTTTTTTGCCGCGAAACCGGCACGTGGTTCAATGCGAAGAGCTCCATTGGTCAAAAAGCAGCACTTTCCGTTGGGCGGGACAGACGGTCGCTGATTGGTGCAAACTGCTGTCTGTCGTTGTATCGAGGGCATATTCATCGATACGAAGGTGCATTCAGGTGCCACAAATAAAAAACATATTACCGGACTTTTAATTTTAATTTAATTTTTTTTCATCGTTACGTACCATCGCTTACACTCCACGTCGCGCACAATCTTACCCATTAAAGATAATATGCCTGACGTCACTCAAAACTCAAACGTGTCATGACCTATTCTGATTCAGCGATACATTATATATTGTAGTGATAAAAATACTTTTTTTCGTACATTTTTAGAAACACGAAATGGCTCAACCACCCATCAGTAAGCGTTACTTACCCCCATCAGTCCACATGGAGCATTTAATTAATAAACAAATATTCAGTTTCAGTATTTCCTGTGAACGCACGAGGCGCACCTCAACAGACAGACCCTGCTAGTCGAGCGCCTATTGCGCAGAAAGAGGAGCTGCAAGATGGCGCAAGCAATATTTGAAGTACTTGAAGGTAGGCATTATTTGTTATTAACCACGTAATTACAACTACAATAAAGTGCGAGTGCATTTTAAACAGCCCCGACACACCAGGGTCGTTTGATTGTGAATACAAGTGACCATACTGTGATAACAAAGCGTTTAATTTAGATTTAACAATGAAAACATCCCAGAGGGAGGAGTGACTGCCTGTAAACAAACACACATATTGCTTATTGCTCAGACCTCATGGGCCGCTTACGAATGTGGTCCCACTGTAGCCAGACGACACGATGACGTGTTCCCCTCTTGCTGTTCGGACTGCATTTGACATTTTTGCAGGAGGCCCTTTGGGATGAGAACACTGTAATCTTACTATGGTGGACCTACTATGAGTGTGTCTGTGTTTGTTACCATTTCATTTACAGCGACCCATATTATTATCCGGAGGTAATATTTATCATTATTATTATGAGATTGTTGGACATTATTCCCTAAATACATCAGAAGGTCATTAGAGGATAAGTAAAGCTGCAATATCTGGAGTGAACACGCTATAAAGCTGCTCACCTTCCAGTTCTTTAACAATAAAACGTTCCCTTCCATCTTCATATTTTCACCGCTTTAGTGAACTAGCGTTACGCAGCCTGAATACAATGGGGATGTTTGCAGCATGAGAATTACTGCATGATTCTCCACCCTCCTCTTCTTCCTCTTCCTCCTCAGGCATGGACAACCAGACGGTGTTGGCGGTCCAGTCTCTGCTAGACGGCCAAGGTGGAGTTCCTGACCCCACCAATCAGAACGTCTCCGGCACGTCTACCATACAGTCGATGGGTAGGTACAGCAAATACAGCAAATGACCGCTGAGTTACAACCAAACCATCGAAGATTTATATTTAGATGAATTCATTTATTCATCACATGTGGTTGTACACAGTAGCCGCGCTTACCTTTCTCCTGCGTATATTACGTCATGCCTCAAACGTGTTGTGTTTGTCCTTGGTGACAGACGACGAGGACGTGTTCCTGTGTGGGAAGTGTAAGAAACAGTTCAACTCTCTGCCTGCCTTCATGACACACAAGAGGGAGCAGTGCCAGTCCAGCATCCCCTCCCTGTCCACAGTGTCCCTGGCCTCCACCAACGCCTACACACCGGTCCCCTCCATCAGCTCTGGACCACAGACCCCCACTAACAGACAGGTGGGCGCTGGGGGTCCAGCAATGTCAACTTAGTGGGGAATCAGTTAGTAGGTCACATGCTGAATAAAGACATCTTATAAATTCATTTGAATGCACGTAAAATTCATTACCAGTGAGGACTACAACCACACATACATTTATTTGGTTTTTCATTTCCCACGGTATTCAGCAAAGGGTGAGAATCATATATTTTCACAACGACATGCGTTTTCTCACGTTTGTGTCACCACCATGTTTGCATGACACTCCACGCTTACTTTCCAGGTATCCACCTACATCACAGTACCCCCGTCGCCTCTGACACACACTCTGGTCCAGGGCAACGTGCTGGTCAGCGACGACGTCCTCATGTCGGCTATCTCAGCGCTCACCTCCATCGACCAGCCTATGGCCGCCATGCAGACGCCTATACAGGTAATATGGTGCAACGGGACGCATTTGATTTGAAGTCACCAAATTCCCCAAATATGGGAGAAGATGCAGAGCAAACAACTAAAAATGTCAATATGTGCAGATACTATCGCTGCACTGTTATCAAATCTATTTGCTTCCTGTTCTGGATTGCAGAGTAACCTGAGCATGCACACAGCTGGTGTATCATACCTGCACCAGCACCACCACCACCATCACCACCATCATCATCACCAGCAGCAGCAGCAGCAGCAGCAGCAGCAGCAGCAACAACAGCAGCAGCAACAACAGCAGCAGCAACAACAGCAGCAGCAGCAACAGCAGCAGCAGCAACAGTCCTCCCACCCCCTCCCCTCCAGCCAAACGCCGGCCCACCCCCTGCCTGACGGGCAGCCCTCGCAGCAGCCGCTCTCCTCACAGGTCCCAACGAGCCACAGCAACTCAGTGGTCCAGGTGTACAGCGCTATGCCCCATATGGGCGGAGGCGGTGGCGGAGAGATCCACGCCCTGGGGCTCCAGCCTTTCCATCCCGTACACGTGAGTGAAAAAACGCGACGCGCCACTTAATTCCAAACTTTGCGGTCCCAAGACGGAGTCCTGAGCCCGCTGTGTGTCCCTCAGGTGCCTAGTCAGTGCGTGGAGAGCCAGTCATACACAACCCCTCCCGTCTACAGCCCCGGGAAGCAGGGCGCCAAAACGAAGACTTGCAGCATCACCGCCAACCTGACTGAGCTGGCCGACTTCGAAAAGGTCATCATCCCCAAGCGATCCAGGAGCAGCAAAAAGAGCTGTGATGGAGCCACAGGTGTGTGAGGGGTACAAATGACAGAGACACTGCTGCTGTCGCAGCGTGCACCACTAAATCAAACACATCTATGCATAGTGTGTCAGTTTAAGTAATAATTGATTAATGAAAGCGCTCGTGGCGGCATACTGACCCTGGATATGAAATGTACAAAGGTGATTGTATGACAACTATTCATTTACTCAATTTCTCAGCAGAGCAGCTGAAAGGAAAAGTTCCAAAGCTCAAGTGTAATTTCTGTGATAAAATCTTCTCAAAAAACTTTGATCTTCAGCAGCACATTAGAAGGTGAGCTACCGGTCAGCATGAGTAGACCAGTCACACCCAAAGTAAAGATTATCACCCAGGAAACAAGGCGCTCGCTTCCCTTCCACTAACTCATTCTTTATTTCTTACAGTCACACAGGAGAGAAACCGTTTCAGTGCATCGTCTGTGGCCGAGCTTTTGCCCAGAAGTCCAACGTGAAGAAACACATGCAAACACACAAGGTACTGAACAAACTCAGGCTCAGGCTTTCTGATCAAGCTAACAATAGCTCCAAGAGTTCATTTATAACACAGCAAAGCACACAAGCCGCATGATTAAAAAGGACAAATGTGCTCTAAATGCACTTGATGGCACCATGAATGATCTTGTGGCAACACATTGTGGTGCGTAAACTCCAAAGTTGTATGTAAGAGTTTTAGCACAATCTCCTACACAGTGGCATCCAGGACATCACGTTGGAAAATAGTACAGAGTGGAAATGCCATTAAAATGTTGCTTTCCTTTTAGCATCACATGACATGCTCCTTAGTTTTGAAAGTAACGCTCTACAATTTATGGATTATCTTTTCTTTTTTGAAAGCTGAAAAAAGGAAAGGCCGCTCTCCGAACTCACGTGTACACATGGATAAACACAAAGGCTGTAAAGTCCTAGCTAGTTACGGTTGCCAATCTATGATTGGACAGAGACGTTCTGGATGAAAGATGCGGTATAAAATAGTTGATTATCATGAGGGTAAAATGTATTGATGATGCAGAATGCAGATGATGCAGCATAGTAAGAACTCTTTATCTCCAAGGTGTGGCCTATGGGTGCGGCCAGCACCGTGTCCAGATTGCCAATCACAGTAAAGGTGATACCAGTGTCGTCCAATGAGGAGGAGGGGGGGGTCGGGGAGCAGCAGCAGCAGCAGCGAGGTGAAGCCGAGGTGGAGGAGGCGTCACAGCAGCAGAACTGTCAAACACAAACAGAGGAAGAGGTGGTTCACACAGGTAACGTCTGTTTACAATATTCATGATATGACTGCATGAACACTTACACCCAGATGTGGGATTATTAGGTACACCAGCCTAAAATAAATGCTGCCTTCAGGCCCCATGTGATTGCTGGATCTAATTATAAAAGTGATGACAGCCACCTATGCAGCATCCGACCAGCAGCTGACGGCGAGTTACGATGCCTGATTACAGAAGCTCCGGCGCAGTTGGAGGAGAGTGCGGCTGAGGTTCCGGCCCACCCGGAGCACGGCCGAGAGGAGGCCACGCAGGACGGGCCACCCCAGGCACACGCGCAGGTGCCGTCCAACCAGGACCAGCAGTGCCAGGCTCAAACCAAACAAATCGTGGTGATAGACAGCTCCTACCAGTGCCAGTTCTGTGCCAGCAAGTTCAAGACCTACTTCCAGCTCAAGTCTCACCTGACCCAGCACAAAGGGGAGCAGGTGAGTGCAGACTCCTCATGTCTGCTTACCTTTTTTCGTCTGGGTTTTGAGGATTTCCTTCCTTCCGTGACGCTCACTTCCCCCGCAGGTCTACAAGTGTGTGTTGAAGTCCTGCTCGCAGACCTTCCAGAAGCTGGATCAGTTCCTGGAGCACATCAGGACGCACCAGGAGCAGCTGACCTACCGCTGCCACCTCTGCAGCAAGGTGTTCCCCTCGCTGTTCGAACTGGGAGTCCACCAGTACTCCCACTGCTTCTGCCCGCAACAGAGCGCACGCAAGGAAACCAGCATCTACAGGTGGGTTGGATCACTCGCAGCTTCGTTCATTATTCATTATAGCAGAATAGAAGCAATGGAATCCTTTTTCCTCTGTCGCGTTTCGCCTCAGGTGCGTCAAGTGCCAAAGCAGATATTCTACCCAGGAGGCACTGGAACAGCATCTTCTGACGGCCTCGCACAGCTTTCCCTGCCCACACTGTCAAAAGGTAGCAGCCTCCGGCGCTTAACGTGCACCTGCAGGGCTTTTCATATTTCATGTGGCATCGCGAGTCCTCCGCGCAGCGCCTGACCTGTTCTCCCGCTGGCCGCCAGGTTTTCCCGTGCGAGAGGTACTTTCGACGCCACCTCCCCACTCACGGCGTGGGAGGGAGGTTCAAGTGTCAGATCTGCAAGAAAGCCTTCAAGACCGAGCACTACCTCAAACTGCACACACGCATCCACTCAGGTCTGGGAGACCTTCAGAAAGCATTCTTTGTCCCTCCTGACAATTATTAGCATGGGAACATTAAGCCATTGGGCTGATGGGTTGATATTCCTGCTGTAATAAGCCGTTGAAGTTTGAGGTACTTAGAGTAGCCCTACTTTTACTTCAACAACCCAGTTCTACTCGAATTACTGATTAAACGAGTTGATGCATCTGGCTAAAATGAGACGTTTCAGCACTTCAACACTTCAGTTACATCGGTGCCCGCATACATACCCCATCGTTTAGAAGTCATCAATATGAGTAAAGGTGTGAGTTTGATAGCGATCTCGTCTCCTAGGTGAAAAGCCATACAAGTGCTCGCTGTGTGAGGCGATGTTCAACAGGAAGGACAAAGTGAAGCGACATATGCTCATCCACGAGCCCTTCAAGAAATACAAGTGTCCCTTTAGGTGAGGCTCTCTGATGGGAAACAAAAACTATTATTTCATTTCTCTTAATCGTACTTGATTCTTTCTTTTCATCATTCAAGCTTTTTTTTATGCTCATTCTGCTTTTTGCTGTCGTTCTTGTCTTTTGATTCTTGTCTTTCAAACTGTCTTAACTCTTCTTCGAAGTTATTTCATTTCGTTTAAGGCTGTTTGTCTGTACACCTTTGTCATCAGGACGCATGTGGGCTGCAACAAAGAGTTCAACAGGCCAGACAAACTCAAGGCCCACATTCTGTCCCATTCTGGTGAGTGAACGTTACCAGTCATCACGAAACAAAGATGACGGAATAATACTAAAAACATCTTTTACCACACGATGTAAAAAAAGTGGAACTGGGAATCCTAAAGGCTCGTTTGCGAGGCCACTAGATCGGGTTAAAAGGCGTAGAAATCTAGAGCAGCATTAATAAGAGAGAATCTTCTGTTTGCAGTTTCATACATGAAGAACAAAGTGACGCCACGTAAACCCTTCCTGATTATCAGAATGACATCATTGATTCTCTTCCCTCCAGGTATCAAACCCTACAAGTGTCTCTTTTGTCAGAAGGCGTTCAGCCGCAGGGCCCACATGCTCGAGCATCAGCAGTCCCACACGGACAACTACCGCTTCAGATGCTCCACCTGCAACAAGGGCTTCACCAGGCAGAGCTACTACAGAGACCACAAATGCCCCGCAGCGGGAAGCGGCACGGCGGGCGAAGGAGGCGCCGCAGAGTCGGAGGGAGACGAGGCCACGGGAATGCCAGTGGCCGCGGAGAAGGATGGAGAGGACGGCGGGAGAAGAAGCGGGTTCCTGAGAACGGAGAGCATGGCGGGCGGTGATGACGGAGCGAACGGCGGCGGCTCAAAGGACGGCCACGAGTCGGCGCAAAGACGCGAGCAGGAGGAGGAAGAGGAAGAAGAGGAGAGGAGGAACGACGAGGGTTGTCGGGCTGCGATGACTATCAGCGGCATTGAAGGACAGGAGGAGGAGGAAGAGGAAGATGAAGACGAGGAGGAGGAGGATGATGATGATGATGATGAAGACGAGGAGGAGGAGGAAGAAGAGGTTGACAGGGTGGAACATGGTGCCATGGCACTGGATCAGATTCAGAGCAATGACCAACACTGTTTGCAGCAGCAGTGTTTGTAGATGTGTTGGACGTGGACCAAACAAACTAAGCTATCCATTCTTTTTAAAGTCTGGGAAATTATTCTTATTTGTTTTATATTGAAACGTTAAATTAAAATGCACTTCTCCACTTTACTGTAAAGTACGCAGGCCGGTTGGTTACTTGGTATATCTATATTGCCAAATGAACCAGTGGAACTTTTCCATGTACACGTGTCCAATTATTGTGCAATTTAAGCCACTGTGGTTTCAAATAACGTCATGTCAATAAAATAGAAACATTTTCTCTTATTCTACCGAGCAAAAAGTACATTATTTTAAGTACTCTCTCTTTAACTTTCAGTTTGTTGTTAGACCCACTTTTGCTCAGCTTTCTTTACTTCTACTTCAGTTGGGGATTTGTTATAGATCCAGGACCACATGGTGGAGGCACAATGAAAAGGACCATGTCCCAAAGTACATTTAGTAACAGACGGGGACACGTGCTTCACCCATCCATCACGTGAGAGATCTCACCAGACTATTTCAAGCTGCTGGAAAAAGCGACATTTGGTAATAACTAAAGGCTCAGAGACGACCGACTGACCTTTTGAAGTTGTTTTATCTCCAGCTGTTTTCCACGTGTCTTTACGTAGGCCTGAGGGAATTCTTCTTTTCCACTTTAGTTATAATAAGCTTCCAGCACCCACTAATCAGACTAACTGCGATTGTGTAACTTCACGTGTCCTTTATGTCGACGGGGCGTACCACCAGCCTACTTTTGGATAAAAATAACATAGTGGGGTTGGATCACACTTTTATTTTACCCAACACACATAACTGACGTCTATGAGCCCTCTCACTCAGCCTATTGGCTTGATTCAGTCGATTGACCCAAGTTGTATACAACTGCCTTTAGCTCAACATCAACACAATACACGTTGGGATTTGTCCTATTCAGCCAATATTATCTCTAGTTATTGGAGGCGAATACTAATTTCTGGATACTTATGTGTTCTCTAGCGCTCACGGAATTGCTTTTGGGTTTTCAACCAGTTTCTGGCTTATGATTGTTGATAAGAGATTAAAAAAAAAGAAATTCCTTTTAATTACATTTTCAAAAGAAATAACTTAAAGAAACACCTAAATAATTTAAACATACTGGATGAGAAATAAATGACTATTGTATTAATTCAAGACACAAACAGTTTTGATTTAATTTATTAAGATGACAATTTCTATATTACATATCTTTCATGTACATCAGTCATTAAACAGGAAAAAGAAAATATAGTGTTACCATAAACCTCTTAAAACTTTCTTTTACAAAAGAAAATGTGTTATTGACACCATTTACAAGTTGTTTTCATATACAGGAGAGTGACAGTGGTTTATTTGTATTCTGGGAAACAAGCGGTGAGTTATGACATTCACACATTTCTTCTATGTTCCAGGGAGTTTAAATTTGTGATTGACCCAGAACAAAGATTAAAACAATACGCCTCGGAAAAGGTAAATAGGCAACTTTACCTATGAACTTTTAATCAAGATACATTCATTATGTTACACTAATGTTGTCTCAGTAGTTGCTTTCCAAGCTGAAGTCACAATTAACCATCAAAAAAGGCCGCGTGTCATCGGCTAAAGTCTTTCAGCTTTCACACAGCGGTGCAGTTTCTTAAAAACAACTTATCGAACTCGTCTTGGTCTTACTTCTCCACAGCGGCGCCGAGAAGGACTGAGCAGGACCAGAGTCCACGGGATTCTATTTGACCATGAAGCCCACATGGTCAAAAATCTCATGGTTAGTCAGGAGGAGGAAAATAAGGCAACCTGAGGGCTAATGACCAAAGTGTCACCCCGCATGTGGAAAACAAAGAGCCGAGAGTTACCAACAACTAGGACTAGTTGCCCCACAAGCTGAGGAAAAGACAGTGGAGGGATAGTTGTTGTTTTTAAAGTGCTGTGCTTTGTCAGGTCAACAACTCCTGCATGTTCCTCAGTAACCACACCGGTAATAATTACACACCGCTTCGGTGTGTAATTATCCAACTTAAAAGGATTCTTCAAAGTGAGCAACCACGCCAGCGGGTGTTTTTGGCTTCCATCAGGATGAATCTTGAATCATGAACACATGCTCAAAATTGAAAAGATAGCCATGTGCATATTTTCACTGCGTTTCAGACATTATTTTGAAGCAGAATCTTTGTAAAAAGGAAATGAATGAATCAGAAGAGATTGAGAACGGTCATGGAGAGAAAATACTCCAAAACCTTTCCTTTAAAAAATGTCCAGTGTGTAGGATTCAGGGACATCCTCAGCGGCCCATGAGGGAACCACCAATCACAGGCTCTACATATGACAATGCACGTTTCAGGGGAGTAAGGGGCGAGAGGGGAGTCTGCAAACCTCACCACTAGATGCTGCTAAATCCTAAACACTGCTGCTTTGAGTATAAAAAAGGGCTTTCTAAAAATGTTATTTTTCTTCATTCGTTTCGTTGTTAAAAATCAGGTTAAACTATCGCCTTCCTTTAAATGCTACATTTGCTACTTGCCATTTCTTTGAGAGTTCTGCAAAGTATGTATTTAAAGTGTTTTTTTGGTTTGAATTGCATTTTGGTGTTTCCTTTTTCTTTTTAACTACTCAATACACTGAAGACATCTTAAAAATACTTGTTTTTTTTTACAAGACCACCCATGAAAGAGTATTTGAAGCTTATATAAAGAGGAATAACTTTACTCCCAGAATACCCCAATTCAAGAAGTCTGGTTCCATCACAGTTTATGAACTCTGTCCCTATAAAACTAGGGTCTGTTTAAGTCCCCGCCACTATAAATAATGGAGACAATATACTTTGAAAATCAACGAGAGATGCACATTTCAAACACTTCAGATCCAGAAACAGAAGAAGGGCTTGTCTCTCTATGTATACATCAGGCATGTTGCCCAAATATCTTGTATATATCCAAGATTGTCTGTTATTTAAGCATTTATTTGGGGGGCCCACTGTAAATTACTACTGCGCAGCAATTGTTTACCAAAGAATAAAAATAAAGTCATCTTCAGCCAAGAGTAGAGAAGCCGATGAAAGAGATTTGAGGGAGGAGGAGGGGGGGGGTGATGTGGATGATGCTAAAAAGATGATGAATCTAAAATCTTAGAGCGAGAATGGTGAATGGTCGAAAATGTGTTTTTTTTAATCCCATAATCCCTGCAGAGTAACTCCATGAGAAGGAAATCAGGTCAAAGACACTAACGTGACCCTTCCCGTTGAGCACTGGTGGCCTTTCTTCTTTCGCGCTCCTGTACCCGCTTTCCAAAACTCTGCTGGTTCCGCTCACTCCTGTCCGAAGCCCTCGGTCTCCTCTATGGCAAACATCAGCTTCTCCTTCATTTGCTCGTAGCTCTTGTAGGGCGGCAAGTCCAGTCTGTTGAAGCTGTGAAATAGAACCGGTCAATCACAGCACAACGTCTTTAAGGCGGGGGGGGTGGGGGGGAGGGGTGTCATTATATACAGTATGTCCTACAAAGAACTACATTCTCCCAATACCCATAAACCCTTGCTGCCTCGGGTCTTTATGTCAGAGGAAACAAATCAAACTATAGCGGGGCTCAGTAGGAACATGCTGGTCAGACCGAAGCTTAGCCGAGTAGCAATGAACACTTTAGCAGCTCGGTTTCATGTTCATGTTTAGGTGTAGCTTGCGTGAACTCACCACGTGTGACTTCTGGGGAGCCAGTTTTCTTTTCCCACCTTCTCAATACAGAACTTCTGGGGGCCGTTGCTTCCTGCAAAGTGGAGCACAGGGTCAGTCGGAGGGATTCAACAGTTACAAGAGGCTGGAAGAAAATCCATCGGATCGCACAAATACACAGCTTTAACCCGGTTAAAAACTTCTGTCAAAAATGTTCTCTTCAAGTAATTAAAAACAGAAGACAGCAACGAAAGACACATGTGTGTGTGTGTGTGTGTGTGTGTGTGTGTGTGTCTCCTTGAAGCTTTATTGACACTCTGGTCTAGATGCACATTTCAGTTAAATGTGGACTTAAACCGGTTATGGTTATAAATAGATAAAAATTACCCATAAGGTCGGCAAAGCCTCCGACGGGCAGACGACAGGTACCAGTGACAAACTGCAGCAGCCTCATCCTCTTCTCATTGTCCATCTCCTTGATGAACTGCAGAACAAAGGTTGTCATTTTTTAATTTCTTTCAAGAGCATCATGAATAGGATTTGGAGTTTTTTTTCCCTTTTTATACATCAATAATAAATAGTCATTAAATTGACAAAAGGTGGGGGCAGGTAGTTCCTTATGGAGTTACATGCAAAAAACTAAATTTGAATTCAACAGGTTCATTGGGTTACTTCTCGCTTGGTCGAGATCCACAAACAAGTACCACGACAACGGCTTTACACTGTCAACGTAAAAATACATAAGCCGATAGTTATGAGTCTTTATCCATATGTATTTAGGCACACAACATAGTAAATTATGTTGGACCTTTTAAGTAATCTCATTTCCTTAATGTCTCTGTCCGTTACAGTAAAGGGTTTAATAGGTGACGGCTTCAGACGGACACAGACCTGCCAGAACCAGACAATCTGTTTGCTGTTTCGAGCGTAGTGTCTGTAGATGGTGCTTCTCTGCCAGTCTACAAGGTCGATCTCCTGCATCCCACACAGCATCACCTGCGACAGGGAAAAATATATTAATATCCAAGGATTCAGCTTATTATATACACTTATACATATTTCACCAGCTCTCAATCAGATTGAGATCATTTAACAGCATGAGATGTGCAGATGTCAGACAGATCCCTGTCCTAAAACGCGTCATCCGTACCTCAAGCTCTTTAGCATCAAAGTACTGCAGGTACTGCTGAGGGAGGACCTCGTTGAAGCCTTCAAAGAAAGCCTGTGTCTGCTCCTCCACTCCTCTGGACATCCTCCACTCCGCTACCAGTCTGCAGGGGCAGACGCAGGCAAAGCTCATCAAACTCACAGCGCAATAGTACAGTAACACCACGTGCTGCAGTCTGGCCGGAGAGTGAATGAAAACCCTATCAACAACGCACCTGATGTACTCCTCCTTGTTCTCCTCGGTGACCTGGAGCTCTCCTCCATCAGGTTTCAGCTCATGGGTGGACACTTCTCCCAGGATCTCTTTATCAACGGAGAAGAACAGCTCCAGCCCACACTCCTCGATGTTGTTGTCCCTGAAGAGCGGCACGGAGGATTAGGACACAACCGCTACGACAGCGCCCGCTTGACACCAAAAAATTAAACAAGCTGCCCGACTTTGAAGATCTGCTCGAGCAGTCAGAGACTCGGGGCTTAAAGAATACTTTCACCACACTCGCAACTCAAGTTTTGTTGGTGAGTCCGATTGAATTAAAAATGTGTGTTTTTTTTAACCTCTCTCTAAAGCAGTGATTCTCAAAGTGACCCCTGTGGCAAAATAATCTGCCAAGCATCAATGAAAGGCAGATGTCTAAAAAATGGGGACAATTTGCCCAAACAAAATATGCATCTTTCTCCCATCCAAGTTATCAGATTTATTTTAAGCACTTACTGAAAGTCAGTATTTTTAACAGAATATTGCAATTTCCACTGCAATGGAACTAATAAAGGATTATCTGCTCAATTTGGAAACCCGAGAAACAGAACAGAACAGCACAGCAACACCGTGCTGTCCGCGTGGCTCTCTGGACTCACTTGATCCACATGAGGGAGTTGTAGAACTCAGGGTCTATTGACTCCAGGTCTTTGAGGGCCAGCGGCTTGTTCAGGATGCGCTTGTAAAATGGGAGTGAGAAGCCAGTGTCGATAAACTTTCCGTGGAAAAGAGCCTGAAGGGACAGAAACACACACAAGGACCGCTCACTTGTTGCACAGCGCAAAGCATGCCAGCTAATCTTCCGTTTTGCCATAACACGGGACATAAAAAAAAGAGAGTTTAAGACGAACCATGGCAATGAAGCGTCCTATGAACTTGAAGTACTTGAGGTGGTCGGGGTTGATGTAGGATGCAGGGTTGATCTGGAGACAGTAGTTATCTTTCCCGGCGTATTCAAACAGGCAGTACATGGGGTTCAAAACTTCATGAGACAACAGGAAGAACCACTCCCTGCAAGACAGCACACCACAGAAATGAGGAAATGAGACACGTTTCAGAGACATCCTGTTAAAAAAAAGGAAACAAATAATCCGCCCAAGGAGACTTTTGCTGTTGGTAAGAGAAACATTGCCGGTTGATTTACAAAGTTATGGAGGATCCAAATAATAACTGACGAGGAACCAAAACAAATAAAACACAAAATGTATGAAAAATGGTTTTATACATTTCTTTTAACTTACCTGGCAACGCCTCCGTAGTCGAGACCTTCTTCTCCTGGGAAGATGATCCATAGCCTCCTTCGCAGGTCTTGAGCATTGAAGCTCATTATCTAAATTGGAAACATTGTGTCGGTAGATACATCGAAGCTTCATTACTGAAGCAAATTTTAGAATCACATTGGTTTATCATTGCTTAAGTCGAACGGTCGAGAAAAAATGAAAGAACAAGGTAGGTAAATATCGGTGTTGTGTGAGGGCGGCTGTACCTGCTGGAAGGAGTCCTCAAACAGGGTTTTCCTGGTTACCGTGATCTTGATGTGTTGAGGCATTGCCAGTTGCTGAATATAAGGGGAAAGCGCCAGAGGCATTTAGTCATTGTGTGTGCTTTCAGCTGTGACATGACATGCGACCGATGTTACTGCACAGTTTACACGCACCATGATGTGACTGCATCGAGGCATTGAATGAAACAACGTCAACCTTCAATGAAACATATAACGGCAAATAATAGCTGCTGTTTGTACTCGAGCTCGGTGCCGCCGTGTGAGCCTGCGCAGCAAGAAGCTCAGAGTATGAACGGTGGAGTTTTTACTATACGGAACACCAGCGGGAGCACAAACTAAATGAGCGGTGAAGGATCAAAAGGTGTTTCCCAGAGATACTCCGTAAAAATACACTATTTCACATGCAGAGAAGGGATTGTAACGATCTGTACCATCACATCTCATATTCATGATAAGATTACTGTACGGCAGTAGAGCCCAAGCCCCGTTAAAGAAAAGGCAGGTGTTCAATAAGTTTTAAAGAGAGGGAGGTTAAACATCCTGGAAACAATTTGACATGGCTGCCAAATATTCACGGAAGTGTAGATTTTTGAAACATGTTGGCCTTCTTTGTAGAATCCCGAGATATTTAAACGGTGCTTTCCTCAGCGAACAGTTACGCAGTCGCGCACAGTTACACAAACCCAGAGGTGCTGAGATTACCTCATTTTGTAGTACCCGCGTGGCCGCTTCACTACGTCCAGTAGGAACTGAACTTAAATCTGCACTTTGCTTATGCTCGTGGAACTCGATCCGATTGATAACGCTGGAAGACAGGCATGCACTCAAGGAGACCGTCGCTGCGTTCTCTTACCTGGCACCAGAATCTGAAGTACTGTACTTTGGCTTTGAAGTCTCGAACGTAGGTGATCTGGGGTCCGTTTTCCCTGGAATGGTAAAGAAGCAGAGACTCTTAATGTGTTTCAACACCTTTAAGCAGTATCTACTGTAATCTTACTTTGTTTATGCCACTCAAATGGACAAAAATATATTTGAAAAATTAAGAGTAAAAACAGGGGGACAAATGACTGAGCTTTTCAGACAGAGGGTGAAAAAAATATATATTCAAGGGATTTTTAAACATTGAAGCATGTAAACGTTTTTCTTTCCAGAAAAACACGCAAAACAAGTATGCACTTGAAAATGAGCCGACGTCTCCTTTAAGCTCCTGTCGGTCTGTATGGTCACATTATCATTCCCATTCGCCAAACTGGTTTTCCCTGCACCTGAGCAAAGGCATCACTCGGGAGTTAAATTATTCTCAACAGCAATTATCATGACTCAACAGAGGCGGGACGTGTTCAGTGACTCATTTAGGGATCTGGGTAAACAGAGCGAGCTCGTTTATGTCTATTTATCAAGTGTCAAATACATGATGGAAATATGAAAGAAATGACACCCAATTAGCATAACGTAAAACCTTCTTGTTTCTTAACACCAGCTGCATACCAGGCTCCCTTGTCTCATCAGTGAAGTATTTCTGGCATGCAGCGGGAAAGTTACCGACAGTTAAAATGTAGTGAAGATAAAATGAAATAAGCTTCTGGTAAACTACAAGTATTAAACTTTTGTTTTTTTTAACCACCAAGAGAGAAAATTCCATCCAAGATCCACCGTAGTTACGGTTGCAAAAACATTAAGGTACTAAGAGGAGTTGTGCTTTCAGTGATCGATCCAATTGGGTCGAGAGATCCATCAACAGCGTTATGCGATTCTCAAGCGCTGAGCTCTTTGAGGAGGTAGAAAACTAAATGGTGGACGTACAGTGAGGACTTCCCAGTGCGAGGGTCGATGTAGGTGGTCGCTCTCCTGTTGTGGTCCACAAAGTACGGAATACCGTCCACGGTGAACCTCATCTCCCAGCCCTCTGGGAGTGGCTTGTCATTCAGCAAACTGAGAAGACAGTGGATCAACGCTTAGTGATGAAATTGCCTCAGGAGAAGCTCAAATGATACGACAAACGAAGCCACGTCAGCCGAGCGCGTGGTGCTGCATTCGCGGTTATCTGAAAGAGCCGATGTGGCAAACTGACCCCTGCGTTCGGGGGTCCTCCCACTGTGTTGCTCGCGTTGGGTGATGTACAAAATAAACTCTTCCAGTCGAGTCCGTTCTCTTCTCTGAAAAGACAAGAGAGAATATTTAACTTGCACTCATTTTGACACAAGAACTTCCTTTGAAATGTATTTAACGTGTTCATTTGAGGGGTGGGAGGGATACTGGGTTTCCCACAGACCACCTGCAGTGGCCTTAAACAATATACAACAATTTCCCAATTTATTAGATTATTAAAGGTGTTATATTAAACCTTCTTTTACATGACATCACACTCTGGTTTACGTGGAGTTGTGTACGATGTTTTCATAATTAGTGGGCCAACCGGTGTAAAGGGAATCCAGCGTTGGTCTTTGGGTTCATATTTCAAACATACTTCGCTTAAACAAGCATCTGAAGTTCTTAAAATAATTGAACGATGTCAAAGTACTTTGACAATCCAAATCTACACTATTCAGTCTCAGAACCTTGTGGAAGATCTTACCCCATCCAAGTGGCAGAGGCCCAAGAGGATCAAACTCCTTATTCTGAGTGGCAGACACCGGGTCTTGCTACACAGCAGAGAATCAGAGAAATTAGTATTGATCACAAAAACAGATCAAAACGGACATCGACAGTGTTGTGTGATGTGAGGGAAGTGTGGAGTTACTTTTAACAAAGGATCAGATTTAAAGACAAATATTGCCTTGAACAATACAACTTTTTTTAAATCTTTAAGACGGTAATGTCACAAAGAAGTTGAAACAGACATGTCACTACTTTAACTCAGTCTTAACTGTGTTTTGTGCATTGAGAACAGTACCAGAGTACTGAAACATCAGCATTATGCAAAGAGTTGTAACTTGCAAACACTAAATCCTGTGCACCCATGAAGGCGACGCATTGCCGTCTCCAGGCTGCTACCATGTTCAAGTTAACCCTTTATCAGGTTTCCCAGTGAACACTTCTAAGACAGAAGGTCTCATACAAATGTGTAGTGAGGGGATGAAAATGTGCTCTGATATATGTTCAGAAAATGAGCCTTAACAAGGGTCACAAAGAGGAAGTCTCACCCCAAATATGAACCTCTGGTTGAACTGCTGCATGGCTCCCTGTAGCTGGCTGCGCTGGTGCTGCCACTGCTCGTAGTTACGCACCGTCTCCATTGTGGGGCGCTGCCACGTGGTGGTTCGCGTCATGTGATCAACAAAGTAGACCCGCCCCACCTGGTCGACGCGGCGCTCCCAGCTAAGGGCAAATTAAGAGAGGGAAGACGGTCAATATATTCTATCTCAGGGACACTAAATAGGGGCTTGTTTTTGTGGACGGGTTGAATTTGGCCGCTATGGATCCACATTAATGTACTAGTGGAGGGGGCAAATCAAAATAGTTTGGTTAAATTTACGTAAATAAAGTTTGTGTAAATGAGTCATTTTATATTTCTAATGAAATGGCGGTGGCGATGGGTCTTTTGAAACCAACACAGTCAGCAGGGTTTGTACCTCAATCTCAAGTAAATATCACTAGAGAACAGATATAGTCATTCTCGTGTAAACCACTATGTTGGCCTTCAATGTCATTTTTAAACAAAAAGGTTGTCCTTGGAAAAAGTGCAGAATCTGAAAGGTGGCATACTTTCTTTTTACTGGTAAGTACCTACAGCAGCTGTCTTTACATAGTGCCTACTGTTGCATTCAACCAAGAGAAGTTCCTTATTTATAACGTGCCGTATTGAACTTTGACCCTTTGCTAATAATACATCTGCTGCTCAAAGTACTGTGGGTCAGAATAGTCAGAGAAACCGGCTCGCTTTCATTCTCAAAATGTGACCAGATTTAAGAGAACATCCTAGTATTCTTTATGGAAGTTTGGGTATTTGAAGGCAGCGTTTCATACACATACTACCGTACTTCTAAGTATGACAGTAAATGATTTAGTACTTCCTCACACAGAATGTCAAATCCCATCAAGTATTACGACCCACAATTCAGACACATCAGCAAGATGGTCAAAGCTCAAAGTGCCACGTTATGCGAAGGTGGTAAGTTGCATACTTTGTAAGGGCAACCGCAGTACATTCTCAAAGTACAAAGTAGAAAGATGCGTGATGTGGAAAAACTGCTCCTGTTCATAAACTAGCAAGCTTGGGTCCATCATCATCATCCTGATCCTGATGTTTGGTTAACACGATCTACTCGTTAGACGAGTTACGTGGAAAATGTCTGAGTTGGTGGAATACAGGTGCAGTGGAGAGCTGCTACTGCAACAGTACATTTAAATAACCTTGTACTGGAAATGGAATTTCAATAAACTGAAAACAAGTATATATATATATATATATATATATATATATATATATATATATATATATATATAATTTAAAGGGGGAGGGATTTTTTACCCAGGGGGCAGTGGTTCAGGGCGCTCCCACGATGTTCTCTTTTCCACGTGATCGACAAAATACAACCTTCCGTTCGGATCCACCCGCTGCTCCCATCTAGGTGAAACAACGACGATGACATTGAGAAAGTTGGGTGATGGTGCACCTCCCCCATTTAGGCCATTTAGGGGATGTGGGGATTCAAAACAGCGTGAGTCACCCTTCTACAAAAGGCAGAAGAATAGCCGGTGAGGGTCAGGGTGTCAGGCTCAAGGAGTATTCAAGGCATTACAGTCGGAATGGAAATAAAGAGACAGAAAGAAAAGGGCCGCGACGACGTCCCTGTGAGTCATTCAAACCACATCAAGTTCTGACTCACCTGTGTGGTTTTCTACAGAAAAACAAGGTCACATGTTTCAAAACATTTCTCCACCTCACATTTGTCTCTTGTGCTTGGTCCCATATACAGTTTTTTTCTTTTGGTATCTGTTCTTTTCGGTGAAGATAGATGGATCTTAAACATCTAAAACCAAACCAACCAGAAACGCCACAATCCTCACCGTCCAACCGCAGCGTAACTTGTGTGCCGATTGTTTCATTGCTGGCTGTGCAACAACCTGCTTGAGCTAGCGTACTTTAATGTCTTTCTGGTGAACCTCCCCGGGAGGCTCTTTTATTTTAGGTGCCGCAAAAGTTCTATAATATCCCAGCAGAATATTTGAATGTAAGTGGGTTGGCAGATTCCTGGAGAAAGGCTGAACAATTGGCAACGCTTCTCTGGCAGCTTCCTGTTTTCTTTAGAAAAGAAGCGCTTCAGAGAAAGAGAGAACGTGATGGTTGACCTTGAGCTGCTGACCTAGCCGCACACAACCCGCTGGGGTCTTAACCATTGGGAAAACACATTGCCTCCATATCCGAGACGCTTTGTCGATAATATTGGAATCTCTTCTTGTGTCGGTCTTCACTTTTGTAAGTTTGTAAGTGGCTTTCCAGTGTTGTCAGTAGTTAACAATGCTGGAATAACCACCTTTCCTGCTCTATATTTTGCCGTTGGCTCAGAATTCCACCATCAGACAGGAGGTGCGCTCCGGTTCACGTCGTGGGTTAGTTTTCTGAAGGCTGAAATATGAGGCGAGAGGAGGTGCAGAAGTCTAGTTCTCTCTCACAGCACTTGAATTTAGAAAAAGGGGTTATCGTGGAATACTGGCCTGATGATGCCAAACACCAGCTGCCAACCTTTAATGTACACATAGCTCCATTCAGCCAAACGGGGCTGTAGGATCTAACTTTGCCTCATTGCAGTAGAACTGTTGGGGTGGTGTGAATGGTGGTGTCAACCTTGACACGCTGATCCTGAGTTTCATCGAGCTTATTTCTTTCTGTTTTTGTAACTTGCTCTTCTACCTCTGTTCTGTTTTTTGTCTGAACTCATAACACATCGCACAACATATGTTGTTTGGATTGCGTACTAGAATATTACTATGGCATTGGGAGATCAGAGAATACCGCTAAGTAAAACAAAACCTTCGTTCTTCTGCAAGGGTTGCAAAAAAAGAGCTAACCCGGGGGGCAGCGGCCCTGCGTTGACGGCAGGAACCCTTGGAGCTGCTGGGGCGGCGGGGGCGGCTGGGGCAGCTGGGGCGGCGGGAGCCGCAGTGGCCGTGGGGGCGCTGCTGGGCGGCGGTCTGCTCGCTGGCGGTCTGTTTGCCGCGGCCCCGGAGGGCGGCGTGGAGGTCCTGTCGGAGCCTGCCGATGGACTCGATTCCGGGGCTGCCGAGGCCCTCGTTCGCACCGGTGTGTCAGAACCCGACTGGCCATCGCTGCCGTCAGCCGGCGCGGAGCTGTTGCTGGAAGACGCTAAAGAAAGAATCGCTGAAAATTAAACCGCACATCCTCAGACTAAGGGGAGACACGGCAAAACGCTACTCTTTATCACGACTTCAGAAAATGTCTGACCTGGCGAAGAGGCGGGTCTGCGTGGGGTCGGAGGTGGAGGTCTGGAGGGCCTGGGTGGCCGGAGAGGCCTCGATGACACCGAGGGCGACCCCGAGCTGCTTCGCCCACCGACCTCCGGGGGAGAAGACCTCTGCTCTACGCCGTCCACCGCCGGGGAGCTGTCTCGACTCCGCCTGTGAAAAAGAAGATGGAGAAGAAAAGAAGATCGGGCAAGTGGAAAAAACAGAAATACGAAAAGCTAGATGAACTGGACTGAGGATGAGCATGGCCGCTGTACCTTACAGCAGGATCCCCGTTGGGTTGTGAATTCCCATTTGATGTACCTGAAACAAAAAACACGCAGAAATAAAATAACGCTGTATTTGCCGTCTATTGAAATGACACATCAAACAGGCCACCGACTAACCCCCCCCCCCCCGCCTCGTGGCCCTCCGGCGACTCACTGTGATGGTCGGCCGCGGCCGCGGCGAACGCCTCAGAGTCGACGGTCATGCCATCCAGGCAGACGGAGAGGTCTCCCACCACGTCCGACTGGTCTCTGTCCGCACACAGCTGTAAGGTCTGCACCACCTCAGCGACTGCATTGACAACAGAAATGTTCCAGCGCTGTTAGGAGGACCTCTGCGTTTGAACTTGTCGAACTGGCACGTCTAAAATAATGTGTTTACTCTCATAAAACAGTATCTTCAAAGGATCAGTTGTCTTTCTTCTGTGCTCCTCACTTAAGGATCAGAGAAAAGATAATTATTGTATATTTTCAGTAATAATACCAGTGGTCTCGTGCTTGTGTGGAAAGAGATCTGTTAGAATTCTGATCGGAACAAGACAACAGCGTTAGATCAGCTGGTCCCGTTCATGCTCGTTCACACCTAGAAGTGGTTCATAAACTACAGATATGGTGATCAGTGCTTATTTGGAATCAGGAAACATTTATTAGCCAAAATATGTCAAACATACAAGGAATTTGTCTTGGCGGTTAGTGCACGACAGTAGACAGACAAGACAACAGTGCACAAGTAATAAAATAATAAAATAAAGTGGAATGAAATGCTAATGCAATGGGTTAGTAGAATAAGGCTAAGGCTATGGGTTAGTATAAAACATGTTCAACATGTTATTTGGGATTCATTACAGTCAAACCAAAGTAACAACATTTAATATTTACAAATCTACCAGAGCCAAAACGGGACGACCAATAGTAGGGGCCTCTGAGGAATGTTAAGTGGAGTCCAACAGCTTCATTCAACTTAAAAAAAGACCCTACACGCTACGTCACAAGCCAATGAAGATTGCTTGGATTACAGTCTAAATGTTTCACATGCAGTGTTTCCCCTACCATTATATCAGGGGGCACCCCACCCCCCCCTTAAGTCAAGTTAATGTTGTTTCATTTCCTATACAGCACCAAATCACAACCGAAGTCATTAAGGTGACGTATCCTATAAAAAAAAGCCTTATATTATTATACTAAGTTCCGCCTGCAGAGAGAGAGCGTGGTGAAAAATGTCTGTGTCAGTGTCCCCCCACAGTTGTAAACCTTGGGGAAACCCTGACTAGGGACTATGGTTTGGAATCCTGATCCACATTCTCCATTTCATGGTGACGTCTTGACCACGTCCCTTCCTCTGCGCCCCAACAGAGCTCGCCTGCAGTCTAGCTTTGGTCTGTGACATCGATCTTGTGAGAGGGTTTGACACTGGGCCAAGCTCACCCAGGAGTCAGCTAGCATGGTAGAAAACTTTTTAACCATGATTTTATACAAATGAATCTTTAAAAAATTCTTCACACCCAAAATATTCATTATACTCAAGTCTTGCGAACGCACTCTCTTCTGAGACAGTCCAAAGCATTATAACTAAGCATTTAACTAAGGTATGTATTTGTTAGATACATGACACCCGGATTATACTGCAGGAGCACATTACAAAATACACGCCGTTGGAAATGCTTTCAACTGAATGATTGTTGTCTGCGGAAACTCTGACCAATGAATGACTCACCTTTAAACACAACAATGAAAGGCCAGGAAGGAAAACAAGTAGAACAGCTGTGTGTGTGTGTGTGTGTGTGTGTGTGTGTACACATCATACACCCACTTTTCATGTCGTTGGACTTGAGCGTGTCACTGACGTCCAGCGTGGCCATGCCGAGCAGCACGTCGGACTTCAGGGTCTGGTGGCTCCACACGCGAAACACCAGCTTGCTGAACGGAGTCACAATCCTGTCGAAACAAAGGAAGCATTGATACACTCGGATGACGGGCTTCCACTGAGGATCAGATGTCCGCGGGCCCCCGGCTTCCCCGGCGTTTCCTCAGTGTTCCCGGCAGAATTCGTGTCCCAGCTCCAGCCGCCTGACGTGTGTGTGTTTTACAAGCGTTTCACTTAGATGACATGTCCCGCGAAACTGAAACTGACATTCGTAGCCACACGAAGAAAAAAAGAAGGCCCTTTCAGATTTCTCAGTCCTTCAGCGGATGAAAAAAAAGAAGTGAAAGTGGCGAGGAGTCGACCATCCGTGAGCCACCGTGGCTGTGTGAGCAGCGTTGTGAAAGCAGCCCACAGACAATGACGTCCACAGGCTATTCAGGGACAACGAGTGTCCATAACCATCACTGTGACAGGTCAGCTCGCAACAGCAGGAAAAATAACACACACACACACACACACACACACACACACACACACACACACACACACCTGCGGCCACAAGTCCGATGAAATCCCATAGTAAACACCTGTTACATAATAACCCCCTCCTGTTGGTGCAAGAGACAGAGCTCAATATCAAGAAGGTCACTGCGCTCAGCGGAAGATCCAAGACAGGCTCAAAGCAAGAGTATATATGGTGTGTGTGTGTGTGTGTGTGTGTGCAGGAGAATATGCTGGACTGCAGGGAGTCACACGGGGTGCTAAATGTGCAGCACACGTTTAGAAAGGAGTCAGGGCACGCGCTCTCACCACTGTGGGACATTTTCCCAGTAAGTGTTGGAGATGCCCTGTTGGCCTTTATGTTTCCTTTACGAGATTCTAAGCAAATTCCTGCTGATGAGCAAGTGAAAGTTCTTACAACTAATAAAATAGATTTTCCATCGGAACCCGATGTGCTGCTTGTGAGGAGTCAACGACGGCTCAACGAAAGGACAGTGGTTATATAACTCAACAAGTGAAATGTCAGGAACCAAACAAAACAAATGACGATTTTGTTTGAACAGTTGTTTGGAACACCGTTTAACACAATAGGCTAAAACAATAAGTAGAGTAAGATGTCTATCCAAGCTGACTAAATGGCCGCTGAGATGTTGACTGTAAACCATCAAATATTGCCATTCCCTCCGGGTGTCCTATTTGGCACATCCCAGCATGCAGACAGCACAACAGTCTCATTTTCTACACGAGTCTGGCTGGCCGTAAAAAACTCTTTTGACGAGTTGCGACAGAAAAAACAAAATTGCAAACATCATGAACACGATCACGTGAAAGTTGCGGCTGGAAATCCAAGCAAGAGTTTGACTTACACAGTGAGCGGCTGCTTCCATTTGGGGCTGTGGGTGTTGTTGCACTTCTCTGTCTTCTTGGACTGGCCGTCGACGGTCACTTCAACGTAGGGACTGGGACCGAACCAGTTCTTCCTGTTCTCTTTGAGTTTTGCTGAGAGCACTGGAACAGGGCAAGCGGTCAGTGACGGCATGTTGGTGGAGGAAGAAGGGGACAAATGGAAAAACAATAACTCGGCAACTTTCCATAAGTGGTTCTTTAAATAACCCACAAAGGTGCCTCAAATAACCTTCAAAAAATGGTTCCTGCAGGCACAATTTCTGCTTCTTTGAGGAATCTAAAGAAAAAACATTCTTTATCTCTAATGAACTTGAATTTACGGATGTTTTTAACGTTTAATATGTATAATATATTAGGCAATAGCTCACACCCAGAGCATGGCAGGTGTTTTTTTTTCTTCTAATTTATACCATGCCACCGTGTCCAATACCTCAAACATGGATTAAGGACCCTTTAATATCCCAAACCCAAGAACCTGACGACAAACATGTACAACCATCAAATAGATGAAATGGTTCCTTAGTAGGTGGTGGTACTTCATGGAACCACACTGCCTTTATCGCGGCCGAGTAGAATAGGCCCAGGTGACATAACATAACATAATATCTCCGTCCTACTCATTCATGGCAGTGTGAGTACACAAGTACACAATCGCAGGACACTGAAACTGAACTGGGTAAATAGAATTTTGGCCATCATTAATTACATGATTTGCACATGTGCTTTTCCAAGTTTTCTGTTAAAAGAAATACCTCTGATTGCTATCCTTCAACTAAAATAGCGTTGGTAACAACGGTAAAGTGAGAAAAGGGGAAGAGCTCTGAACACTTACCGACGATTTGTAGCTGAGCCTTCATGGGGTAACCGTTGGGAGTGCTCGTCTTGGTGACTCCACTTGCCATGACATAGGGCTAGTGGGAGGGGGGGGGGGGGCCTGCAGCACAGACAACACATCATTAGAATGGGGCACGCAGATGAGATCTGTACTGTTACCCTGCATTGTAAAGGACTTGCAAAGACTGAAACAGCTGCACCAAATATTTTGAAGCTTCTTTCCTAATACTGACATTTGCATTTTAAATCAGCATTCAAATGCTATTTTTTCATATAAATACAGTATAGCAGAGTTCATAGCATTGGAAACTCTGTCAGTCCTCTATACCACTTATCCGTAGCATTACACGGTACAAGAGTCAAAATGTATCTTGACTTTTGAAGTTGGACGACATCATTTACAAAAATCCAAACATGTTTTGATCCAAACAAATAGTCTACTTAAGCCCTTAAAAGGAAGTCAAAAATATGTATTTATCCTTCACACACAAAGGGAGCAGATATCTGTACTAACACAGTGGTCTAACAGTACCATGAAATAGCTCGACTGCACGTTTTACCTAAATTCCACACAGAGGAACCAGCCAACAAAAAGCCCTCTTCCGTTTTTTGTTGCATATGAATGACCACATATACGTGCAAGTATATTGCAAACAAAGCTCACAGGACCGCAATGACATCGCATGGAGCCCTCAGCTACAGGAAATGAGTTGTATTCCTTTGGAGGACAAATACTGTACGGCGCACAAGAGTTCCCTCCAAGTGATGTCTTCACCTGGAGCAGCTAACGTAATATATGTGGAGGCTACATTTGCAAATTCCCCTCCTGGAATCCATTCCCAACACTATAACAGTTTTCACATCAACTGTTTACATTTGCAATGAGTACGACAAGATAAGAACAGGCAGCACTCAAAATAAGAAGTGGAACAAGCCGGCCACACTATTAGAGTTTCCTTTCAGATGAAAAGCCATTGAAACACACGAGCCGCTGCATCATTGCAGAAGGTAATAAAAGGAGACAAAGGTCAAGGAAGCAACCTGTGAAATACTGCCTGTATAAACCACCCAGCAGGGAAATTTAGACTTTCAGAAGGACTCCAACATGCATCTTGTGTCTATGAACCGGAAAGCCAAAACACACATGGCTGCAAACAAAAAGTATACAATTGTGAAGCGAATGCATGGTTAGTTATAGCGTTATGCTGTGCTATTAATGTTTTAGAAACATTCTTTTAAAAATGCAGAGAAAAGCCTTGAGCCCTAAAAGGGAATCAGGTCCTGTGATCTTTCCCCCGGATGTGGTCACTGCGTCACTGAATATTGCATGTTCCTCAGTTAATCCAGTACGCATGTGGCAGAGCAGCAGAAAGAGAGCAGCTCCTTGGTAAACTTTCACTCGGGCTACTGCTTCAGGCCCCGTCAATAATTCATTGCAACTGCTGACTTGGCTGCCTCGCGAGCTGGCCGGCTGCATTTTGAAGACATGTGTATTTGTTGAATATTAAACCGTACAATGGCCCGGCTTGGATTTATTTTTTTTAGCCAGCTGAATAATGTCATCCACAGACCATTGAATAGTAAGGATAATAGTAAGGATATTGATGTCATCTTAAAATTGAATTTGAGTTGAAATTGCAAAATGTCCTTTTATGTAGGGCACTGGGCATTGTTGCTAATTGGATGTTGTGCACGTAAACTGTGCACTTTGAGCAATATCACTTCCTGGAAATATCTCAAACTGGTCTTGGCTAAATTACCCCAAACAGACCTTGACGATGACCTGCTATACACAAGATAATAACAGGTCCATGTTTATGATACCACAAGGAAACGGTAGTTAATATTCTGCACACATACAGAAGTACAAGAACACTTTTCCAATTAAGGTTACCAAAACAACAGCATATTACGTCATGAATTAAGCCTGATTTGATCACAAAATAGCTGCTGGATGAAAGGGCCCCCCCTTTCATCCAGCAGCAGGGCAAGAGATGCTGTAGATGTTGTCATGGATTAATAACGATAAAATAATTTTAAACAACAGGGCGGACCAGCAAAACAGCAGTAACTAGATCACTAAACATTTAGCATGTTAACAACAAGAGCAGCGGCAGACGAGTTTCTGACGCCTAATAACGGCGACAACAGAATCGTCTGTTCTACTTCTTTCCTGGTTGACTTGTCGTGATCGTATCAGCAGCGCGTCGCTTTCACCTGGTTCACTCGGCGCGAGCGAAGACGCGTCTGGTTTCTGTTCCTGCTTCTGTTCGCAGGTGTTTTCGTCTAGAATGTACTAAACGGAGGTGTGGCTGCTGTAATGTCCTTCCATTACGTTTTGTGTGTGTGCGCTTAGTGTAGAGTGTAACCTCAACGAGTGCGACACCAGTACAAACACGGCAGAGCTCTTCTCTCCATACTGGAACACGTATTAACCGAAACTACTCCAACACACCTCAATGCAAGTGGAATAACTTAGTCGTCGCCGGGGATGTTCATTAGTCATTGACACCATTTACCCATTTACCCTCCGTAAGCATCAACGTTGAGCCGCAAAACTTCCCTTTCTGGTTTGATAAACTACCAGAAATTTGGTACAAATGACATAACGTGAACATAATCCAACTAGGAGTGGATAGCGAGCTAACGCTAATTCGGCTAGCCGTACAGCGAGGGGCGGTGTGTCCAGGTCAGCGAGCGCCGCGGACGGCAAACGGTGTGTAACGTTATATTTAGGGCCGCGGTGGGTTCCCGGGAGTTTTACATGTTGAATGTCAGCCTGTCACCTGTTTGGACAGGCTACTGCCATCCCAGCCGGGCTAGCTGCTAGCCTGCTAGCTGGTGTCATCATCATGGCTGGCTTCAAATCCCAAAGTCTAACGGCTATGGAAACTAAGGATAAATACCAGCGGAAAGCCATGTAATCGCTTACCCAAATCCGAAAGAAGGTTATAAAACCAAACTGGGAAAGCCGCGGGGAACTCCTAGCCTTCGGTCTGCGGGATGTTTAGCTCCAGTCGGCGCTTCACTTCAAGGAAGAATAAACTTCCACCATCTTCATAAACTCGCGTCACGTGATCGAAACAAGGTGGGGCGCGTGCTACTACCCCTGTGTGCGGTGATTGGACCAGAGTTGGGACAGTATGGACAAATGGTCGGTCGGTAAACGAGATGACGCATTTGGGGCTCCCCGTCGAAGTATGCTGAGAATCTTGATGGATCTCATGTGTAAGGTATTTAATTCAAGTGCAATGGACGCATTGACGTCGTTGTAGTCTTTAAGTGAACGAGCAACACAGCAGAATATTTATTTTGGTTTTAGCCAGACTAAAACATAAAATAAATATTTGCCGTATAAGGGAAAATATAATTTGTAATTTATGGAGAATAAAAGATCGTCAATCATTCCTATGAGTCTACTATCTTTAGAAATATACTATCATAAATAATGCATATAATATATACGGATGTAAATAAATTATTGCTGATTTATATTTTAGAAAAAGTAAATACTATAATCCTCGAATGACATGATTTTCTATCAAACGTGTTAAAACACATGGATGATGCGAATGGCATTTTTATTCGGTATTTTTCTTATTATATTATTGTTGGACAATGCTGTCCAACTGCCCCCAACTAACAGTAGATGGCATGGTTGTACTTCACAGCAAAATAACCCTTTGTGGAGGGTGAAAAGTGACAAGACAGGAGACGGAGATGCGTTGAGTCAGCTTTACTCTCCACTTCAATAAAACATATCAACACGTGAGAACAACCGCGGACACGCACGTTAAAACCTCACAGCAAAACACTTTCCCTTAAATGTACAGTCCCGTGGTGAATGTGTTCCAGCGTTACTTGTGGGTCACCACACCTTGCTGGTTACTGCTGCAGATAAACAGATCAATCGTGGTTCTTTTTTCAATTGGGAGTTTGACAGCTACAATCAATAAAAAAGATCAATAAGAGTAATATCAGATCAACAAAAAAAGTTCAAGAACATCAAAACAAAGACATCAAAGTCCTGTTAGACACCACGATCAAGTGATATAACTTTGTTTAGCTTTTCGGTTTAAAGTACAGCGGCTGCTTTCCCATGTTGTTGTTATTATTATAATAATAATACTGATTGTACTATTCATATTTGTATTCATATTTGTAATATTATAGTTGTTGTTATTCTTAAATACTATTGTCCTTCATACTCGTCATCTATTGTTGTTGTTGTTCGCCTTCTTTCTCCTCCTTTTTTTCTTATTATAACTTCTGGAATTTTGTATTTGTTTTTGATAATATTTGACATTCTTACATCTTACAACATACATGTATTGTGTGACACAGCTAACAGCTTTTCTAGATCCGACTGACGGAGACGAGTAAAATCACACAGGAAGTTATTCCTCTCTGTCAAAATAAAGGCGTCCAATTTGTCGCTTCAGAAATACAAGAATACAGTAATGTTGTATTCCTTAAGTAGTTTAATATGCTTCTGGTTAATTGTGAAGACTTTGAATGGTAAAATGTAACATGCTTTATTTATTTTCATTTTTTATGCAGCTACAGTGTCACGAACAAAGAATTTCCCGGTTCTTTCAACTGAACTTGTGTGCTCGATAAAAACGTATGCAGCAGCCTACTTTTAAAGACGCTCCTTTATTGGCATATTTTATTTTGAAAGGGACCCCAGGGAAACGTGCGCCGTCCGCTGCGCGCAGCAGACAGCTGTGGCTGCGCCGTCGAGCTCGGTCCGTGTCGTCGGATGGGCAGCGCGAGACTCCTCTCCGCGCGCGTCTCGCGAGCATGGGACTATTCGGAGTAAGAGACACTTTGACGGCTCCCTCACAGAAAAGGTAAGCAACGAGTCGCTGCGTCTTCTCCTTATCTAAAATACATTTAAAACGTCAGGCTGCCTCAACAATCCAGGCGTGACTTATTCCCGCGACTTTATGAAGCTTCACTTGAAACCATAAGAAGTCCGGATGAAAGAGACTTGTGGCAATGCAAAGGTCCGCTAGAACACTTCTACATGTATAAAAACAACTTTTAATAGCATAGGACTGTGTTTTAACATCACAATTCCTATCGAGGGCACCATCAAGTATTGAATTCCACACCCTAAAAAGGATCACACCAAATGAAAATAACTGTAGTTTTTTCTGTACGGGGTCATACCGTATATCATCGAGGATGAATGCAGGTTGGGGGGAGGTCACACCTTGAGTTGAGCCTCTACAGTGGCAATTCAAAGTAAATGAATAGAAATAGATCAGGGTTGAATAGAGAGTGTCTGATGTGAAACACAGCAAGTGGAAGACGAGTCCCATGCAGCGTAAACGATGGAGGTGGGAGGTGAATAAAGCGAAGAGGGGGGGTATTGCAGCGATTTCGATGGTTAGCAGTTTCATTAGCAGAGAGCTTTAAGCAGCTTCTCAAAGCAGAAGTCACATTCAAATGTTGGCGCTTTTCTGTAACCTATACAATATAGTGCAGTATATCTGTTTATACTCAATAATACCTTGATGTAAATGTATATCTCATTGATAGTGATAATGAATAAATAAATAAACTAAAATACATGCTACAGAACTGTGGATTTACGGTGTAATGAGCATCTAGTCTATTGATATAAAGCCTGCATCATAGGCCGGACAAGTGCTTTGTTTCTACTCCCAGAATTTGAATTTCTCCTCTGTGATTTTCATTCACTTTTGAATGCACACTAACAGGTGCTCTCTTGGATCCACACAGAAAGAAGACCACAGAGTGTATCATATATTACATGTCATTTAGCCGACGATTTTATCCAAAGCGACTTACAAACAAACAAGTGCATTTCAACCATAAGAATACAGACACAAAAGAAACAAGAAAGTGCAATTTCATCAAATAAGCCGATCTACAACTTACAATAGATAAGAGACATTATAAGTACAATTCAAGTGCTACAATTTGTTTGTGTTTGTATTTGAGTCTGAAGAGGTGTGTCTTTAGTTTGCGGCAGAAGATGTGAAGGCTCTCTGCGGTCCTGGTGTCTTCAGAGAGCTCGTTCCACCATTTCGGTGCAAGGACAGCAAAGAGTGGTGATCTAGTCAAGTGTTTTGCTCTCAGTGAGGGAGGAACAAGCAGTTTTGCAGATGCAAAGAGGAGAGTGCGGGTTGGGATGTCGAGTTTGACCGTGTCCTGGATGTAGACGGGACCCAATCCATTCACAGCACTGTACGTGAGTACGTTTTGAACTGGATGCGGGCGGCCACCGGCAGCCAGTGAAGAGAGCGGAGGAGTGGAGTAGTGTGGGAGAATTTCAGAAGGTTAAAGACCAGTCAAGCTGCTGCATTCTGGTTGAGCTACAGTGGTTGAATGCCGGTGGCAGGGAGACCTGCCAGGGGGGAGTTACAATAGTCCAGGCGGGAGATGACAAGAGCCTGAATCAGTACGCCGCCTTCTGAGTGAGAAGAGGACGTATTCTCCTGATGTTGTAGAGCGTGTATCTACAGGATTGTGTTGTTGCAGTGATGTTGGGAGTCAGGGAGAGTTGACTGTCAAGTGTCACGCTGAGTTTCCTAGCAGTTAAAGTGGGCTTTAACACAGAGTTGCCAAAGTTAAGTCAAGTCCTGTGTAGGAGAATCTTTTCCTGGAAAGAGAAGTAGCTCAGTCTTGTCGAGGTTGATTTTCAGATAGTGAGCGTCCTTCCCTCACTGAGTGTCCGTGTGAGGGAAGGAGAGAATTAGTTGGGTGTCATCGGCAAAGCTGTGGTAGGAGAAGCCATGCGAGTGAATGACAGCGCCGAGAGAGTTGGTGTAGAGCGAGAAGAGGAGGGGACTCAGGACAGAACCCTGAGGAACACCAGTAGTAAGAGGACAAGGTTCCGACACAGATCCTCGCCAGGTAACCCGCTAGGTGTGGCCGTCGAGGTAGGACGAGAGAAGGGAGAGAGCAGAGCCTGAGACACCAAGTTCCTGAAGGGAGGAGATAAGGATCTGGTGGTTTACTGTGTCAAATGCAGCAGAAAGGTCCAGAAGGATGAGGACAGAGGAGAGAGAGAGAGTGCGTGGAGTTGCTCTGAGACAGCGAGGAGAGCAGTCTCTGTGGAATGGCCTGCCTTGAAGCCTGACTGGTGGGAGTCAAGGAGGTTGTTATGGTGGAGATAGGTGGAGAGTTGGTTAAAGATAGCACGTTCAAGAGTTTTGGACAAGAAGGGACCGGTCGATAGTTTTTTTCTTCAGAAGGGTGGCGGGTGGGTTTCTCCAGGAGTGGGTTAACTCTTTCCTCCTTCAGAGAGTTGGGAAAACAGCCAGATGACAGAGAAGAGTTAATGAGACAGGTGAGGAAAGGAAGGTCAGGAGCGATAGATTGTAGGATATTGGATGGAATGGGGTCAAGAGGGTTATTATTGTCATACCATCCGCGGCATCTGCAAAATTTGCCAGGCAGCTTTTATTTCCAGCGCAGAGGTTATTTCCCTGCTGGCTTCATTCTTCTGTCTGTAACTGGCTCCATTTTATTTGGAGTGTTTTCAGGTACACCCTTTACCCCGCCTCTGCCAAGTGTGGTGAAAGGCACTGATCTCAGACCAGCTCCTCGCTTAACTTCTGGATTCCTAGACCTTACAGTCTGACCCTGGCGTCTGTCCGTGGGAAACTTCCCCCCTGCCCAGAGCCCCAGCGGCTCCTCGACTGGAACAGCCTGCTCTTGCCAGGCAGCTAACGGTGTATTAATAAGTGTTTTTGGCAGCTACTTTGGTCCCCAACCCCCAACTCACTCTCCAGTTAATGCCCCCCTTTCCTTTTCATAACGACCCCCCCCCCCACACACACACACACCATCCCGGTACCTGAAAAAACATGTGCTTATTTTTAGATTGAGGGAAGATAACTGACACGTCAAATATAATAAACAAGTATAGAGGAGTTAGGAGCGTTCCTATCAATTAATTGACATGAACAATATCATCTCCTTCTGCAAAGCTTTAGAAATTCATAGTTGACCTTTGACCATGGATTTAAGACTGCTTCAACAAAGACAGCTACCTTATTGATGACAAGAATAAATCACTGTAACAGGGAGGAGTGTGCCCGACCACGTCGAGAAAGCGACAAAGAAGGACCGGGTTTGGGTTATTCTTTTGCGGGATGTTGGAGGGGGGGGGTTATGAAAGACCTCTGTGAGATGCAACAAGAGACGGGCTTAAAAAAAAGAATGAGAGTACATGCTTTGGTGAAGAACGCGGTGTCAGGCCGACCATATCTGAGAACTGTGTCAGGGTGTGCTGGCTCCCACACTGACTGTGAGATGGTGGGTGGTGGGGGGGGGAGCCCAAAGGCAGAGGCTGCACGCTCGTGTCATGGCGCGACCATCGAGCAGTGCTTGTGTTCTCCGTTGTGCCCCTGCTGCTCTTGTAACCCACGGGGACAAGAAATAAACAAAGACAAGGCATGGCATAGCTCCAGGCTGGGGGAGCTATATTTGGGTCCAGCTATGGGAAAATCACTGAGTTCTTAATCACTCCTACGTGGACGGCCCGCTTATATGTTGTAAATCTGGGTGCGTGCGATGTGACGGCCTTCGGGAGTGATCTGCAGGACCAAATGATACAGCACCACGTTCCACAGAGAACACTAGAAGAAGATGCGGACTCATTTGCCACAGAAAACGGATACACAGAAACGGGAGTCGTGTTTCAGCCTATGCCGATCGACTCATGTTAGATACATCTCTTTAATTAATTAAATTAAATGAATTAATTAAACATTTGTTAGAGTTAATTGTTTTGGTTTTGCAGCACAGTTAACATGAATCAATGGATGCTCACATTCATTTAATTTCCAGCCTGTTTCAGTCTTGACGTACAACATTGTTATAGAGCGGTGCACAGTAGTGATGAAATGATGAAACGGTAACATGGGACAGGACAGGATCGTTTTACAAACGTCGTTATCGCTGGATCTCCTATCATGAAGTGCTGTTGGAGCGTGACCATGTGACGTTGCATTAATTCAAACTCTAGGATAGGAGCTATTGGTCACATAAAGAAACATTTCAGATGTCACATTGTGAAAATGTAGGGTATTTTCTTTTTTGCCGAGTTCTAGGCTACAAACAGATCATTGTCCAGTTGCTTTTTCGATCCGGTGATTATTATTAACTTATTAGTGTTTCACCATTGGAATTAGTGCCAATGAATCTGAACATGCAAGTCACACTCTCACACCAACAAGTTGCTAACACATTTTTTCATCACCAGTGTTTGATGTCAGAACTGCATATTCATATTCAGTGTTTCCACTGAAGATAAATTAAAACAAACATTACATACTGGCTCGAACGTGGGGCTTGATCAGTTGTGGGTTGTGTTTTTTTTAAAGTGTGAATCACTACAACCACAGGAGGTCTTTGAGCAAACAGTCATGAATCAGCATGATTGATATTAGGCTGATGGAGCCCATCTGAGCGAGAATGAAAATAATCCAACATTTTGCACCTACCTTAGATATCATATTTCTGAGGTGATGATGTAATTATGTCATATGAACATCCTGACTTTTTGATTGTGTAACAGAGACTTTGTGTGTTCATATCAAAAGCCCATGTCTCCTCAATACCAAAGTCCTTTCCATGCCCCTTTGTGTAACAATGGCTTATTTTTAACCTGCTGGCCTGTTTGGACGTGCAGTCGGGGTGAAGGGAGGAAGTGGTTGCAGGACGCCAGAGGAAGATCCTCCTTAACCTTCATCCTTCCTCCTGCTCCCCTGGCATACATACATACATTCGTAATTACACACAGGCTGCTCGAATAAATAAATAAATAAATATATAAATATATATATATATATATAAATGTCGGCCATTGGAGACACTCTTCTCTCACCCGTTAGCTACGAGAATATTCCTCGGACAGTTCCGCAGCAGCTTATTAGACGAAACCTGAGGGTAAATTCACCCCTGAATTCTTCATCCGGTGATTCTTTAAGTGACGCTCACTGAACTAAATCCGTCTCCCTTTTGGCAGATGAGAAGATGCAGCTTAAATGGGCTGCCGAATGTGATTTTAAACACAGAGAGATGGAAGCGAACAGAAATATCTGTGATGCATGATGCAAGGTTAGGCCACTTTTTAGAGCATCCCTTGGTGAGATCAATTCATAGTTAATCCCCCCCAAATATATATATATATATATATATATATATATATATATATACATATATATACATGTTTCCTCTTTCCCCATAGTGCTATTCTGGATGGTTGTTAGTGCAAGAGTTGGAGATATCGGCAGTAGAGATGCCTTCTCTTCAACATAACAAGACTAAATGGCGCACAATTTGTGTGGCTCACAGCACTTCAGAAAAATGTTAAATCATCAAAATAATCCACAGGCAAAGTATTCAGTAGTTTCCTTCCTGAGGGGATTATGGTTGAATTAAAAAAATGTCCTCCAATAAACTGCTCACAACCAAGTCTGCGGATTACCTTGTGTAACCTGGTCATGATTTCCGGAAAATGTGTATTTCCATTGTAGTCCTATTATATTGGAAGGAAGGCAGACATCTGTACAGACTAAATCTTTAAAACTATCAGCAACTCACACCACAGCAGTCTAGAATGATAAGTAGCACTACAGGTCACAGTGTTACGCTTAACTTTTCAAATTAAGATTTCACACTAAAACAACATGTGGTACCTTGATGAAATACCAACAATCGTTAAAGATGATCCAAATAGTTAAATATTTGACGAACCAGTGTCTATTTGTTAGCAGCTTCATCAAACAGTAATCGTCCCACGAAACCTCTCAGACAATTTGTATATGGAGGCCCAAAGAGGTAGAGTAGTTCACAAACAAGAAACGATTCACTCCAAAGGCCACTAAAATGATTGTGTACGCTGTAGCAGAACTGTGTTTTTACTTCTTTGACACCTCATAACCCCTTCAGATTTATCTTGTGACCCTCTTTAGGGGCGTGACCCGTGTGTGGGAAAGCCCCCAGTTAAAACAGCTGTATAGAGTAAATAAACTGACACATAATATAACAACGAAAGCATTTTTTTGTGCAGAACCAGAATATATAACCGTGATAGTATATAAAACGTTGTCATGCAGAAGGCCAACATTTGTATTCTTGAAAGCTATTGGTGCTTTCCTTTGATGATGTAAATGTACATTTCACCACTGATAGTAGACGTTGTGGTTTAAAGAGATGGAACATGGAACAAACAATATAGAATTAATCTAAATAATCGATTTAACATCAATCTTACATTTCTGCTTCCAAGTTCCCAAGTACTGGCTTTATTAAAGGGCATCCCCTTGGAATTAATACCAGTAAGAAACAATGACTATAATTGTTCATCGTGGTCCTGGTTTGTGGTTTGGGTTTCCGCAGAGAGTCTAAGTCTCAGGTTAACACCATTGTTTCTCATTCTTGGTTCAGCTCTAGAGTGATTGGCTGTTTATTCTGCTGCCGTTGGTCCTCACTGGTGTTGTTGTTCTAGTATGTTATCACATCTCTGCCGTACACTCCCATCTGTAGCACAGCGCTCAATTGTTCCCTGGAGTTGTACTGTTCTGGTTTCCTTAAAAAGTACATAATTTGATAACAATGTGTCCTTTTCTCTTTTGTTGCCAGAGACTAGAAGAATTCCAGTCTGTATTTACCCTCAAGGCTCGTACGCTATTTTTCATCTCAGTCTAAGTCAAGGCTTTTAATCTGTGCTCCCCTGAAGATAAGATACATTTGTGCCGGGATTTTGTCATATTAACTCTGATACTATGTTGATACAACTACATCTAATTACAAAATGTGTGCATGTCCATGCAGCTGCTATCACGGTCCCTCTTCTCTAAATAATAAGTACCTCTGGCAGAGATGACCTCTCGGGTCAGGACAAATGTCACAGCAGCATCTGCGATGCGTTTCGCTGGGTGCAATGGCCTACGGAGCTAAATCTGGTGTAACAGCAACATGTGGATTTCCCACCAGCCCATGATCCCATGAGAGCAGACTACTCTCACAGTGAGGTCTGAGGATGTGGAATGACATAAATGTACACTCAGAGTCCTTGTGTTTTCTTTTCACATTGTGGTGGATACTAAGCAGACATAGAGGCTTAAGATATAGTTACGTAGGTCAAAGATCTTTCCACATTTTTTTTTTTGCCAGTCAGATTTAAAAGGCAGTCATTTATTCTGTGTAGAAAATGTAACCGGATGAAATCATCGGCGAATGATGCAGAGTTCAATAGCACTTATGCTTCAGCAATGGAAAACTACCAGTGGTTGGATGTTTTCCAAAGGGATTCTGGGAAATTGAAATCTAGGATGCCACTAATTGATTTAGAGGGGTGGAGCAGCTCGAGAGAAATTGGGTGTGCAAACAAATTACGGCAGTTCATCATTGACTTAATAGATGAAATCATGCAAGCATATGAAGTGGATGAAACACATCTAAATCAGCTGTTTTAACAAACCTCAAGAATGATTTTTCCAAATAAATGATACTGTATGCCCCACTTGACTGTGACAGGGAGCATCTCGTCTATGCCAAAGTACGTCCCAGTGAGACTAGGAATTCAGTCCTGGAGAAGTGCACTTTGTGTCTTATATACAGCCACAAATACACATTTCCACTTCCCAGTGAAGTAGAACATTACTGGAACCTCTGAACAACTAGGCCCTGCCATAATACCACGGACATTGACTCGTCCCATTAGCCTTTGGCTGAGGAGATTGATGAGCACATTTCATTTCCTCAGTCTCACTCGGAATGCTTCTTAGTAAAAAGGTCCCTGAGGGCCAGACATTGTCTTTATGTAACATGTTTCTGGTGTCCCTCCTTGATCCAATCAAAACCTTGTCTTTACATTCAATAGATATTCATTCAATAGATATTCAACTTGTTAATTTAATCATAATTCACACCTCTTTGCATTAAGACTTGTGTCGTAGCGGTTTAGCATAAAGTCACAGGGACTTTTGGATTGTTTGGTTGCTTATGGGTAGCATTTTGAGTTTGTTCACTGTGCTTCCTAAAACTAATAGGACTGTTTCATCATTGTGATGGTTGTTGTGCTTTTTGCCCGGTGTGTCTAATCTGCAGACCTGCATTCCTTTGAAGCGTCCCTGATGTTCAGGGCTCCGCTTGACGAGAGACTCTTCTGCAGCTCGGTCCTGAGCGCTGGTTTGACGACAGATCCATAGGCATTATAGGGTGTGATGTGGATTATGAATGCTGATACATAGATACTTATGGGTTTCTTCTGATGTGACATTAAGCGTTTAGTTTTCCACACACACATGGTGTACTTGTGGCTCAGTGTTGTTTCCACAGCTGTTACCAGACAAGCGTTCCAGTTTGAAAAGAATTCACAAAGAAATCAAGACGGCTTTAAAGTAATGCGGTTGGATTGGAAGTAGGGTGGCCATTCGTCCGGCTTTTAAATGCCCCGTCCGGCTGCAGTCGCAGCCTTAAGCCGGACACTCGTTTGTCCTCCTTTTGAGAAAATAACTAAAACGGTCCGCCTTTCGACACATTACCTCGTTAGTTTAATACGTATTGGCTAAAAATGTGTGTCAAATTTCATTGGTTACATTTTCGTGTAGTGACTTATCAACAACCAACTCTCCCAACCCCAAATCAGGGACGCTGACGGGGGGGTGCTAGCGGTCGGCGGCCGGGGGGGTGTATCATTTCACAGTGTAAAAGGACAAACTACTACTGTATCTCACTGCTCATTTTCTCACATGCTCCGCTCTGGCCACCCGGCACCCGCGCGCACACCGTCAGAATGTCATACAAGTCCTGTTCATGTTAATTAGCATAACAAATATTATTAGACCTATGTAATCTGAATTGGAAGGGCACGTTGTCATGAGCTGTATCTTGTATATTTTTTATTAGCTATGTGGTATGTGTATGCACCTTTATGTATTCTGGTGGAAAAACATAGTAAAATTTAAAACCGGATTATACCAAACAAATATCTGCTTGCGTGTCCCTGTGTATGCAAAGTGTCCTCCTTTTTGACGTGGAAGGAAGGAAATGGCCACCCTAATTGGAAGATGTATCTTCCAACATTCACAACAACAATTATTAGTGATTTACATTCAGATCATTAGCGGTGGTGCTATTTTTAGAACCGGTATAGTTCCACTTTAAAGGGTCATTGGATGATTCTTGCGTTAATGTCCTTAATCACTTTCCAGAATCAAGCTGACCGACAAGACATGAAATGAAAGCCAGAGGGGCTGAGCTCTGTCAAGGACCCTCGCAGACTCAACGTGAGCCACAACACATGAGATTAACTGACAGACGACAGTGAAGGAGAGAAAAGACAGAAGAGAGACGGGCAGGTTGAGAGGAAGACGTTCCAAGAACAGAGGACAACGTGAGATAACAGGAGAGACGAGGAGGAACAATAGAGGAGTAGGTTCAGTCTGTGTGTGTGTCTGTGTGTGTGTTTGACGTTTAAACTCCTCTTTTCGTCCTTGTCACTAAATAAGGGAGAATGTCTGAAGATAACGTAAAGTAGTAGTAAGTCTTGACACAACACCCACACAAGGAATTAGTCAGTTTAAAGTGGGCTTTATTCTAGGACATGCAAATTAAAAATATGGAAATAATTTAAACTGTTTGTAAGACATGTTTTTCTCACGCTGGGATTTTTGCGTTTCTGCTCCTTCCTCCATTAATGTTGTCGGCGTGCTTGTTTTTTCATCAACTCATCCCTATCTGCTGCTGTCGATCACTTCCATTGCTAATCAGAGGTGATGACTCTGGACAAAATAAGGCACAGAGAAAGGGACAAATGCAGTTACCCTTCAGCTTTTATTGTTCCCAGAAAACAAAAGACAAACAAAACTACTTGGCTGCAGTTCACAGATAGATTGTGCATGTGTTCGTTGGTGCCAACGGCAAGGTACAGTCAGTGGTTTGGTGTTTACGGCTTTTTTATTTTGAAATAAGCTCCTCGTGTCTTTTGTTTTACTTCCTGACATTGTTTGTTTTTCCGCCTCTGCGATTGTCTGCCCCGCCCTTATTAGTTTCACCTGTTTCTCGTTAGCCCTGTCGTCACGCGTGCTCGCCCTCACCTGTTGAGCCGGGTTGGATGGTTGGGTCAATCCCAGGGGTCCGTTTCAAGAAGCGGGTTTAGTGGAAACTCAGAGTTTGTTAACCCTGAGATGAGGGGAACGCTGGCTTGTCTGTTTCACAAAGGGAGGTGACTAAAGCTCAGGCTCAGTCACCATGGTAACTGATCCTGTGAACATCACCTGGTCGGCAGCAGGTTTTCTTCAATAAACCTGGAGTTTCTTTCACAGTCTCCTCCCTCTGACAGCAGCCCGGCCAATCACACGGCGCGCTTTCACTTCCTCGTTCATTCAAGTGCTCTGTATCAGGCGGATCTTAGCGCAGTTTCCACATATGAACAAAATAAGATCTGTTACGTTAAAGACTAAAGTGTTTTCTTGAACATGTCACGTCCTTTTCTGGACGATCCTATTGATGAAGATGAAGATGAAGCGTTTTTACTTCGCAGGGTGTTAAAGACGTCGGGAGATAATATTGAGGCCCCGATTAGATATATTGTAATTTCCAGATAACTACTTGTTTGAACAGTATCGTTTTTCTTCACAGTCCATCAAATATGTACATGACCTCACCCGTCCTCATATAACTAACGTCAGTCATCGTGGACATGCTCTCACATACGAGCAGATTCTTTCTTTTTTTGCCAACGGCAGTTTCCTTTACAACATTAGAATATTAGTAAAACTGCTGTATGCAAAAAGTGCCTCGCTCTGAAACGTCTGTTAATCGTTTTTTACAATTCCTTAAAGAAAAGCCAAACTACAAAGAGAAAGCTGAAGCATGAAGCGGTGTTACAGGAGAGTTAGATGAGAAGAGACAACAGCAATGTCATGTCTGACCTTTGAATATGAAGCTTAAGACAGCATTAGTTAGCTGAGCTTTGCACTCACAGACTGGACAAAGGGTGTTCGAACTGTTCTCGTCCAAACACACTGTGCGAAGCTAACAGTTGTAAGACGAAAGCACAAACTCCTTGTCTACATAGCGCTGAATGCGAGCTGTCAGTCCAACGGTAACCACGCCATAAAGCATCGTGCTGTCTGTTTTATTTTAAACGAGTCCATTATTTACCAAATGAACATCATGCTGTATGCATGCTGTAAGACTTAAGACGTTTATGAGACCATAAACTCATGTTTACAATGTGTACTGACGTAATAAATCCAGTAAGAAGTAGGATTATTTAGACATTTGTAATCAAAGGGGCGGCCTCCTGCAGGTCATTAGAAAGAATACAATGTTACATTGTGTTTGGGGAAGGGAAACGTCTGACTTATTTTTTTCTGTAATTTGTGCAATATCCTGTACCTTTCCACTAACAAAACATGACCCGCTGCTGACATTTGAAGTTCTTGAATGCTGACGACTTTTGTACAGCAAATGTTTTAATGATTAACTTTGCCACTTGGGTTGAGTCCAAATGACTTCTTTACAATCTTTGCAGATCATCATCATAATTTATTTAAAGGTTGTGCTTCACTTCACACTTCACAATCTGTGTCTTTTTTCCCACCTTAGACATACATTTTTTGCAGTATGTGAGCAAGTAGAGGGAAAGAAAAGGGAAGGCAAAATAAAGAATGTATGATTATTTTTGTGCCATTCAAAGCAACGGTTCCCCAAACCTTCACATCCGTAACGCAGAAAGGCTTTTCCCTTTTTTCTTTCTCCTTTGCGCTGAACTGTCATATTTTTCCTTTATTTATCGTGAAAGACGAGCGTTTTGTCATGAATTTGTGTTACTGCTTATATAATTCAAACTTGAACCATCATGTTTCCGTTTAAATACCTTATTGCAATCAAATATTTTCCCCTGCAAGTTTGACAGTGTTGTACCACTGAAATATTCAAACCCATGCATCTTTTTTTAAATGTGTGACATTTCTTGAAGTGGATCATTTTAAACATTTGTCTGTAGTCCTCTTGATATGTTTTGTATCATTTATTTTACTTAAAAAAAAGAACTATAACGCTGGCTGTTTGTTTTCAACATTGAGCTTATCTGCACAGCATAAATATGTGATATCCTGGCGATGACTATTGTGGAGACAACGTCACCTTTTCAGATTACTGATCGCCTTATGCAATCAATTCCAAAGACAAGGCCGGGTTTTAATAAGCTGCTTTGCCTTGAACTCCAAGACCTGCACATGAAACACAATTCTGCTTTCCATCCATTTATCCGCATTTAGCTGAAGTTATTATGCGGTGTCATGCTGGTCTTGAGGCGTATCTAGTTTCCTCCCTCATATACAGATAAAACCCATCATGTCTCCCCACCAAAGAGACACTTTACTGTAAGTTTCATGTATTGGTTTTCAGAGACTGCCTCAGCCTCTTATGACTTTTAATGCTAAGTTCTAATTTCACCCTTGTTTGGCTCGGGACACGCTAAGGGGAACTTTTCACCTCAAAATTATAACAAAACACACATCTGTTTTCTTTGACCCTGAGTGGACAACACTTCCTGTCCCGATAAGAAAAATACACATATAGTGGAGGAATATGCATAAGCTGTAAATGAGACCAGGCACTCCCCCAATGATATACAGCTAGCGTTTTTTTATTTATTTTCATTTTAAGGACTAGAAGGATTAGTTATTAATGGTTACATTTTTTACTCTGCTAAATTAAAATAAAACTAAGTATAATACATACGCTCAACTGTGACTGCTGATGTTTTCTGTTGTTGTTAGCATAACAACGTTAGCATTTTGCTCAGAGCATAGCTGTGCAGGCGTGTGCGGCCTAAACGAGCAGCTAGCACGCCTGCAGACTTGTCTTGTTTGTAAAATGGTACATACTTTTAAAAAACTACAGTTTATAAAAAAAATATTCCAGTTCACGTTCCTTTTTCTCGTTTCCCTTTTAGAAACATGTGGAAGATCCTGACACTCTCACTGATAGTTGCACTAGCGTTGGGCACAGAGGTGAGTGCGACCATGTGAATGTGTTGATGTGCTTGACACACGTGTACTTTAAGCCAAATTTTACATACAGTATTTTTTTTTTCTGGTACTATCCCACTCTAAATGACCTTTTAGCCACACAGTTTCACCCGATATGTCTAAGTGTTTGCTGGTTACATGTTTTCCTAAAAACTCACTCGTTCTGATCTCAGTAAACATTATTCCTTCTTTTCATTTTCCCAACACAACTTGGGCAATAGTCACACAGCTACTCCCCTGTGAACTGTCGGTAGTAGGAGGAACATGTGATTTTGTTTCTACCCAGGTGTCCCAATGTGAGGATGTGGGTTTGTTACCAGTTTTGGAGAAAGCAGTGGACGAGCAGCAGGAGAATTATAGCGACATATCCAACGGACCAGGAAAGTCCCGAAACCAGATCTTGGCGGCTCAGTTCGAGTGTTACCTGAAGATCATCCACGATCCGCCACGTACAAAAGAAGGTGAGAAGACTGTCTCAATGTCCATTAAGAGCTGTCCTGCAGCAAAAATAAGTCTCCTAAATGGTACCCTATTTTGTTTCTGGCAAATGGCAGGTAAATGCTTATCAAATCATGTGCATTTTGCACCGCTAATTCACTCTCTTTGCAAATAAATGCATTAGTACAAGTGAAGTATAAGTAATACATTTAAATAACATAGATAATCACACATTAATCGCCAGGAATCGCATGAATGGTAATTAACTGCATTGTAATGCCCAAAATTCAATAATGAATTCAAAAGTAGTGTATTGCACACTTATTTGTTCAAACACTTTAAAAATCTAATCAAATCAAATATAAAACCAAAGCTACTTGATACTCCCAGGGCAATAATGTTTGCTTTTTTAATCCTCTGCAATCATAGGAGTATAACAGGAAAATATATGTATAAATCTGTTTTCTTTTTTATTGAGCAGGTACCAGCACACACATTTTTCTTTTATCAGGGAGCATAAACATTTTATCTATCAATATTCTATGTTTGGTAGTGTCCCTGTAGTAAGTGAGCGGTCCAGCACTAAAGACACATATATTTCCCTGAAGCCCATGTTCATACTGGATTTCCTTTGGAGAATCTCATTCTAAAAATGACTTGGTAACTTTCTCCATTTTTCTGTCCCTGTGTCTGTTTCGGTTCATGTGAGCGCCGCAGCAGTCTTAGGCCCGCCCCCAAATGCTCTCATAGGTGAGATGTGTGACGATGTCCCTCCCAAGCCAATACTGATCAACATCTCCCCTCCCTTCCCTCCTGTGGTTTGTCTGCATTCAGAGAAAGAGAGCAAAGAAAAAAAGAAATAATAATAGTAAAAATAATTGCGTTGACAAGCAATAAAATAATTGTTGTTTTTAACTAAATGATGCGTTAGCATGAACACTAGCCTCTTTTTTGGCCTCTGCTCCAAAAAAAACACTGAAACTACTTTTTCTATTTGTACAATTTATATTTGTAGGGGTAAAGGGGAAACCCGGTAAGAGCTGTAATGTGTAGCAATCAGTTATATGTTACTGTGGAAAAAATATATCAATATTATGGTGCTGGTTCTGACCTGGTTCTGGCTTGTTTGGGCCACATATGGGGTCCTCTCGTTTTTAAAGGGAAAAGTGATCAATGTTCATTGTGTATAGATAGTAATTATATTGATTGATTGCCTTTTTATTTTTAGAAAGACATTCATGGTCCTCAGAGGAGGATTCCTATTGACTTCACCTCTATTGGTGGACTTCAATTACTTGATTTAAAAAATATCACTGAATCATACTTTAACACACATCTATTTAACATAACATACTTGGTAGTTTTATAAATTTTAGACAAATCAGGAATCAGGAAACATTTATTTGCCAAAATATGCCAAACATACAAGGAATTTGTCTTGGCGGTTAGTGCGCGACAGTCGACAGACAAGACAACAGTGCACAAGTAATAAAATAAAGTAGAATGAAATGCTAATGCAATGGGTTAGTAGCAATGCATTAATACAATGTGTGCACCCGCTAAGACAGAGAGAGAAGGAGAAGGAAAGAGAATAACAGAGGAAGTGAGTCTGAAAGAAAGGAAACTTGCCCTTTGTCTCTTTCCCAGCGCCTGTTGCTCAGTACTTCACTGCCTTTGAAATGCTATTTTGTTGTCCCTTTCCCAGCATGCCACAGTACAAACTGGTACCGTCAGGTTTCCGTCGATTGTTGACAAGCTTGAAGTTGTGGCAGCTGAAGTTACACGCATGGTTTGTATACGTGTAGCAAACCGTTTTGGTTAGATAGAAATATACCATCCATCCTCTGATGGAAGCGGCCTACCTTTCCTGATTCTCTGTTGACCTTTGTGCTGCAGAAAGCGCACACTCATTACACAGCTGTCGTAGCTATGTGCTAAGTGATAGTTATTCCTGAAAAGGATAGGTACCTCTAAGAGCAGAGCCACAGAAGTTCAATAGTAAGAGAATGTGAATTTGCCGTGTGAAAAAAAGGAAAAAAAACAAACAGCGAATGTCTTTTGAACGGAAACTGTACATTTTTAATGTAGATCTTTATGTCTATGACTGTTTTACAAGGCAGTCCTTTACGAAGCATCCTGTTCTCTGGTTCGTTAACATGCCCAACCAAGGCCATGAGGTCAAAGTGCGCGCTCACATGTCGTCTGTGCGTCAAGCCTCTGTGTTAGTGTGTTTGTGTGCGAGTGAGTGGATGTTTAGAAATGCTCTCCCTGTGGGATGGAAGGGGCATACTGCATATTGTATATCTAAACAGTATTTATATCTGTTTTTTATGACCGTTCTGTGTAGAACCATCCAAATGTCCCCTATTTGGCACAATAGACTTTACCTTGACCGAGATACAAGTGGTGCCTCTCGTTTTCTTTATTTCATTTCTTTAACATAGAATGCAAGACTGCACAAAACAACGTAGAATGCAATTTATTGAATCGTCATTTAGCGGTTAGTGAATGTTCAATAAACGTAAAGTATTTACCAATAAGATGTTCTATTGGAAACATTATGTGCGTCACTTGCCACAAACTAGAGGTGGGAGAAAGTTGCACTCAACATTGCATCTCATTGAGTCTCTTTTCAATAGCGAACTCATATGTGCATTACAGGTGTAATGTCTGCAGGCTCTGCCGGCTCTAATGTCCTGTCCTCTGCAGGTAACTTCTGTAACCGGACGTGGGACGGCTGGCTGTGCTGGGGGGACACGGCTCCAGGGACTGCCATGCAGATGTGTCCGGAATATTTTTTTGACTTTGACCCAGCAGGTGAGGCGTTAACGCACACGTACATCATTCCGGGTGTCTTATATGAGACGTACTCTTACTTTCCAAGGTTTGGTCTAAATCATGTTTGTCCAGTGTGTGAACAGTATTTTGATTTATTTTCTCCTTTTTTTTCTTTACGTTTATTTGCAAAAAATTACTAATGACATTGAGTGAAAACCTCAGCTTTTCATTGTCTATTTTGGACCGAAAGTCACCTGAAGTCACCTCAATGAGATCACCAACAGTGTTCCCGTTTGTGTCCATTATAACATTGTCTCCACAGAGAAGGTGACCAAAGTGTGTAATCCTGGTGGCCAGTGGTTCCACCACCCGGAGAGCGACAGGGTGTGGACTAACTACACCCAGTGTCAGGCCTACACCAAAGACAAGCGCAAGGTAAACACTATGTGCATGATGGCAAAGGGTCAACAACACCTAACAACAAAATTAGGGGAACGTCACCAAAAAGAAGTTGACCTTTTATAACACGATGCGACGTAATGCTGGGGTTGTTTTCCCCACAGGGAGATAGAAAATGAGATGGTAAGAAAAGTCAGGTATCAAAAGAGGATTAGACTTAGAAAAGAGAACCAAATGACATTCACTATTATAAATGATAAGCAAACATTTGAGTACACTGTTGAATTTTCAAAAATGAGTAATTTTATATTTAGAGAGTACAACAGTGGTGATATTGAGAAGGGATTTTTTATCTTAGGTGCGGTTAAGTGCAGAACAATATGCTTGAAGGTCCCGCTCTGCTTTTACAAAATTGTTTGACTTAAAACCCTTAAACAGAGACGATTAAAAGACGTTACGCAGAGTAGTTAATATCTGCGAGTCAGAAGTTATTTCTGTTTGGACGGCTGAGCACAACAAGGTGAACTTTAAGGTGAGCTTTAGAATAAAGCCGTAGGTAGTGAGTGACTTTTGTGTTTGTGCTCCTCCTCCCTGCAGTTTGCCATCAGTCTCTACTACCTGGCCATGGTTGGTCACGGCCTGTCCATTGTCTCCCTGGTCATCTGTCTGATCATCTTCTCCTACTTCAAGTGAGTCAGGACTTTCTTTGTGTATCATCTGACTGCCAACACAGACCTCTTACACTATTTCAGTGTCCAGTTTGTGTGTGACGAGAAACAGCGCTAAGCTGCTTCTTTGTGGGAACCACTGACACTAAAAGGTCACACCGTACAAGTTCACCTAAACTTGTACGGTGTGACCTTTTAGTGTCAGTCTAACAAATGTAACAGAGAAGAGGTGAATAGCTTTCATTGCAGGGATATTTTAACAAAAAAGTTTTTATTATAATGCAGTTTCAGTCCAAAAATGTTATTGGTATCCATTGAAAATAAGAAATGAAACGTAAAAAGTGCACTTCTCTTGCTTTTCTCTGTCTGTGTCTCTCTTTCAGGAGTCTCAGCTGCCAGAGAATCTCCCTCCACAAGAACATGTTTCTCTCCTTCATCTTGAACTCGATCGTTACTATGATGTGGCTCTCGCTTAACTTGGCCAATAACCAAGCCATAAACGCCAGCAACCCTGTGAGTCTCGGACCGACTCTTTCACCATTACTCCAGTGGATCTCACTTCCTTTGCCTGATTTACTCAATTCAACGGCGCGTTTACTCGCCACTCCAGTCCAAATGTTTGCGCGTCACTCAGAACTGTGGGCCGGTTTCCTGTCCCCTCAGGTGAGCTGCAAGGTCCTGGCTGTCCTGACTCAGTACACGTCTACCTCCAACTACTTCTGGATGCTGTGCGAGGGCATCTACCTCCACACGCTCATCATCGTGGCCGTCTTTGTCGGGGAACAGCAGCTCTTCTGGTACTACGTCGTGGGATGGGGTGAGTCACCGAGGGGTTTGATGTATTTGCTGGAGTTTATTTCCTTTTGGGTTTCAGTGCTTCCATCTTCTGGTCTCATGCATATGTAACAACAACTGCACTGTGTATATTTACACTGGGGAGACAACTTTGAAGATTCAGACACGGCCTACGGAGGCAGCATCGGTCCTCAGTAGGTGCTGCCAGTAGAGACAAATATGGAGGAATTTTTTTCCTGATTTGCCAGTTGATCATTTATTAGCAAGAGCGCTACAAATGCCACCCAACAAAAGTTTAAAAGCAACATTTCAACTAAGGAGTTGTTGCTACCAGAAGATTCAAGGTTAACAGTTGATTTACGTCTTCCAAATGAATGCGCTTAAACATTGTAGCATGCATATCATCAGGGCATCTGCAACGTCATGAATTTCTCTATTGCATTTCCTGCATAACTGAAAACATAAATGTAACCTTGCAGGCTGGATGTGCCTGCATTTAGATAAGTGGGCTTTTTACTTCAGCTCTCATGCAGGCATCCCGCTCTTGTGTATCAGTATTAGTTCTTTCATGTCTCTCTAAGCCTCACGTCTTTTTATATCTGCATGGTATAACGTGGCTCTAATGAGCATGTCCGCTGTGTCACCTTTACTTCCAACTTACTGTCGTCAGTGAGCCAGCGGAAGGATTTCTGACTTCTTTCTTTAAAGGGCCAGTTTCATTTGCCGACAAATGTTATCGGGTTGTTTGTGTATAATCGCCCGGAAATGAGGTTTGTTGTGTTTAGTTAGCGTAGGGTGAGCCTTTTATATATCTCCATAGGGAAGAGGTTTCTACAGTAGCCTGGAAAGGACAAACCAAACACTGGCCCGAGAAAGGGCATTACAACGTCTCCTTCATCTCCACTTGGAACGCGGTAGAAGTTTCCCTCAGTCACATTCTGCGACTTCACTGCTCGAGCCGAATGCCACTGACATGGCCACTGAGTGTGAATATAGCAACGTGAGTTGAATACGAGGATTGAAGTAAAGAAAAAACGTTGCCTCGCCCAAAAGACATGGTGAATTGATCTATTTGCATAAGAAATGATGCGGAAAAAAAACAGGATAACAATTTTCCTATATCTTTATGCTAAGCTAACCATCTGGTGAGGCCTATCTTCTCATCCAACTCTCGGCAGGAAAGTGCATACGAACTTTCACCAAAATGTCAAATAATTTATTTAAAGTTGGTCGAAAAATACCACAAAAAGTGTACAAATAAAAATATTTGCCCTTCTTCAAAACAAAACGACCAAATATGAAACTCTATTTGCAATCCGCTCATCAAGGCTTTGCCTTTGACATTATGTTCCCACATTGTGATGCAGCCGTTCATGTCTAGAGAGGTTCAGTAGGTTGGGCTGATACATCCGTCTCTCTCTCTGTCCAAAGGTTTTCCCATCGTTCCTGCCATCACGTATGCCGTGGCTCGCGGGCTCTTCTTTAACGACAAGTAAGACGTAGCGAGTTTGCGGGTCTCCTGTAGTCAGATAATATAAGTCCTATGAGTCCAGGTCAAGGCCAGGACTGCTGCAGTATGCCGTCTAGTTGTGTGTGTGTGTCTCTCTCTCTCTCCTTCCTGTGACCTTCCTCTGCACTTTCAGGCAGAGAGGATTTGTAACATATTGATTTGCCTCATCAAGTGGAATATGTCTGAGACACTTTATTTGCAGTCTACCTCTATCGAGCTTTAATTCAGGACCACAAGCCTACTTATGTGCTTTTGAGTAAAATCCCACTGGAATTGTGTCCACAATTTCTCTGTGTTTGCGCTTGTTTCAGGTGCTGGATCAGCTCTCACACACACCTGCTCTATATCATTCATGGGCCCATCCAAGCTGCACTCCTTGTGAGTAATTGATTACATAAGGTCCTCCTTGCAGATTTAATATTTCTTAAAGTGCTTTTCAACAGAGGTCAGAACGGTGCTCTTACCTCAAACTCAAGATGCAAACGCTGGCACAGATGCAAATACATTTGCAATCATTTCAATTACGCTGGCGGGAGTGAGTTTTGCAGTTAAGACTACATCCTGAACGGGGATCAAGTCACGAGTGACACTAGACCAGTGCGACTCCCAAAACCTCATTACGAACCTGCGATAAAACAGGAAAGCCATATTCCCAAAAAGAAAATACTCTCAAATTCCTTTTCCTTTACCTGATATGTGTTATATATTTCTGTATACATATAGGTGTATTATGAGAAGCATTGCAAAGATGGATTGTAAGTGTGGGAATCTACCAAGTTTATACTGGTCTCTGAGGTAATAGAAAACTTCCATCGGTACTTAGAGGCGTTGTCATAGTGCCACCTTCAGGCCAGTCTTTGCCAGTCAGAAATAAATGAAAAGCTGGTCGCTTCAATTGAACTCACATCAAATACGAAATACTAAAATCCTCTTTCTCTCCCCTCTCTTCCATTTAATTCAACCATCAACCCACCCAGGTGAACCTCTTCTTTCTCCTGAACATCGTCCGGGTTCTGATCACCAAGTTGAAAGAGACCCACTGTGCCGAGTCCACAGCCTACATGAAAGCAGTGAGAGCCACCCTCATCCTCGTGCCTCTGCTGGGAGTCCAGTTCATCATCTTCCCCTGGAGGCCAGAGGGACGCATCAGCCGGGCCATCTACGATTTCTTCGTAAACATCTTCTCCCACTTCCAGGTGCAGTCATCAATGAGCTGCTCGTTGAGTTCCAACAAAAGGTTGACGCTGCTACTTGCCAGAGAGGATGAATTCTCCACGTGAACACAGCTCAATTCAGAATATTTTCCATATTTTTCAGAGCAAACACATTTTGGTTAAAACAAGTGGAACACCGTCTTTTACGTTCGAAAATAGAACTTTCAGCTGATCTCTCAAATCAATATCAGAAAAAAACATGTTTCTAATTTACAGCAACCAGAGAAAAATATGGTTTCCCTCATTTGCTCCATCTGATGATTCATTTACTGATCATTATTATTATTAATTATTTACAGGAATATCAGTGTGACATCTGTTCCCATATGAATATTTAATCAATGTCCTATTGCTTTGCAGGGACTCCTGGTGGCAATTATATTCTGTTTCTGCAATGCTGAGGTACATGCAAACTATCAAAAGTCATGCAACGCATATGTTTCAAACTGCAAGGACTTATTATTATTATTATTAAGATCATGTACCCGACTGTGTTAAATACTAATACACTCAATGTGTACACGGCTAAACCGCGCCCACTGGAGGGGAAAAACATCAGCATCACAATACGCAACCAGAGGCAAACAAAGAGCCTGCAGCGAGCTGAAAAACATTATTCTGATACATCCACACATACATAAGTTGCATGCTGTCACAATGCTTTTGCTTAACTAACACTGACATTTAGATAAAATGCTTGCATGACCCCAAAACAAGGGTTTCCCCATATTTGCTGATGCCTCGTGTTCTTACTGCCCATGGCAGCGCAAGTTTGTAAAAACTGGGTTCTTGATGGATCGCTTTCCCCTCTGGTGTGGTTGGAACTTAATTGCACTTGGTCTCTAAGTAACCTCAAGCTACTTCAAACAAGACTAAACTGAACTCTGACGTCACAGGCCCAGACAGCGCTGAGGAGGAAGTGGGCTCAGTGGAAGTCCGCCTGGGGGGAAACACCCATCACCAACAACCACTTCAACTACCAGCACAACTCCTCCATTACCGAAACCAGCCGAGCCACCATCTGCTCGGAGGAGCCTGCTGCCGCGCCTCCTGACCCCAAAGACAGCAGCATCGTCTTCTGCCAGGCGCCGCAGAAGACCTGCAGCAACGGCGAGGTGGCCATGCTCAACAAGTTGGAGACCACTGACATTTGACAGGAGGAAAAGCCGCCAGGAGATGATTGTGGTGCCAAAACAACACACACACACACACACGCACACACATACACACACACACACACACATACACACGCATGCCTATGTGTGCAGAAAAATGAACAAAAAGAAGAGGCCAGGTGAATTCTCTAAACAAAGGTTAAATGGTTGCATAACATACAGCTCCGGTTACTAGACGTATACTTTGATATCATCCTTCAATCCTAGAGTAGTATTGGTTTTTACATGCAACATTTGTTCTGTGCACTGTTCTGTATTTCTGTTATTGTTATTTACCTCTATTTTTTCCATTTGAATATATCAAATTTGTGTGATCTGTCGTCTTATGAAGCCTCTGAATGCTTTACCTGAACACCACTGTGACCGATGAATGCCATAGCACAGTGACGTTATTTATACCTTCTTTTACATTTTCTATTTGGGAAAGATAGTGTATTCATTGATCTCCTTGAAAAAAAGACATGTGTGCACAAAACAGCAAAAGCAGCATTTATCTCCTGACAAGTAAGGATTCGCTTCAGTCCGAGAAAGTGTACAGTGGCCCAGAACCGCCGAAGCAAACCAAACTACTGCGATGAACTCAGCAGACACTGGAGTTTTAATGCACCTTCATGCTGACATTCACGGTGAACGCATTTGAGCGGCCCACATCGGGGGGAAGCGCAAAATGATAACATGAGATGACATCCAGTTTTCAAAATAAGATGTCAACCAAGCGCGTTTACCAATTTCATAATAACGAAATAAGATTTAATGAATTATGTTCACGTATACAACGTAAATGTGAGATTAATGAACCCCATCAACTACACATAGACAGGAAGTCAAACTTTTTATGTACAAAAAAAAGGTCCTGTATTTAGGCTCAAAAAGCTAGTATCTCAATATTTGAGGTCCTGGAAACTAATGAAAATGATGGCTTACAACTGTCCTAATTAAAGTGTGGAGAATCACTGGTGCAGATGATCTCCGTCCTACTGAAACGCAGTCATTCCCCTCACATACTTCATATAAAACACACGTTTATGAGAAATTTTGTCCAACACTTTTGTTTGCGACACAATGCGTATATCGCACATATAAACTGAACATTTAGGAGGAAAACCAAGATGAGACAGTTTACATTTCGTCAAGTCCATTTCTTTTTGTCTGTCTCATAAAGGCTTTGCAGACAGAACAAGACCGCCACATTTGTTATAAGAATTGTTAGGAATGAATATTCTTCCTTCTCTCAATTAGCCAACTCCTGTCTGCATGGAACATGGAGACAATTTGAAATATTTGTCATGTCTTTCTAATTATAGCGTTGTTATTCCTTTGTAATGTTCTGTGTTATTGTTGTGGTTGTTAAAAAAGTTGGTTTCTATTTGTATTTGTATTATCGATAAGATGCATGTATGTATATATATATATATATATATATATATATATATATGTATATATGTATATATATATATATATATATATAAAAACTAAATATTACTTAATATTATATTTACACATATATATATATATATATATATGTAAATATAATATTTGCAAATACAATTCACTGCCACATTTAATTTAGTTTTTCTGTTGCTTCTGCACTGTTTTGTATGTAGACGTGCAGGCGGACAGTACCAGCGCCTCTTTCAGTTTCCACCGTTGTATTGAGTCTAATGTTTGAAAGTGAGTTTCCATCATATGTATTTTGATGTTCTTCCAGACTCATTCACACAATATAGTGGGAATACAAATGCCCCATTGTGGAAACCGCAGGCTTCGCTGATATACGGGAATTGAAACACAATTAAAGAATGTAGGATCTCTGCACAAGAACGCCACCCTTTACATGGTTCCCAATCAAAAAAACACTTATTGTGGACATTTGTAAAGAAATTTGAAAGACATTCCAATAAAACGTCAAAAGAAAAGTTCAATTTAAGTATATTATTGTGTATTTATACATTTTTAACACTGCCGTTATGTGTGGAAATAAAGTAGTATGGACATAAACATGTTGTAATCAGTGAAATGTATTGTATAAGTGTGATTATTTATTCTGTGCCCCACTCGTGAGTTTTTAAGGTCAATAAATCTTTGTTGAAATATTGTACTGCACTTATAAGGTATTTTCCACTGCTGCTTTCTACACTGCTTTTCCACTACAACAGAGGGAATAATTGTTCCCTTTACATCTTGCTTAATTTGAAAATCGATTTTCATTAAAAATAAATGAACAACCCGCAAATACAGTAAAGAGTGTAAACACTGTTGCACTATTTAACCACTATTCATATGAGCAACACGTAAGGATCGGAGTGTAGCAGTAGCAATACAGGAATTAAATTTCAAAATGAAAAATGCTAATCTGGTGCTCCGCTGTCCCTGCAGTAGGTGGTGGAGATGGTGGTCCGGGTTATCCAATACGGACTACCATCTCCAGTGTCCTCCTCTCCACCACCAGTTCTGGATGGTCCTGTTGGTAGCCAATGATGGAAAGCCCACAGCGCTGCTTCCTAGTTTGTGTTACAACTTCGGCTGCTGTTTAAACCAACAGCTGCATGCTATTGACTTTTGCTTTCTTAGCTACCATCGTGTTAAATGTGGTTGACGTGGTTGACACGAAAAGGATGAGGTCCCACCGAGATTTGAACTCGGATCGCTGGATTCAAAGTCCAGAGTGCTAACCATTACACCATGGGACCGGACGGTACGATCGGCACCTCGCAGAGCAAAATAATCCCAAACAACAGCCGACGACAGCACATTGCTGCTGCCTCGTGGTTTACGAGCTTAACCATCTGGTTAAGCTCTTAAATCAAGCCACGCTACGACAACGCATCGGTCAATATGACGTTGAAATCGGGCAGCTGACGCGACCGTAGCTTGTTAGCTAGAACGCGTGACGTTGCACTGAGGAAACGTAACGTTCTCGTTACGCATCCACGGTTCGCGCATCGGGGGTCATTTCATCGGTGACGCAACAGTCCTCTTATCCACCGCTCATTGTAAGCTCCGAGCCAACTCAAAGGTATAGAACATTTAACTTAATGCATTTAATTAGTACCGTTAATACTCAGGTCACGTGGGCCCAAATGAATCAAACACTTTTAATGTAAGTAAAGAGTATGATGACACGTCGAGATGAATCACCTCCCTTAACTTGTGTTCCGGCCGCAAACAGCACGTTAAACGCAATAAACGAAAAGTAGAAAGTAATGAGTTTGGGAATATCACGGAAACAATAGATTCCTAATAGGGAGGTTTATTCACACATATTTGATGCAAGTAGTTATCACTTTTGCTTTCGAACTATGTCTCTCCCTTTTTGTGCTGGTAAAATGTTAAAAATCCCAGAAATAAGTAATTTAATCAAGACATGTAAATCGTGTATGCTTCATACAGCATAACAGTTTGTATGGAAGCCCATTTACACACCTGTTGATCCTGTACGTTATTTTAACGACAAGCCTTACGAGGTTTCTCCAAAACACGATTTAGTACCTTATAGTTATGACTTAGTATCTTAATAATATATGTAGAATTATTAGGAGATACTAAGTGACTTTTTTAAGTGTATGTGATATGACTTGAAGAATCTTTTCATTACAGTAGAGTTTGAACTTTCTTGATTCTTTTGTATCTTTGGTTCTACCAAATAGAGTCGTAGTTACTAAAAGTCCACAAGGGGGCAGCAAATGATCTATCCGTCTATCCTTCCAGCCTTCACATATCTATCCGTCAATCAATTAATCTATCTATCTATCTATCTATCTATCTATCTATCTATCTATCTATCTATCTATCTATCTATCTATCTATCTATCTATCTATCTATTAGTGGGAATGCTGTTTAATTTAATCCACCATTCATTCCACAGGGTTGTGAGTAAGTACGGCCATCTTTTCTGGCTTGCAGTGATGGATGTTGAATTAACACCTCCAATTTCCACCACTTTTACTTCTACAATAATCTTGTTTCTTCTGTATGGTGATAAGATGTAAGTTGCATCTAAAATAAATAAATAAACTCAGTTCACCGTGATCATTGCATTTCTGCATCGCAACCGAAGAAGCGTATCTTTATTGCTGCTCGCCCCCCCAACACCCCCACCTCTCTGCCGGCATAACTGGCCCATACATCTCCATCCACCCATGGTTCAACGGAGAGGTAGAGTGAGGACACGCTAACCTGATGTCCCGGGCTTTGGTCTAGACAGTCAGCTTTGGACTAGACAGGGTGTATAAAATGTCAAACCATATGCAGGAAGCGGGTCGACCACTAATAATAGCATTGGGGTAATTGGCTTTCAACTCTGCTACGTTGGGGAAACAAGTGTACATTTACGACATAGATATACACGAGACACGCTGTACATGGAATCGATTCTGTGTTATGGTGCCGCGTAAGTACTGTTTTTTTACTGCTTGATAGATGTTACACTTCTGCCGTGACACTGTGTGCGTCACTACATTTGATCTTGTCCCTTGCTTCCACTTTCTTTCTCACTCAGTCACTTCCAAAAGAACGAGAGATGAGCTTTATTTTCAGAAATATAACATAATATTTATACATTTAACCACCAGATTCATGCAGGTTAGACACAATTAAACATGTCTGGGGTACTGTATTAAGAACCTCAGATGAAAGTCCCAAACATCAGAACATATTTGGTAAAAATTGTTCTGTGAAAAAATAGATGTTCGAGGTGCAGTGTTTTTTGGAACATGGAGGACGTCCAATGCTACAGACAGTCATTGAGTGCATTCTCTAAAAAACAAATGCCGGTCATTTTTTAATTCTTTTAAATCACAGAGCGAACCATTAAGATAATAATGCTCGGATAATGTGAATCATTTCGCTACATTCTCTGAACACATTTGGCTCAAATGGATTATATATGCTGATATTTCAGGGACTCAGTTGACCAAATTCGAGGTGATTTAAAGTGTTGCTAAAAGCTTTGTGTCATTGAATAACCAGAACAAACAAAGTGACCTATTGCATTGATGTTTGTTTTTATCCGTTGAAATATTAATTTGGGAACAGGACACAGCGTGTGCTTAGCAAACCTTTGACCGTACCTTGTTTTTTTACCACTAAACTTTAGTGACTAAAGCATCAGTGCCGTCCACAAAGGGTCGGAGGGGGGGTTAAAAGGGAGGCCTCTGCTGCACACAGCATCGGGCTAAGGGCTTCAGCTGGTGCCGCATGGCACCAGCTGACCTCAGGAGCACGTACGGGCCTCTCAAATGTCGCACTGTGCAAGCATGACGAATGGAAGCCCCCCATTGGCGGCCGTGGCAGGGTGGGTGAAAAGGTCACCAAAATATCACCTTCAATGAAAAAGAATTGCCAGACAAAATTGTATGTGCTGCAAAATGATTTTGTTTCTCTGCAGCCAGGTGGTCAGTTTGAGGGTTTTAAGTGAATCATCAGGAGTTAATGTAAAAACCTGGTGAACACTTAACTTTCCATTTAGCGCCGCGGTCACGTACAAGCTTTAATATGAACAATGCATTAGTTTATGCCCAAATACCAGCAAACCGATGAACATTCTCGCTCGTTGTGTTGATCTGCCAATTAGTTAATGCTACCACGCTAACATGTTAGATTAAGACAAACAGCAACAGCAACATGCTATCATTGTTGTCGTCAGCGTGTTAGCTAGCATAGTTTAGTTAGCATTGAGCTATTTTAAAACTTCATCTTAGTGATTTAAGATCGTCTTTACTTTCTCTTCCTTCCCTTCTCGCCACACCAGGAATTTTACATGACATGTTGCACGCATGTTATGTGGGTTTTTGTTGGCTGGCTGTCACCTGTCGACTTTGCAGAAAGTGTTTACGCAACA